CATCGCCGCGACTGGAAGCACCCTGATGGACGCCCATGGGTGCCGCATCACCCACATCCCCACGAGCTAGCACTACATGACCCTGATCCAGACGGTATCTGCAGGGAATGCCACACGCCCACATTCTCGACGAGCGCAATTGCCGGCCGCGGCCTTGCCGCCATCATCGAAGCAGAACGCGACGCACCGCCTGAGGAAGGACTGTCCAACTTGGAGTTGGAAACTGCGACACGCGTCGTCTTCGGCACACCAGAACACCCACTCCCTGGACCCGCATCTCAGCATCTCCAAGGGATGCTTCGCGGCGTTGGCGTCGGCACCTTCGATGCGCACGGCACGCCGCGACCCTACACCAAGGAAAAGGCGGCTGCGATATACTCTCACCGGCGCGACTCGCAGAAGAAACTCTCGTTGGCGGAAGAAGAGGCATTGGCGCGACGCGAAGCTGAGGAGCTTCGACAGAAAAGCCTCGCCGAGGCGCGCGGAACGCTCGCTCGGGAGAATGAGGAGGAGAGCGCCTCCAATGAAGGGGGGTGGGGGAGCACCGGCGGATGGGGAACAAGCGACACGGGCGGATGGGGCGCCGCAACTGGCGGCAACACTGGTGGATGGGGCGCAGCAAACACCGACACCACCGAAGGTTGGGGCGCCGCATCTGGCGGCGAGACCGGCGGTTGGGGCACTTCTGGCGAAGGTTGGGGAGCCTCCCGCGAGGACCAAAGGGGGGAAGAAGAAGCAGCCGAAGAAGCAGCAGCATCGACAATTGTTCCTCTTGGTCGCCCACCGCGCCACTCGGCACCTGCCTTACCTCCACCAGATCTCCAGCCGGAACGCGATCCCTGGGGAACCATCGATTGGGGCAACGAACCATCCACCCCGCGTCGCACTGTCTACGGACCTGCCCCTGAGCCGCGCGAACCAACACTCGTCCTCGGCACGATCCCTGGGACCAACATTCCCTACTCCATCATTCGCGACAGGGAATTTCTCGCCCTGATGCTAACGACTTCGAACGAAGAAGGCGGAGAAGATGAGGAAGCTGCGGCGGCACCTGTTCAAGCACCTGAAGAGGATCCCGCAGAAGCACTCGCGCGCTACATGCGTACCTCCGGATTCCGCGCTGACGACGCCATCTGGCACCAACGCCTCGGTCACCCCTCACGCGTGACCCTGAAAAACTGCATCGAAGCTGGCGTGTTCGCACCTGGCGCACTTGTGCGCCCTGATGGCACCGAAGTTTGAGGCGAAACACATCCGCGCAACTGCTCCGTCTGCCCCGAAGCCGCACTAAGTCACCGACCTTTCCCCCTGCTCGACCCAGGCACCAAACGCTACTCCAAACTATATAAAGTCTACAGCGATTTCCTCAACGTGGGACACTGCGGCATTGACGATGAGTTATACACGCTCACCTTCATCGACGCTGGAACGCGCTACGTATGGGTCTTGAACGTGGAAGCGCGCAGCAGAGCTTACGAAGCATTCCGCCTGTGGCTGGCGCACGCACAGCGGCAATCCGGGGAGAAGCTGAAGGTCTGGCAGTCTGATGGAGCATCGGAGTTCAGGAGCAAGGAGCTGCAGGATTACCTTGCGCAAAAGGGGATTGAGCATCACATTTCTCTCCCCTACGCGCATCAGCAGCAGGGCGTAGCTGAGCGCACCAATCGCACGCTCATGACGAAGGTGCGCGCGCTGATGAAGCAGTCGAAGCTTCCGCCAATCTACTGGACATTCGCGATGCACCACGCTGTGCGAGTGCACAACCTGCTTTCAACCACCGCAATCACTGGCAACCAGTCCCCTCACGTGAAGTGGACGGGCACCAAGGGGGACACCTCCATGCTCCGCGTGTGGGGGTGCATGGTTCAGTACCGCCCGCCAACATCAACCATCGGCAAATTCAAGAGCCGCGCGCGCTGGGGGATCCACCTCGGCATCAGCCACGAATACAAGACGTGGATCATTCTGGACCTCCTGAGCCAGAAAGTCAAGAACGCGCGCGGCGTCATCTTCTACGAGCGCCTCTTTCTCCAGCAGTTTCGCGAAGATGAGCAGACGAACGCGAACCGCGTTTACACTAACGACGGCCACAGCTACGCCACGCCAGAGGACGAAGCTGCCACGGCCATTCTGGAGCAAGACCCCAGAGGCGAGTTCACGAGGGGCGATCGTCACGACGATGACGACGACGACGATGATTCAGGAGAAGGAGGAGCAGGCGCAGCAGGAGGCACAACAGGAGGGAGCGGAAGCGGCGGAGGCGCAGCACCACCAGCCCCACCAGAACCAGAAAGCGACGATGACGATGTGCAGGAGGTTGTCCTGCAGCATCGCCACGACAGCACCGTCACCGGAATGCAACTCCTTGGGATCCACGCTGCCACCTCAACAGCGCCGCGCATCATCGAGCCTAAGAACCCACGGCAAGCTCTCACAGGCCCACATAGCAAGGAGTGGCGCGAAGCAATGGACGCGGAAATCAGGGCACTCGAGTCACGCGACACCTGGGTGCTCGTCGACCGTGCAGCAGTGAAAGGGAGAAGGATCCTCTCCGACAAGTGGGTCTTCCGCGTGAAGACCGGAGCTGACGGGACGATCGAGCGATTCAAGGCGCGCTGGGTAGTGCGCGGCTACGATCAAAGGCACGGCATTGACTTCGATCAGACATTTGCACCGGTCAGCCGTCACACATCCGTCAGAATCCTTCTCGCCATCGCTGCCGCACGACACCTACCACTCCGACAGATTGATGTGAAGAACGCGTTCCTATACGCGTTAGTAGATGCAGTGATCTACGTGGAGCAGCCGCACACATACGGCGACGGGGATTCACGTGTCTGCCAGCTACACAAATCCCTTTACGAGATTAAGCAGTCGCCGAGGCTCTGGCAGCAGTACCTGCATAACATCTAGCTTGAAATTGGGTTCAAGCAGCTGCCTCACGATCCAGGGATGTATCGCCGCGACTTCCGCGGCGAATACATCCTGCTCATGGTTTACGTCGACGATCTGCTTTACACAGGGTCAAGCCCCGAGTTACTCGAGCAGTTCGAGAAAAACCTCGCCGGGCGCGTCGACATCACCTGCAACCACGACGTGAAGCAGTTCCTCGGCCTCAACATCACCTTTCAGCAGCCAAGTACGCAGAGGAACTTGGCAAGCGCTTCAACATTACACCTGCACCGCTCTCCACCCCTTACCGCACTCCAGGACCCAACCATAAGCCTGACAACAAAGCCCTATCCCCAGCTGGGCTTCAGACTTATCAGCAGCAGTTGGGATGCGTGCTCTTTGCCTCAGTCACCTGCAGGCCAGACCTATCCTACATTGCAAGTCAGCTGGCCCAGTACTCACGCAAACCAACGGCTGAGAATCTCTCAGATCTTCAGCGAGCACTTCAATTCTTCATCTCCACGCCCAATGTTGGGCTCTGCTACTCCACCATCCCAACCGCATCCTTCAGTCTCATCGGCTACGTGGACGCTGATCATGCCGCCGATCTCGACAATCGACGGTCCAGGACAGGCTTCCTCTTCCGCCTCGAGCCCAGCGGCCCCATCTCCTGGAACTCACAAAAGCAAGGGCTGGTTGCCCTGTCGTCGGCAGAAGCGGAGTTCATCGCAGCAACAGCCGCTGTTCGCGAAGGGCTCTACCTTCAGGAGCTGCTGCAGGAGGCAAAAATTCCGGCTTCTTTGCCTTGGCCTGCCAGGGAACTGCAAGATAACGCGCTGACAGGACCCATCCCCGCGCAACTCTCTGCCTTGCGCTCCTTGAATTACCTGTGAGAAAACAATGCAATGCAACGACGGGCGACATGGAAGCAGACTTCCTCACGAAGAAACTGCCGCGTCAGCAGTACCAGCACTGCTCCGAACTCAGCGGAGTAGTCAAGCGGGTCAAGACCTGCTACGACCAGGAGTGAAGGGGGGTGTTACTAATAGTGATTATTGAAACGTCACTATGCACTCCTCACCGCAGCAAGCGAAACACGCACTACCGAGGTTGAAGTCGAAAGGGCGGAAGTAACACGAAGGGACGAACGGTTACGAAAGCATCTGGACCGTCGGGCAGACAGCATCAGGCAGCAGCAGTCGCGAGGATTCTGCCCGAACAGTTTCGTAACCACCCGGAGTCGCACGGTTGGATTTCGCTGCAATAAGGGAATGTACCCCTTAGAGTACATGGCTAGCTAGGTCGATTCGAATTCCCCTGTACTCTTATTTATATTCCTTGTACTGCATGTTTTTAATTATCTCAAGCATTTACATCCACTCTGCTATTGAGGTCAAGGGCCCACCACCACTAGATTAGAAGTGTGCGAACCTTCCTGAGGTGATCCTGAGGTCGATCAACTTCTGATCGCAGCATTCTGCAACTAGTGGGTTGCCGGGCTGGCGTGCTAGATTCGAAGATAGACCACCTTTATTAGGTTAACTTGTCTTCCTAGTTGGACCAAAGTGTATGTCCACGTGTGTCCTCATTTGAAGATACAAATTTACCGGGAATGCCGAGCGCATTTGGTCAAAAACGAAAAACGTACTGGGGGGATGCCGACCGCATTTGGTCAGAGTCAGAGACAACGAATTCTGTTTGGCGGGAAAAGCCCATCCTCCCGTGAGTCTGCCACCACCAACGGACAATTCCTTGCTGACTCTAGCGGAGGAGACTAGACACTCGTTGACAAATTGACGGAGGTTTAGTCAGTCAGATTCTTATCCAGGTCGTTTCTGTTAGCTGCAAAGATTTGTAAGCCATTGTGGTTCCTAGTTTATTCCCATTGCTAGTGTCTAGTCTTCCCGCCGGATTTACGAAGTTCATGCGACGTCGCCTTGATTACAGCGATGATCCGCGAATCGATAGCGCTGGCATGTGCGTTGGCGACAGTTCTACTCCTCGCATCTCCATGGGTGGCGGAATCAGCAGTCCACCGATATAAGGGCGAGCGCTTCTTTCCGGCCTCCGACGCGTTCTTATTTCGCGGGGGTCGCGAGGGTCTCTTTATGTCCACGCCGTACGCTATTGCTAACTGGCAGACCGTCGCGAAAGGCGTGTCTAACGGCAAAGCGTACATTCGGTAAGCGTAAGAGTAGTTTTCTTTATTTTATAATTAATCAGCGTGACTCTAACCCAAGCGGTATAGGTTTGAGTCTGCTCAACGGTCTCTTGATGTCCAGGCCGTTCGCCGTTTCTAATTGGCTGACTAACATGCCGGCCGGACGTGTCGAATGGCGAAGAAATATTCAGTGATTTCCAACATTTCTACTAGAGTCGCGATGTTTCCATCCGTTATAGCCACATCTGGTACCGCTTTATCGGTCAAAAGCTTCCCTATTCTCGACTTTGTGAAATATCACAGCAGGTAACTGTGCGCCATATCTAGCTCATATGCGAGCAAACCATCATTGGCACATTGAAGCAACGGATTTCGTCTGTTTTCGTTTCGTCCCTTTCTCTTTTGCCACCTGATCTGAATCACGCTCTCTTCGCCATCAGATTCGACCACCTGGAGTTCCATCGGCCAGCAGAGGAGGCGCAACACGCGCCGCAGGTTGGGAAAACCGGGCGTATCGAAGCTCTCTTGTTCGACGTGGAAGATCGCGATAGGATCGGATACGCCACGTCAGCAAAGACGCGATCCTTCTGCTGCACTCCCGAGCTGGTCCAGCGCACTGGGTGCAACCCCGGCCACGTCATCGTCCGGCCAAGGGATGGCGACCACCAGGTGAGGCGAGAAGAGAAGGCCTTGTGTGACGGAATGACCACCAGGTGAGGCAAGAAAAGAAAGCCGCGTGAAGGAACGATCGCCAGGTAAGGCAAGAAGGCCGTGCGGAGCCATCCTGCTGAGCTGTTTCTAAGGGTAGTATGGTGTGGTGTAGCTTGAAGCATCTCGGACCATGCTTGCACTCCTGAGCTGGTGCAACGCACTGAGTGCAACCCCGGCCACGTCATCGTCCGGCCAAGGGATGGCGACCACCAGGTGAGGCGAGAAGGACGTGTGTGAAGGAACGACCAGCAGGTACGGAGAGAAGGCCGTCCGGAGAGTGTGCAGCTGGTGAGGCGAAAAGGCCTCATGCGGTGACAACGATAACCCCATGGGTGTTTCCGTCGCCCCATTGCATTCCCTCCTCACTTTTCGCTCCTGCTTTCCATTCCCTTTCCCGAATGCCCCTCCCCTGCTCCCAATGCCCTCTCCCTCTCCCGCTCACGCGATCCCTTTTCCCAATGCCCCCCCAATGGTCTTGTCTGGCGGGGATCAACTCCCTTGCCAACATCACAGCAGTTCAAGTCAACTCAATACGTTGCCTCCTCTCTTCCCCCACATGCGTTCCCTTTCCCCGATACCCCCTCCCTTTCGTCACTGCGCCCTCACTTTCCCCAATCCTCCCGCCGACCCACCCACCCCTTTCAGTGGCGTCGTGCGGTGAAAGATCAACAACCTTGGCAAGGAAACCACAATGGTTGCTTGAGTAACCTGTCGTCGTCCTCACTTCCCTCTTCTTCCCCCTTCCTCCCTCTTCCTCCCCAGTGGCCGCGTGTGGTGGAGATCAATTTCTTTGGCAACGACACCACAGTGGTGGCAGCACCATCAGAGATTCGCATCAAGATGACGGGCATGTACTACCTCTGGTTCGTCATCTGCGACAAGAGCATGGCTGGCGTGTCTGTAACGGGGACAACCGTGTGGAAGAACCCTGACGGGTACCTGCCCGGCATGATGGCGCCTTATCTCCTCTTCTACGAGATCATGGCTGTGGTGAGTGCTTATTTCGGTGGTCAATTCTGTACTGTGAAAAAACTCTCGAAAAAGCTACAGTGATGCTTGTACATCACTGCAGTGCTCGTCCTCTCCATGGCCGAGATAGTCACCTGGCTGGTTCTTTAACCTTCACCTCTTTCCCCCTCACTACAACGCTTCCCCTCCGCTCAACTGAACGCCTCCCCTCTCCCCCCAACCCCCCGTCCCCCCCTCTCTTCCCCAACCACCCCAACACCTCCTCCATCCCCCTCCTTTCCCAACCACCCCAACACCTCCTCCATCCCCCTCCTTTCCCAACCACCCCAACACCTCCTCCATCCCCCTCCTTTCCCAACCACCCCAACACCTCCTCCATCCCCCTCCTTTCCCAACCACCCCAACACCTCCTCCATCCCCCTCCTTTCCCAACCACCAGGTGAACACGATCCTGGGCATCGTGTGGTTCGCTCAGTACTTTCGCTTCTGGCAGGACGGGTTTTGAGTCGACTCAAAACTTCCCGTCCCCCCAAATTCTCCTTGTTTCCCCTCCGCCAGGTATACACCATCCTGGGCATCGTGTGGTTCGCGCAGTACTTCCGCTTCTGGCAGGACGGGCTGCAGATCCACACGTGCATCACCGCCGTGCTCGTGCTCTCCATGGCCGAGATGGCCACCTGGTTCTTCGACTTCGCCCATTTCAACTCCTCCGGATTCCGTCCCATCGGGACCACCATCTGGGCGGCGACTCTCGGCGCCATCCGCAAGGCCGTCTCGCGCGTGCTCGTCCTGGTCGTCTCCATGGGGTTCGGCGTTGTTCGTCCCACTCTCGGCGGGCTTTCCGGGAAGGTTGTGGCGCTAGGAGTGGGGTATTTCGCGGCGGTGGAGCTTCTAGACGTGATGCAGAACGTGGGGGCGATTGACGATCTCACGAGCAGCGAGCGGCTGTTCCTGGTGCTGCCGGTGGCGGTGCTCGACGCGATTTTCATCCTCTGGATCTTCTCCGCGCTCTCCAAGACGCTGGCTCAGCTGCAGGCCAAGCGCACGACGCACAAGCTGGAGCTGTACCGCAAGTTTACCAACGGGCTGGCGATCGCTGTGCTCGTGTCGGTGGCCTGGATAGGCTTCGAGGTGAGATTCCAGTTGCGATTATGTAAAGAGGTATGTGTACAGGCCAAGCGCACGACGCACAAGCTGGAGCTGTACCGGAAGTTCGGGGCTGGCGATCGCTGTGCTCGTGTCTGTGGCGTGGATTGGCTTTGAGGTGAGATGCCTTGTCTGTGGGCCTTGAGGTGGGATACCTCTCGTGTGGTAAGGAGTTGGATGTGGTGTGTGGCATGTCAGGCCAAGCGCAAGACCCACAAGCTGGAGCTGTATCGGAAGTTCACGAACGGGCCGGCGATTGCTGGCACGGGTAGGCTTTGAGGTGAGAGGCGAGTAGCTGTCTGTAGGAGGTGATATGGGGTCAAGCAACGTCAATAGAGATCAGAGGAGGTGAGTTGATGTCAAGCTGAGGAAAGGCGAGTAATGGAGAGAAATCAGGCGCCTAGTAACGAGTATATCCATCCATTTCCTCCCCCGTATCCCCCTACCCCAGATGTACCTGCGCACATCGGACCCGTACAATGAGCAATGGGAGGGCGACTGGATCACCGGGTGCTTCTGGCATGTGCTCACGCTCATGCTGCTCTGCCTCATCTGCGTTTTATGGGCGCCCTCAAGAAACGCCACCAGGTAGGGAGGGGGTAGCTTCGGAAGGAAGTTTAGGTTCTTTTCCGGAGTAAACAACATGTGCTCACGCTCATGCTGCTCTGCCTCATCTGCGTGCTCTGGGCTCCATTAAGAAACGCCACCAGGTATGGATGGTTCAGGGTTTAATCCCCTTGTCGTTGCACTGGGTGCTTTTTGCATGTGCTCTGTCTGTCTCATCTGCCTGGTCGCCCTCAAGAAACGCCACCAGCCGTGCTCCCGTGCTCTGAGTGTTGAGATGGGGTGGACCTTCAATCTTGTGCTCGTGCTGCTGCTGCTGCCCTGCTGCTCTATCTTTTAGGCCGCCTCAAAAGTCGCCCTCAAAGAAACGCCGCAAGGTAAGCCCTGCTCCCGTGCTCTGAGTGTTGAGATGGGGTGGGCCTTCAATTCTGTGCTCATGCTGCTGTTGCCCTGCTATCCTGCTTCTCTGCTTCTCACTCCCCACACACTCCCCTCTCGGTAGCGTTCAGTGCATACTCTGAGGATGTGCCAGAGGAGCTGGGCGAGGAGGAGGTAGCCCTCACTGCAGTGTCAGCTGTGGGTGCTTTGCTGTCCACTGATCCCTCTCACTCTTCCCTTGCTCCTTCTCACTCTCCCCCCTCTCATCAATACAGATACGCCTATTCGGAGGATGTTCCAGAGGAGTTGGGCGAGGAGGAGGTAGCACTCACGGCAGTGTCAGCTGCTGCTGGTAACGCTGCAGGTGGGGCAGAGAAGAAGCAAGCAGTTAACACAGACGTGTTCTCATTGGACGACGAGTTGGAGGAGGGGAAGAAAGAATAAAAGTTGTCACCAGTGTTGAGAATGGGGTGAAACTAAGATGTTGAGAATGGGGTTAAACTAAGACGTTGAGAATGGGGTGAAACTAAGACGTTGAGAATGGGGTGAAACTACCCGGAGGAGTGGTACGGTTGAAGTGAGTTGGAGGGCAACTGCCGCAGCGTTGTTGAAAGTAGCTTCCCCATTACTGTGTCACAAGTTTTGAGACATGTCAAAACGAGGAGCAGCCAGCAAATCTGTCACTGAGTCTCGGTGAGTTTTAACTGATTTCTATTCTTATGCTGGGACTGGCAATTTCTCAAATAACTGGTGCAGGATTAAACTACAGCATGGAGCAATTGGAGACTAACAATTGAATGTGCAACATCAGTAATTTTCTTTTTATTCCCTAAGCCATGGAGATTACCTTGTCAGAATGTTATGCTCTAGCCTGTAGTGGGGTGTTCTATAGCGAGTACAACCCTTCTAGGGTTTGCTATTTGTATCCTCATCCCTGCTAGTGAACTCCCTTTTTGCCTAAACTGTTTCTTGCCTAGCTAGGGCTTTCCTAGCTATGGCGCCTTCTTCTACTGCTTATCTTCACATGGTATTAGAGCGATATGCTCCTGGCCTGTGGGTCCCACCTCACTGCTTCCGCTGCTACTGCTACTCTCTGTGTTGCACGCCCCGTGGCGTGCAACGGATTTTTCATCCCGCCACGCGCTCGGAGCGTGCGGCGGTTTTCTGCCCGCCGTGCGCCCCGAGGCGCGCGGCGGTTTTCTGCCCGCCGTGCGCCCCGAGGCGCGCGGCGGTTCTCTGCCCGCCGTGCGCCCCGAGGCGCGCGGCGGGTTTCTGCCCCGTCACGCAGCGCGTCGCTCCCGGGAGGCGCTGCGACGGGCGACGGGGACCTGCGCGTCGCCCCCTGTCACCCGTCGTGGCCTGTGCGCGGCCCGTACAGCCTGCGCGCGGCCCGTACGGGCTGCGCCAGGCCCGCGCGCGGCCAGTACGGGCTGCGCCAGGCCCGCGCGCGGCCCGTACGGACTGCGCCAGGCATGCGCGCGGCCCGTACGGGCTGCGCCAGGCCCGCGCGCGGCCCGTACGGGCTGCGCCAGGCCCGCGCGCGGCTCGGGCCGCCTGCGCGCGGTTCGGGCGGCTGTGCCAGGCCCGTGGGCGGCCCGTTCTTCGCTGCCCCTGCGCTGCCCGCTGTCCCCCGTGCTTCTGATGGCGCCCCACCCCTGCTACTGCCCGTTCTCCTGAATTAGGGTTTGGGGGTGGGGGGCATGGGGGTGCAGCTTCTGTGTGCCGTCCCCTGCTCCTCCTCCTCCTCCGTCTCCCAGTGCTGCAGCTGCCGCTGAGGGGGGTGGACCTGTTGGAGCCGTCGGAGTGGTACTAAGGGGGGTGAAGGGGGAGTGGAGCTAGGGGTGAAGCAGGGGGTGTGTGTCAAGGGGGGTGGGACTGTTTGGGGAGGTTGAACGAAGGTTGCCGTCGTGTCGCCAGCAGCACCTGTAGTCCGGGGAGTTGCTCCGGTAGCCCAGTCGCAGCCACCTGTGCCAGTCGCCCGTGGGTCCGTTGCTCGTCTGCCGCTACTTTTAGCCGCGGGGCCAGTTACTCCAGTCGTCCGGAGCGCTGTTCCGGTAGCCGCTGTGCCAGTGTGCCTCCTGTTGCCCGTGCGTCTGCAGCTTCAGTCGTCGCCTCCTATCTTCTCTCCTCTTACAGTCTCGCCTCCTCCTCCTCACTTGCCCTCTGCGATAGCCTCTAGCTTTGCTCATAATTGTGAACTTTAACTATTGCTTCTTGTACTTGTGCTCAGAATGTGTGGTGACATTGTGATCCACCCTGAGCTTGTTCTGTTTTGCTTGCTCTGCTGATTACACCCCACTTTGGCTATGGGGGTGTGTCAGAATGTTATGCTCTAGCCTGTAGTGGGGTGCTCTATAGCGAGTACAACCTTTCTAGGGTTTGCTATTTGTATCCTCATTCCTGCTAGTGAACTCCCTTTTTGCCTAAACTGTTTCTTGCCTAGCTAGGGCTTTCCTAGCTATGGCGTCTTCTTCTACTGCTTATCTTCACATACCTAACGCCAAGATGGCCCCACAAAAACGCTACAGTACTTTGGAAAAATAATCTGCATTGAGCAGTCAGTTAAGCAGCAGCACCTGCAAACGGCTTGAGAGCAATCCGGCCAGAGGCAGAGCGCAGGGGGAGAGTAACCACAGCAGAACCATCGACAGATGTGCCTGCATGGGAAGGAGGCAAGCCTATGCTTGAACCTCCAGCAGCAGCAGATGCAACCCCAGCACCAGCACTACCAGCAGCAGCTGCAGCAGCAGTACCAGCAGCGGCATGCACCCTCCGTGCAGCAGGGGGAGGACCAGAGAGCACCCGGGCCTTGCCAGGATTGAGCAGCGAATCCGCCATGGTCCATCCCTCTGCAGCAGCTTGCTCCTCAAACGTCCCAAACAGGGTTCGGGTGACCTCTAGGCTCTCAGACACTGCTCGTTCCACCTCTGCTGATGTGAGGGACTTTTGCCACGCCCGAGGCCCCTTGGGGCTGATCTCCTTGGGAGCCCATCTGCCTGGACTGCTGCTGGTGAGGGTTGTTGGGCTGAAGTTGTTTGGAGTTAGATCTTTGGGGGAGGATTCAGGGGAAAGGTGGGAGGATTTGGGGGAGGAGTCCGGTGAGAGGCGGTGGGACAGCAGGGGCTGCTGGTGACTCAGCAGGGGCTGCTGACAGGTGTCCTGTCGCCATTGGTCCAGCAAGTGCAGCAGCACGTGCGTCTGGAAGGCCGCCCGCACCACGTCCCTTGATTTGGCTCCTTCCTTGAGGACGACGTATGCCCTCCGGTGGTTCGGGCGGTACGTCACAATGTATTGCTCGTCCTGATGGTGAGAAGGACAGGGGGGATCGGTGGGGTGGGTCCGGTGCGTGGGGCTTCTGAGAACATCCCCCACCCACACACACAATTCAAGGGGGCAATTCACGGCCCATGGCAGCACAAGGATACGCTCCCTGGCGTTGACCTCTGCCCTAAAAGCTGCACATTGCTCTAAACCACTGGGCCGATTTCCCTTTCACCTCCACCACACGAGGAAAAGCAGCAGAACATACCTTGAAGATCCGTTGAGAGGAGAGCAGGTCAGCAGGGCTTCGGAAGGAGTCTGCCACCCGTGCGCCCAGCTCCAAAGGACGATCCACCGCCCACGGCAGCACGAGGATTCGCTCCCTGGCGTTGGCCTCTGCGAGGGAGGGTACTTGCCCCGTTTCCAGGAAGGAGCGCACTGCCACGGCGAAGCGAGCGCGGTTGAGCGTGGGTACTTGGACCGATTTGACCTGGAGTGGAGAGAAAAGGGGGGGAGAGGAGTCGGAAGGGTTGGAGGGGACGGGATGGGGACAACAAGAGAGGGAACGGATGACGTTTGGAACTGACACGGGCGCCATACAAAAAATTGAGATCTTAATTGGGCCAATTGGGCCAATTTGGCCAACAAAGGTGAGGGGGGATCCTCTTCCTGGCGTTCGACTCTGCGAGAGATGACACCTGCCCCGTTTCCAGGAAGGAGCGCACCGCCACAGCATGCATGCATGTGTGTGACTATGTGCATGCATGTGTGTGACTATGTGCATGCATGTGTGTGACTATGTGCATGCATGTGTATGACTATGTGCATGCATGTGTGTGACTATGTGCATGCATGCATGTGTGTGACTATGTGCATGCATGTGTGTGACTATGTGCATGCATGTGTATGACTATGTGCATGCATGTGTGTGACTATGTGCATGCATGCATGTGTGTGACTATGTGCACGCATGCATGTGTGTGACTATGTGCATGCATGCATGTGTGTGACTATGTGCATGCCTTCTCATATCGTTGAGTGGCGGGAGGAGGTAGATGCAGGGGAGTAGAGTGTGAGCGATTAGGCTGACCTGGTGTGTGAGTGCACATGTGCATGTGTGCGTGTGAGTTCATGTGTATGTGTGCCTGTATATGTGCGTGCATGTGAATGTGCACTGGTAGTTTGATGTGTGCATGTGAATGCAGGTGCGCATGTGCGTGTATGTATGTGCGCATGTGCTCACCTCGTTGAACGATGCAAAGAGGTAGCCACAGGAGAGGACGGCAAATGTGGCGGCAAGGTGCGGGTTGCTCCTTGCAATGAGAATGCCGGCTCCTGTGCCCATCTGCACACACATGAAGAGTGCAACACAGCACACAGAGCGTTTAGCATTGATATCGCTCAAAGACACTTGCAAGGAGAGAAGGTGGCGGCAAGGTGCGGGTTGCTCCTTGCAATGAGAATGCCGGCTCCTGTCCCCATCTGCACACACGTGGAGTGTATACAGCACACTGTAAGTAAGAACATAACATAGCATAGTCACTGATAGTTTATATGCGAATGCCTTTTTTTGAAACAAATAGTACTTTTCCCATTTACTAAGCATTTTCCTTACAGATGCTCTCTCCTTTCGCGAAAATGTCAGCCTGCCTCAACCCCCCCTCACCCACACACACACACAGACCACTCCCACCCACACGCACACCTACACCCAAACAGACCCGCCCAACTCCCCTCTCCTCAACACACACACACCCACCAGGTCAGCGAGGTTACTGATGCTCTCCCCTTTGGCCGTGATGTCTCCAATGTTCTCCCGCCGCGCAAACGCCTTGTAGATGGGCGCTCGAGTGGATGTGTTGGTCACGGCCCCAATGTTCTGAGGGAGGGAAGGGGGAGAGGGTGGGGGGAGAGGGCGGGAGGAGAGGGCGAGGAGAGGGGAGAAGAGGTGGGTGGCAGTTAGACAAACGCCTTGTAGATGGGCGCTCGAGTGGATGTGTTGGTCACGGCCCCAATGTTCTGAGGGAGGTGGGAGAGAGGAGGGAGAGCGCAGGAGAGGTGGGTTTGGGGGGGACGAGAGGGCGGTGACAGCTGATGCAAACGCCTTGTCGATGGGCGCGCGGGTCGATGTGTTGGTTACTGCTCCGATGTTCTGAGGTAAGGGAAAGGGGAAGAAGGGTCGATGGGAGAGTAGGGGGAGGAGGGGAAGGGGTTTGGGGTGAAGGGGGTGAAGGGGGTGAAGGGGGTGAAGGGCCGTAACAAGTTGTTTGAGAAGTTGGTTGATACGAGATGGGCGCCGTTGAGAATATAGTTTTGAGACGTCTCAAAACTAGGAGATGGGCGGGTATGAGAATTCTCCAAAGTGGTTCGTTTTGAGCGTTGGGAAGGAGCGGTGAGGGAGCGACCGTGGTTCAAAGCTCCATCCCAGCACACTGAACCGCACTGCACCAGACTGTTTAGCACGAAACCGGTTTGCACCCACCTTGAAGACGTTGGCGACACAGGCGAGTGGGAGGAAGAACGAGGGGGCGGCCATGGTGCAGAGCTCGACACAGCAGCGGCAACCTACTGAGCCCGCCCAGCTGCACTGCACCAGATTGCACCGAACTGAACCGCACTGTACCCACCTTGAACACATTGGCGACACAGGCGAGTGGGAGGAAGAACTTGGGGGCGGCCATGGTGCAGAGCTCCACACAGCAGCCGAAGTCGAGCAGCATGTTGCTCAGAAAGCGCATCTGCAGGGAGGGTGGATGGGAGTGGGGTGTGGTGGTGTGTGGTTGGGTTGGGGGTGGTGGGGATGCAATGCGGGCGGTGGAGGAGGGGGAGGGGGAGGGGGGGGAGAAGGAAGGGGAGGTGGGGGAGAGGTGGGGGGGAGGTGGGGGGGAGGGGGAGAGAGAGGGGGGGTTGTTGAAGAGTTTTGAGATATTTCAAAAGCGCATAAGCAATTAGAGAGTAGTGGGGAAGGAGGAGCGAGGGAATGGCACTGGTGCAGTGCAGAGATCGACACAGCGGCCCAGATCAAGAAACATGCTGTGAACCTTCCCCGTTACCATCCAATTTCTCTCTGACCTGTTCCTCCTCCCACCTGTTCCTCCCCTCACCTCACCTGTTTCAGATCGCAGTCGAACCGCTTTCCGTGGCGCGCGAACAGCATCTTCCCGAGCCGCCCCGCGCCGTCCTTGAGCACCCAGTTCACCGCGAGCGCGCTCGCCGCCGCGCCGCCGCCGCCCGCGCCGCGCGATACCCCCAAGGCGTGCAGCAGCGAGCGCGTGGTGAACACGCCCATCGCGCCGCCGAAAAAGTACTGATAGGGGTAGCAGGGAGGGAGAGTGAGAAGGGAGGGAACTGTAAATGAGATGCGGGAGAGAGGGAGATGAGGGGAAGGGAGGGGGGACGGAGACGGGACGGAGTGAAAGAAGGGAGTGGAGGAAGGGGGGACGTGTTGGGTGGGAGGAAGTGTGGGAGGAGAGAGAGAGCGAGTGGTGAACATGCGCATGGGCCCGCCGAAAAGACTTTTGAGACGTCTCAAAAGTCGTCTACTTAGACGCGCATGGGCCCGCCGTAAAAGCGCTGCAGGAGAGGAAGGCGGGGGGAAGGAAACACCTGCAACCACCCTCTCTTATAGTCAACCTGCAAGTAGCCTCCCTCTATTGTCAACCTACGAATGCCCTCCCTCTGTAGTCACCTGCAAGGCGCGCCACCGCATGTACGGTACGAACGACGGAGCCACGCTGTCCGGAAACCCTTCGGGCAGAAAATTCGTCTTGAAAAAGTCGGTCAGTTCCTGGAGGAAAACAAAATGGGGGAGAGAGAGAGAGGGAAGGATGGGAAGGTGAACGGGGGAAAGCAGGGGTTGAGGGTGGAGGAGGGAGGGAGCTGGGAAGAGCGGGAGGGGCGAGGGTTTTGGGAAGAAACTCACATTTGGCGACATTGAATTCTACCAGGGCACGAATGATCAGCGAACTGATCCGCGCAATCACTACAGCGCGCGCACTCACCATAACCGCGTCTGCGCGCTCCCCCACGTCCTGGATAGAGAACGGCTTTCTCCGCCGCCCCTTGCGCCCCCTCCCCGCCCCCTCCGCGCCATCCCCTCCCCCGCCGCCCTCATTCGCCACATACGCCTTAGTGGATCCGCCCACGCGCTCCCAGCACAGGACCGGCGGACCCGATAGGTCTTTAATCGCCTCGCTTCCGTCACTAGACGCGGCCCGGGTATCATTAACCGACTCTGATCCCCGAAGCTTGAAAGCAGGCTCGGAAGGAGCTGTCGCTAAATCGTTCGCCACATTCGTTGGCTGCTGCTGCGTGGTGACCCGGTTAGAAATCATGGAATTCTCCGAGCGAGAGATTCTAAGTGGTGGCATGGATATTGTCGAATTGTGGGAAATCGGAGCTGATCCGTCATCGAAAGCGCGAGAATCAGACGTAAACGCTGACGTTGACGTTGCCGTTGACGGAGCGCCTCCGCGCGACGGCGACGCCGGGCGACCCGATTGAGCGTAAAGCAGCTTCGCATTCGAGCGTCGGGGTTTCCCAGACGGCTGCGCGCTATTTCCGTTACCCTGGGCGTCTGACCGTCGGATCTCCATTCGCACCCTCGTGGGCGAACGCTCGAGCGATCGCTGGAGAAGACGCATGGCCGGTTACCGTTACAAGGACTTGGAGGATGGATCGATGGACGTAGCCCTTACACGTTTTAGAGGTGGTTCGAGTGATATCGCTTGCGGATTGCGTTGCACTACGGTCAACTATGCACTTCGTGATTGCTGTAATTACCAGATTAAGCCCAAAAAGAACCTAACACTGCGTGAAACAACTGTGAAAAGGGTGGGTAGGTCGAAATTACTTTTCCCGCAACTCTCCAGTCTTTTCGTCTCTTGGTCAGATTTATCAACAATCCAATCGGAAAATCAAGAACCAGGTCGCATTCGCAAGGGACGGAGGAAATGAGCGAGATTGCAGAAGATCACAGAAGACTTCGCAGTTTAGGTGAGATACAGAATTCCACATGGCCATGAAATAGGTAAGGGAGGAGGAATGCATGCGGGGGGGCATCACAGAGGTGGAAGGCGAGGGGAAGAAAATTGAAACAGCTGCGCTCATCAGATTTGGTGACGCGCAAAGCCCGACCTCGCGGATGCAATTTACAAGGAAATGCGAACAACCGCGACGGGTGACCGAAACAGAACTGTGTGTCGAGCGACAAGGATGAGCGGCTACTGGCTTCGTTTATTGCAGTTTGTGGTGGTTGTGCGTCGAGGAACCCAAGGGCGAAACGATCCTGGGAGTGCATGCGACAGCTGGTCGCGAAATCTGGCGGAATGTGCGGAAGATGGATGGACAAGAGCCATTGATGTCAAACAAGTCCCTGCATGAACGGCTGAACGCGATTCACAGCTGCTGGCGGCGACGTTCCCCTCCGTACTGTCGCAGATTCCCCTCCCCACCGGCATTGGCTCGGCGCTTTTGATTTGGCGTCCGCGAAATCGAGGTAGTCTGATTGGCGGAAGGGACCTTCTTCCCCCGCGCACGCTGACGCTTCCGTTACTCGAGAGCCACGAGCAAATTGCAGCTTCCTCGTTTGCTGACGCCGTTTGTGTGATTGCGAGGAACAGCGACCTCGAGAGATGCGGCGCGGAATGTTCGTGAAAGGTGAACCCCTTTTGGCACGTGGCGCGATGACATGCTGGCGTGTGCCAGGGGGGTAATTGCACCCTATCGCTGCCTTCACTAAGAGAACATTGAATCACCCCTATCTGCTGAAGACTGCACTACTGGTTACATGTGTCTTTACGAAGCAATGACTACAATACATCAATTGGATAGTAGTGAGGTATCCTATGTTTGAAAATTGCCATCATTGCATCTCCCCCCTGCTCGTAGACCAAGCCAAACGATTCAAGCCGTTTCACTAGAGTGCTACTTACAAACCCATAGTCTTTCAAAGTACCACCAATAAAAAAGGCATTTCATTTCAAAAGCACTTCTAGTCACTCCTACAGCCAAAAACCAACACCGACACGAACCAATCCAAGACATCTCACACCGCCTTCCCATTCCCTTCCACCACTCGTTTCTCTTCCCCCTACTTGTCCTTATCCTCGTGCCGCTTGGGCCCCCTCGATATAAGCACAAGGAAGAAGAAGCAGCACGCATAAGCCGCATACGTGCCAGCAGAGGCATTGGGGGGCAGGTCGAGCATGGCGCGTTCAAAGATAGTGACGTAGGAGTGCAGCCCCACCCCCAGGGCCACCAGCAGCTGCAGCACTGCTCGCAGGCGAATGAACTTGCCCTGGCCTCGCTCGGATGAACGAATGGTCACACACAAGGAAAGACCCTGATATTAGGGAGGAAATGTGGGAGGGACAGGAGGGGGAGGAGGGGGAGAGGGAGGGGAGGAGGAAGGGGAGGGGGAGGGAGGGGGAGGAGGGGAGAAGAAGTAAGCATGAGCACAGGGACGAGCTGAACACCCTCCGATTCAAAGACGGTGACGTAGGAGTGCAGCCCCACCCCCAGCGCCACCAGCAGCTGCAGCACGGCCCGCAGGCGAATGAACTTGCCCTGCCCTCTCTCCGACGAGCGAATGGTGACACACAGGGACAAGCCCTGCAGGAGGGGAGGGGGGCCAAGAGGGGTGCGGGAAGAGGGCGGATTGTGAGGGGTGTACTACACAGAGACACAGAGACACAGAGACATAGAGACACAGAGAGGAACACACAGAGGCGTGACATGGTTCCGCAGAGGGTGGGACACTTGCCTAGAGAGCGAGATAGCAAGGGATACCCCGCCATGCAGCAGCTGCACCAGTGATACTCCCCGGCCCTGGTGATAAATGCAACATACTGCCTTAGTGGTTTCACGAGTATACTTGCCTGAAGCGCGAGGTAGCACAGATAGCCCGCCCCTTGCAGCAGCTGCAGCACAAAGTAGTTACGCTCCACAACCAGCCCCCAGGCCCCCACACCAGTGGTTGGTTACAAGAGAAAACTTGCCTGCAGTGCGAGGTAGCACAGGTAGCCCGCCCCCTGCAGCAGCTGCACTAGTGATGTTCCAAAACCACCCCCCAGGCCCCCGTACTGGTGGTTATAAGAGAAGAGATCACTTGCCTGGAGTGCCAGGTAGCAGAGGTAGCCCGCCCCCTGCAGCAGCTGCAGCACAAAGTAGTTATGCTCCGCGACCTTCTTGAGACTCGCCATCGGCTCCGCGCTTATAACGAAGCACGCCACAAGGAGTACAAAGCAGTAGAGGAAGAGGTAGAGGTTGGCCAGGTGCACGATGCGGCGAAGAGAGAGAGCAGCGCGCATGCGCACGAATAGTCCGATGACGAGTGCGAGGGGGAGGAGGAGGAGGAGGTAGGAGAGGAGGGTGGCGAGGAGCGGCGAGGAGGAGCCGAAGTAGGGGGTGATCTGCGAGGTGAGGTGCGAGCTGGTCTTGAGGAAGGCCAGGCGGGATGTGCGGGCGATCTGAGAGATGTGTGGCATGACGTGCTTGCTCGCCTTGTCCTGATGGGGGTGAAGGGAGGAAGGAGAGCAGGGGGCACGGAACGGAGAGGGGGGAGAGGGGGGAGGGAGACGAGAGATGAAGGGGGAAGAACGCTTTGGGAGATGTGCCGCAGCACGTGCTTGTTTGCTGGTCCTGAAGGGGTAGAGGCGAGGAGCGGGGAGGAGGAGCCGAAGTAGGGGGTGATCTGCGAGGTGAGGTGCGAGCTTGTCTTGAGGAAGGCCAGGCGGGACGTGCGGGCGATCTGAGAGATGTGTGGCAGCATGTGCTTGCTCGCCTTGTCCTGATGGGGGGGGAGGGACCGGGGGAGGGAATGAAGAGAGGAGAGAGGCGGGAAGATAGTGGGGAGAGGGGAGAAGATGGATGGGAGAGGACAGAGGCAGGATGTGCAGGCGACCTGCTCGCCTCGTCCTGAAGAACACCTAAAACCGCACCACCAGAAAACTCACCTTCACTCCCATAAGAGTCGGTTTGAAGTTCCTCCGGATCCCCATGACCTCCTGCATGTAGGACGAGTGGGTATCAGCATCCGCCACGGCCCCTGCCTCCAGCTCCATCTGCTCCTACATCCTCCTGCAGGTCACTCGTACCTGTACCTCAAGCACCCCTCTCAACCGCACTGCACTTCGCTCAACCGCACTGCACTTCGCTCAACCGCACTGCACCCACCTTTACACCCATTAAAGTCGGTTTGAAGTTCCTCCGGATCCCCATGACCTCCTGCATGTACGACGAGTGAGCATCAGCATCCGCCACAGCCCCCGCCTCCAGCTCCATCTGCTCCTCCTCACTCATTCTCACCGCCACATCCTCCTGCAGGTGCTTCAATATCTCCATTTCCTCCTCGCTCACCACCGCACCCATGCTCCCCCCGTCCCGCACAACAATGCTCCCCCCTTCCCCCGCATCCATGCTCCCCTCCCCTGCCCTCACGCCCTCCCCCGCGCCTGTGCTCCCCTCCCCCGCCCGCCCAAACACGTCGCCGCCCACCCCCGCCCCTGTAATCGCCTCCGAGCCTCCCTCCGAGCCTCCCTCCGAGCCTCCCTCCAAGCCTCCCTCCGAACCTCCATCTGCGCCGTTCCCACTGCTGGTGCTGCGGTCAGTCGCACCTGATCCGGCAATCATCTCGTCCTGCCCTGGCGTCACTGCAGCTGAATCCATCTCCTCCTCCATCCCTGCTGCTCCTGCTGCACCTGCTGCACCTGCCACACCTGCTGCCCCACCTGCCACACCTGCTCCTCCCTCACCTGCCCCGCCTGCATCGGCTGTGTTGCCTGCGTCGGCTGCGTCAGCAGCATCGGACTTTCCGTCTAACTCCGCTGCTTCTGCCCGTTCTTCTCGCTGCACCTGATTCTCGTCATCTATCTCTTCCGATCGCTCCATGTCATTCCCCTCATCCTCCCCACCGCTCCCACTGCCACCCTCCACGTCCCTCCTCCCCTCTATCCTCTCCTTCTCCCCCAACTCCTCCCCACCCTCCACAAGCCGTTCCTTGCGCCCCTTGTTCTTCTTCTTCCTCTTCTCCTTCTTGCTCTTTTTCTTCTTCTCCTTCCCCTTCCCCTTCTTCCTCACACCCACCTCCACCTCATCACCTCCCTCCCTTTCTCCCTCTCCCTCTCCCTCTCCCTCCTCCTCAACCTTCTTCTCTCGTACCCTAATCCCCTCCTCGCCCTCCTCCCTCTCGTCATCATGTGCTGCTTTCGCTCGCGGCCTATCCTCCCCCTCTCCTTCCTCACTCCCTTTGCTCCCCTCATCGTCCCCACCTCCCTCCTTCCCCACCCTCCCCTCCTCATTCTCATCCTCCTCAGTGCTCCTCCTCTTGCTCCCCTCACCTTCCTCCCCAATATCTTCCTCCTTCTCCCCTCCCTTCTCCCTCCCTTCACCGTCCTCCTCTCCTTCCTCCTCCCTCACTCTCTTCTCCCTCTCTCCACTCTCATCCTCCTCGTTCCCATCACCACGCTTTCCCCTCTTCCCCTCCTTCCTCTCGTCTCCCCCGTAGTCATCCCCCCCTTCCTCCGCATCTTTCCCCCCATTCCCGCGCTTCCCCTCAGATTCCACAAGCAAATCTTCACCCTCCGCCTCCTCCCGCTCCTTTCCCCTTCCGCGCGTCCGCTTCGACACGTCATCATCCTCTGTTTCCACGTCATCCCCCTCCTTTTCCGCGCGTGGGCCATCGTCTGCCTCCGGAATCTCCTGACTTTCTTTCTTCACGCGCCGCCCCTCGCCGTCCCCTTCACCGTCCCCCTCCCTTTCCCCCTCCCTTTCCCCCTCCCTTTCCCCTTCCCTTTCCCCCTCTCCCTCGTCTCCATCGTCACTCCTCTCCTTCCTCCGCCTATCCGCCTTCTCCCCACTCTCCCCCTCGCCGGCATCGTCTTCCCCCGCGTCCGCCTTTTCCGCCTTCCGCTCCGCCACTTCGTCGTCATCCGCGGGGGGAACTACATTTCCGCGCTTGCCTTCCCCAATATCAGCCTTCTCTTCCTCCTCCTCCGTAGCAGCAGCAGCAACGGTTTTCTCTCTCTTCTCCTCCGCCTCGCCCGCCAACTCTCCGCCTTCCGCGTGTTCCGCGCCCTCCGAAGAATCTTCTCCGCCTTCCCCTTCCTCCGCCGCGCTTTCTCGCGCTCGTGAAGGAGTCTCTTCGTCGTCCCTCTCCACATTCATCACCTCATTCATCTCCGCGTTTGCTTCCGCCTTCCCCCCGTCATTCCCCTCTTCCCGCGCCCCTCCGCGGGCCTCCTCATCGCCATCCGCACTTCGCGCGACACGATCTCCCCCCTCGCCGTCTTCCTCCCCCAGCTGTGACGTCACCTCCTTAATCACCTGCTGAAGTTCCTCGGACCTTCGCGGCATCGCGTTCTGTCGACGAAGCTTCGCCTTCTTGCTCGACTTTTTGGTCCCTGTCTTCTTGCTCTTGCGAGCCTTTTTCTTCTTCTTCTTTCCCTTGCGCTTCTTCCGCGAGCCTTCCGACAAATCTCCGCCATCCCCGCCAGAATCCCCCGCACCGTCGCCGTCTTCGTCAGGGACTTGGAGCAACCGACGGGAAACGCTATGCTTGACAGAAACCGGCTGCATGACGCTTAGCTGATGGCCGTGCATCCATAAATGAACGTTGGAGTTTAACGAGCTCGTCAGATCTGAAGTGGTCAACGCCTGGTCATGCCGTTTTGCTTCGACGAAAGCAGGAAAAGAGTGACCTGCTAATGTAACGACCACCAGTATGAAAGGAACCAGGAGCTTCCAGACCCCCATGGCGATAATGTCCGCTTCCGCAGATAGATTAATTGGTGCGCATCGAAGGAAATAACTGGATCCTAACCTAATGTCAGACTTCCTAGCCAACCCTCACCAGATTACGGCTGCCAGAAAGTTCTGCCAATTAGGTATCTGGTAAATGAGGTTCTAGAGAAACTCGGATGAATAGATATGTTGAACAGTCATCCCAGAAATCCGGCAGCCATGCGGGTCTGTGCGAAAGTCTAGAGGTCACGAATACCAACGACGGACTGGATGAAAGTAAGCGAAGACTGTCGTTGGTTGGCGAACTAATCGCCGAGTGGCCGAGTGAGGGGATTGGTGGGCGGTGAGTGGTTGGAATGGTTGGTGGGTGATATTGGCCCTAGTGGCCGTGGCGGGATCTGTCCTCGATATGATATGGTTTGGCATGTTTATTGTCCCGATTGGCCTTGAGAACTTCCAGAAACTACTTCCCAGGCAACGTATTTATTTCTAACCAAAAGGCTCGTCAGGTATAACTTGCCAAGTTTACTTTAATTGTGGCTGCATTGTCAGTTTCAGAAGCATGAATGACTGGAGGACATGGGAATGCCCTTGGCTACAAGCTGAGCTGAGTAGAAGAGCTCAGACTCATTTCCAGAAAGTGGGTGAAAGTGGGTGACGATAGAAGACAAATACACACACACACACGCACACACACTAGGACAGCAAAGAATTATGTACAAGGGCAACAAGCTCAAATCCCTACTGCCCTCGGTGCTAGATCCTCCTCCTAAGGACACCTAGCCAATAAATGATCCAAGATCAGCCCGCATTGTTGCACAGCAGCATCATCCAAGCAGGCAAGTGAGCCAGCAGCATGCTGGGATCTTCACAGCGGATCTTGAAAACAATATTTTTCACTCGGCGTGCAGAGCTGGCAATCAGGCAGCACCAGCAAGACCTTGGGCCCCGGCAAGACCTTTCAAGGTGATAAGAAGCGCTCTCCAGGAACTGACCCACGCTCAAGTTTCGGTGTAAGGCAATTGCCAGGCGTCTAGGTACTGAAGCATCTTCGCGGAGCACAATTGTTGATGCGCCGCCTGCTGAGCGCGCCTGGCCTTGCGAGTCTCGCTGTTGTGTGGCCGACGCGAGTACTCCTCGAAGAATGCAGGGTTTTGCTTCTCAAGCCCCTTCCACACTGCACAAAACAACACATACAAGGTGTTTAAATTAGTAAACTGAACGTACACAATGTATACACTGCGCGTATATGTGCTCGTAATCCTGGTAGTGTAAGCTTTACGTCAGAAAAGCCTGCCCCAAACGCATGAGAGCAGAGTTTCAATGATTGGTTGGCTAAGTGATGCTTGGTCATCCCAATTCTCACCTGCAAGAGTAACAGCAGGGTCGATTCTGGCCCGCCGTGCTAAGGTGTATACGCATTCATCGCGACTCAAGTCGATGAGTATACATCGTTCTATTAGGCATTGAACCTGGAGGGAGAGGGACAGGATATGGAGCAGACATGATTGAGTGTAAGCGAGGTAGAGAAGAGAGTAGGACGGACGAGAATAAAAGGTGTGGGCGGGAGTGCGTGTTTTTGTGAGGGAATGAGCGAAATTGGAATAACGGGTGAGGGAAATACATAGCAAGGGAAAGTGCGGCTCCCGTTACAATCCAGAATTGACCACTGCTGAGTCGAAAACGGACACATGGTTGTTACGATGTCCGTAAGATTAGACCGATCGGTTCAACGCAAGCACGAAATTGGCTTGGTACGGATAAGCAAACCTACCATGAGCACATAGTCGCCAAAATCTTCCCTCGTGCTAGACTTCCATGTAGAGTTCTCTTGGGAGCATTGATCCATGGTGGAGTTTGAGCGGCGGACAGCGAAGCGAAAGTTTATAATCCCGGAAAAATAGAACAGCAACGAGAAGCCGATACACGAAACACGGGATGGAGCGTCAACAGCAGGTCGGACTTGGGCTAATGTGATCAAACCTAAAAGAAACCTGGGTAATAAATCTGGCCAGCGTGAGAAGGCGATGGACGGGTGGAACCGAGAGAGGCGGCCGATCAGAAGAAGCACACTTGGTATTGTGGCTCAACGGAAGGTAGAGAGGGCGGGTGGAGTGGAGTGGGCGAGTAAGACGTACAGCAAGCGATCAGCCCTTGGGATTGGCCCTCAGAAGGAGCAAACCGCCACGTTGGCATGCTCGTGAGCAGATGAGGCGAGGTGGTCACATGCTTGTTGAGAGGAGCATGTGAAGCAACAACGAGTGGAACTAGCGCGATCCAGCTTCGCTTGGGTTGGTGGATCATCCGCATGCGTCTGCTTGGTCCAATTATATCGGAAGAGTCCAGCGCGATCGGGAACGAGCAACCAGACCACGCCACGACGGCAGGCCGCGCACCGGTGGTTCCAGTGGCAGATCCGCTCACTTGCAGTGTACAAACCTACGGTTGTGATGGCCAAGCTCAACAGCTGGGTCGATATTGGACAACAAACCCGCGGGTGTTCAGGATGGGGGTAAGGCTAGTCAGCAAAGGCACACTCAGATTCGCCACTTTCCCCTCCATAGCGTATCTTTTTGGAGGTCAATTAAGCTCTTTAATTGGGTGAAGAGATGTCTAGCAGCTTTATCTGGCTTACGTGGATCTCAACCTGTTAGATAGTTTGTAGGAGCTGACATGACCGGTGGTTTTGCCGCCAGCAGGTGTCAAGTCCAGAATGGAACAAATATCCGTGTTAAGCGTCTCGGTCCTGATTGGTTAATGGTGACAACCACATAACGCCAGCCAACTCATGTCCGAGCCAACCGCCTCGTTTCGACCCTGATTTCGGTATAGAATGGCTCGTTACGAACCTAGGACATCTGTTCTGTCAAGTCATGCATGCTGACCAAGTTTAATGAGAAGCAATTGTCTCTCTCAAGCCTGAAACAGAAAGGCACCAATGGGCGAAGCGCTAAACGGATACAATGCGCATTTTGCGAGTCGCGCATTTCTCATCACCCGTTGTCCAAACGGACATTTTGAGACCGACAAAATGCACCGCTAGCAAGCAGCATCACATCAGATCAGACCATCATTTGTTCAGCGAAGGGTGATCAAACTCCCCCGTCAGCAATTGCCCCCCAACCCAATTCGACATTTCACCCCCACACTGAACTCCCTCCTCTCTCCCAGCACCCCATCACCCCATCTCGCCCCTGTCCGACTTCATACACAAGCCATTCGTTTAAACCCATTCTTGTAGCGTCGTCGTTGGCACTTTGACTTCTAGACTCTAGCGCAACGCTTGCTGTCTATTCGGATTAGTGCAACGCTTGCTCTCTACGTCCGTTTCCGAATCCTGTTTCCCGTGACTTACAGGGAAGGCGTAGTACAGTCGATACGCCATGGACTTATACTACAGCAATGACTCCTTCGACTGCCACAAAGTCCGCATGATGCTCGAAGAGAAGGGCCTCCCTTGCCGGCTGTGTCATGTAGACTTTGTCGGAGCGGCGAACCTCGAGCCTTGGTTCTTGCGGCTCAATCCGAAGGGAACGGTCCCGTTGCTCGTTTACGGAAGCAACACAATCACGGACACCAACGAGATCCTCAGGTCAGTCTTCCAAGTGTACACTTCTTTATTACTGGACCCTTGCTCCTCCCCGCTTTTCGTTCTCGTGACCAGTTGCCCTCTTGCCATTTATCGGCTTGGGGCATCGTTTCCCGCGTGGTTCGATCGAATGTCCTTCTCTTCCCACAGCATCGGCACATACCGATCGTGACGCGGAGCCTTTTGTTTTCAATCAATCTAGCGCACCATTCCTCCGTGATTCACCCCGTAACGCTCCCACCGCAACGTCATCCCGCCCCTGTGTAATCCTACTCTGCAGGTACTTCGACAGCATCGGCCAGCCAATGGGTGGATCGATAGTCGACCACGACGCGGCTGCCACGTGGCTTAATCGCGTCGCATCGTGGGACGAGGAGGCGCTCGCTTACTCCAAGATGTCTCTCGGCGCTGCGCAGTCCGTCACGCGCTTCCGCCGCCGCGTGTGCGTCGAGCGCATGGCACGCAATCCCGATCTCGTCAGCGCGTACGGCGCTCTGCTCGCGCGCTACCAAACCCTGGAAGCGACGATCGCGGCGGGACACGCGGCGGCGACGTCGCTCCGTCAGCTCGAGGCGCTTCTGGACGAAGCGGAACGCACTCTGTCAGACCCCAACAATGTATTCCTGGCCGGAAAGGAAGCGTCCATCGCGGACGTCTGCTTTGCGCCGGTTCTCGCCTCAGTAGACCGATTAGGAATCTCTCAAAAGCTGCTTAAAACGCGTCCGGCTTTAGCGGAGTACAACAAGCGGATGAGTCGGCGGCAGAGCTACCGGACAGCCGTGGTCTGGCCAACCAGTTTTGCAGCGAAGGTCGCCAATGTGCCTGCGGTCGTCGCTGCGGGGTGCAGGCGACTGAGCAGACGGTACTAGGCTCCGGTCCAAGAAAGGGGGGGTCTTTAGCCAACCAATTGGCTTTTGGAACGGCTCTAAACTCTGGATGTATATCATAAGGATGTCATGCTGGGTGCGGCAGATTGAGCAGCCAGTAACTAGCCTGAGGCCATGAATGAGTGTCACTTCTCCATGGAGGGGTGGAGGGTGTGTGACTTGAGCCTGCTGCTTCGACAATTTCTGTTGTCAACCATGTGTGGCGGCCACGCAAATCATCCTACAAGCGCCAAACAGGTACAATGTTTGCTGTGCTTGGAATAGGCTGGGGTAATGGTGGAGCTGAATGGCATGGATTGTTGTGAACCAGGTTATAACGTACATTTATAATAGTAGGCCCTGATGCCATGTACATACCTTACATGATTATGCAAATTATGTATTATTGTGCATTTTTTACAAGCGGTAAGCACACCTGTTTCCAACATCGTTTCCATAAGCTATCCTAATACCCTTTTGGCTAAGGGTCTTACTGGTAGTAATGCGCCCCTTGAGAAGCATATCCATTATTTGTTCCGTGAGGCAATCCGTAAGGAACTCACTACTGTGCACCTTGTGTTTTCCAGTTACAGCCTAATACCGAATACTCCCAATTCAAAGGAAGTGTTCTGCTGAGGTGGCACTTCTTGTGGTTCGCTCTGACAACTCCGTGGAGGAGCTGCTGTGTTCGTGCGAGGTTCTTGGAACGCATTGAACATTGCAGTGACGCTCCCACGTGATCCCTATGTCGGTGATGCACTGAACAGATCAACTTGAATATCTTGAGCTGACGTGGTATGTTGCTGTGTACTTGTCGGCTTCCCATAAACGAAACGGCTGCCACATCACTCCACGCAAGACCACTTTCTTGCCACATCCATGGTGCCTTTGCCACGACCGGAAATGGGTGTTTTTCGTGCTGCCAAAATGTTTGGGTGCAAAGTTTATCAACCACCCCATGTGCCTCGCACCATCACTGAATCAGAACAGAACCAGAACAACAGCCGGGGGGAATCGGTGAACAACGTGTAGTTGATGTTCGCGGGTCAGTTACTTATAGACTTCTGTAAGTGGGGCTGTCAAACGGTCGGTTAATTTTGTTACGTGATTTGGTGAAGCAGCGTAAATGTTTAATAAATCTGGGTAAAAGCTTGTTTCCCTTTCAATCAGATACCAAAACGTGCCCATCCGATTTCTGGCCCTCACTCTTCCAAATCTGCGACTCGTCTTTGGGAATTGCTGCCGCATCGCGTCTTCGAAGCATCGAGGCGAAGGACGGGGCCCCTTTTGGAAATCCCAGTGGTGCACTGCACTTGCTGGGAACCGCAGGGTGTCCTTCTCGGTTTGTTTTTGGAAAATGGTGGAAACATTCGCTTCTCTTCTACCGGATTCGTTCCTCTACTCCCGTCGTCGTCCAAGGGTGCGGACGGAACGAAATTTGCACCACAACAACCCAAACCAGGGCCACACACCAGCGGGAAGTAGGCCCCAAAATTGATCGTATACGAAATCAAGGACTGGACGGGAAAGGACTGTTTGATTTCGCACCCACACTCGGTGGGACCAGGCCAGGCGGATGTTCTCGTCAGCTTGGGCGAATTGGGGTTGGGAATTCGAGATTGGGAGGACAGATGGACTGATGGAGTTCAAATTGTGACCGTCGCGCTCCGTCAAAGCAGGTGTCGGTTACTCTCTTGCTTCTTTGCTGCTCCCACCCACACTCTGCTCTCGTCGCTTCTTGAGTGTACTGTAATCTATCCGTTAATGTAAACCCGAGGTAATATATCCTAGACGGCCTGGTCGTTTTATCCACTTGAGCAAGTAAGGTCCTTCAGCCAAACCGCTATTATGCATTGACCACAAAAATGGCATACTCAAGAAGATCCTCCTCTTGACACTTCTGCTTCACCCCGAGAGAGCACAAAGCTTCGACAATCCCAGTGGAGCAAGAACGCGTAGCACAGACTGCATGCTTTCCAATATCTTGCAACTCGTTAGGACAGATGATAGCGGCGGCGGTCCCAGTTCGCCAGGACGATCATAGAAAAGCGCGCAGACTCTATAGTAGTACCACTAGAGGCACGAGAGCGGCGATGGAGCGCCGCCACGTAGTAGTCAAATCGTCGACCGTCGATACGGGTCCGCAGGCGGAGCGCGCGGAGATTCCGCGTGCTGCGCGCAAGCGAGCTGCGGGCCGCGCAGCGCGCAGCTTTGAATCGGCACGGGAGGCATCGGGAGCGACGGAATCGGGGGTATCGGTGAAACTGGCGGAATCGGCGGATCATGTCGTCGTCAGGGGAGAGTCCCCCCTTGAAGAACGCGCGCAGCGTGACTGCTGCGATAGGCGGACGGAGGAGCGGGCAGCGCGGGGAGCGCGGGGAGCGGGGGAAGTGCGGGAAACGACAGGAGGGACGCGGGAGGCGCGAGGTACGCGGGAGGCGCTCAGCGAGACGCAGGAGGCGCAGAGGACGCATGAGACGAGGGGAACACGCGGGGAAATGCGGGAGATGCGGGAGACGCGGCCCTGCGGGGAGGCGCGGGGAGATTCTGGAACTAACGCACGGGGCGCACGCCGCGGCGAGAAGCTCGCAGGACGGAAAGTTCGCACAGCGGCCGGGGAATCCCGTTCCGCAGTGGCAGGGGCATCCCGCGCCGCAACCGCAGGGGCAGACGTACCGCGTTCCGCCGCGGCGGGAGAAGCTCGGACCAGGGCCGATACTCCCGAGGAGACTCCTTCAATTGTGGCAACTCGTGGGAAATCGCCGGTTGGTGTGAAGGCGTCGAAAACACCAAATGCAAGTCGGCACGTTGCGACTGATTCGAGGCATCGCGAGATTCGGGATGGTGCGACCGGAAGCGCAGCACCGGCGCCGGCGCCGCCGGCGGCGGATTCCACGGCGGACCCTGCGGTCATGTCAGGGGAGGGACTCGGGTCGGACGCAGCATCGCCGGAACCCCAGACCACCGCCGCGTCTCCGCGGAAACCGCAGCCGCAACTTGCATTTCCGCGCTCCGTTTCGAGCCCCGGGACGACCAGCCTCTCCGCCGCGCCGCCGGCTGCGGCTCTCCTGGCCCGACAGCAGTTTCCGTCTTCCAAGTCGCTCCCCACGTCCCACGACCACCCACTCGTTCCTTCTAACGAATCTCCCGCGACCGCTGCAGCTGTTCAGTATTCCGCTGCGGCGCGAGTCTGGATGGAGGCTAACGAGAGTAGTAGCGCTAGTACTGTCGCGATTGCGACGTCATCAGTGCCCGACGCTTCTCACGGGGCGTTCATTGTCGTTGCGCCAAACTACCCGTGGACTCTGTTGACTCCGCACCCGCCGTCCTTTCCGCCGTCGCCGACTTCTGCGACGTCCCGCCTCCGGCTCTCCCGCTTCCGAAGCACCGCTCCTTCCGCCGCTGCTCCCGCCGCTGTTGTCGGTCCTCAAGGTGCTCGTCTCGCTGCTGCTGCCGATGCCACGTCAGCCGCTGCCTTCTACCCAGCATGCCACGTCGACACGAGCAGCAGCAGCCCCGCCCAGACTCGCATACGTCCCAACCTTCGAGTCGACCTCCCTTCGTTACAATCACACCCCGACTCCATCTCCGCACAGTCACAGTCGAACTGCTCCCCCGACTCCTCCCCCGCGCCATCTCCGCCCTTCACCGTCCCCCTCACAGCCCACCGCCAACACCGCCTGCTTCTCCACCGCTCCTTCCCCCTCTCCCCCTCCCCTCTGCAATCGGAACCGTCAAATCAGGGGAGCAGGAGGCGATCCAACGGCCCTAGTAGCCTTTCCTCCTCCGCCCCCTCCTCCCCAACTCCTGCTTCTGCGCGTCACTCCCCTTCCCCCATCTTCTCCACAACCTCCTCCCCCCGCCCTTCCCCCATTTCCCCCGCATCCTCCTCCCCCCGCCGTCCCCCCTCTGGGAGGCGCCTTAACTCGCCCCTCCGCTCGTGCTCCTCTCTGCCGCCCAGCTCGGCTGCTCCCCCCGCTACAGTCACACTGGGGCCAAGAACAACATCAGGGCCGGTGCTGATTGGTGGAACGAGAGCACCGGCCAGAGGAGGCTCCTTACTGAGGAATAGCAAGTTGGGGTTTGGGCCAGCATTGCGTGCCGAAGCAGCGACTGTAGCAGGACAGTCGGCTGTAGCAGGAGCAGCTGCTGTAGCAGGAACGTCGGCTGTAGCAGTAGGCTCAGTAGCAGTGGATGCCGCACAAGGAACAAGGCTGGTTGCACCAACTGATGTTGTAGACGGTGGCAGTGGCAGCGGCAGCGGCAGCGGCAGTGGCAGTGGCAGTGGCAGGGGCGGTGGCAGCAGTAACGGTTCTCCGGGCTATTCTTCCCCGAGACTGCTTGGACGAGCTGTGGGGTGCCCATCACCTCTTTCCCATGGCTCCACTTCTCGTGATGCCGTGAACGCTAGGAGTGAGCCAGGGTCGCGGTTGAAATCATCTCACCAAAAGCCACAGCTGCAGCAGGAGCAGCACCTTTTGCGGGCTAACTATGTGGCTGGTGGCGTGGAGGCATATCCGCGTGCGAGATCGGACAATGTGAGCGCTGCTGCCATGGCACAACCCTCCGTTGCTCAGCAAATGCTCTCACTTATGCCGAGATCTGCCACAGAACCGGGTCTGCGTGATGAGGTCAACGTTCAAGCCATGTCGTTTCATTCGCCTTCAGTGTCTTTTAGCCCCATGAGTGCTTCACCACTTGTGGGATCACCATTTTCGTCTTCGTCCTCTTCATCGTCCACGCTCGATGGTGAAATTAGTTCATCTGGAAGTGAGCGACAAGTAGGGATTAATAGACATGCAGTTGCAACGCTCAAGCTTCAACATTATTAGGAAGTGTATTTTTATATCCTAGTGCCTTAGTTTCGTTGTACATGCTTTATTATTCTAGCTTCAGTTTTGGAAAGGCGTTAGATATGGACTTTTTTTTCTGCAATAATGCTACTGTATAATTAATCCTGGTGTTACGAAGTGCTGGAATCTTATCTGACGGTGTACCGCATGCAGCGTTCATCGAACGAACGTCGACCTCCGACAGCCGCCGAATCAAAACACATCACCAGACATGCCCCTCCGTCCAGCCGAGAGCATGAGTGGCGCCACCCTCCGTCGAAGTTCCCATCCCAACCAGTCGCATGGTCCGACGTGTCAGCCCCGGAAAGGCCCGCGCCACACCAACATCTCGCCCTGGCCACACCAAACCGTCACATCAAGGTTTCGAAACCCTCGCTCTGGCCGAGCCCGCACCAAACCCTAGCTTTGTCCACAACTTGAAGTCTCCGCTTCCCCCAACCACCTCATCCAAGATTTCTCCGCGCCAGTCACCCTTTTGGTGCGCGCAAGGTCCATTATTCATGTCGCCCCTTCTTCAAACCACGCCTCCGCTGCCCCCAACTTCCCCATACCGCTCAGGTTTCTCCCCCATACCGTCCCCCATACCTGCTACTTTCCCCCCATACCTCCAGCGCTTCCCCCCCAGCCTCTCTCATTTCCCCCCAGGCCTGCCTTTGCTGCTTCTTCACCAAGCCTAAGCCATAAGTCTGCAGCACCGGCAGCCATAGGTCTGTTTCCAAACTCGCTTTGCTTTCTCCAAGCTTGCTTCTCTCTCATCCCTTGCCTCTGGTTTGCCGCGACCCTCGATTTCCATTCTTGTTACTGCTCCTGTTTCTTGGCTCGTTCTCTAACCGCCGCTCCTGCGTTGGTCTGGCTCTTTGCCGAGCTATGGCTGGCACGAGCTAACCCCCCCAACCAAGTACATCCATCTCGGATCGCGGATTTAGATACAATTGATTTCTTCACATTCGAATAGGAGCTAATTCTGGAACCGCGTTGACGTCTCGTTTCCACGTTGCAAGATATTCAATCGAGTTTGTGAATTTACCTGAAGAATGACTTCCGTCGCGTACGGTACGCAAGGCGAACCTAGGGACATTGTTAACGGTAACGGAATGTCTGCTCACGACCTTTCGTGCGTGAATGACGGAAGCATGCAACAGGCAGTTCACGGAAGCATTCTCGACCAACAGCAACAGCAACAGCAGCAGCCTCAAGTTGTCCTGGACGGACAGCCGGAAGAGTTGAAAGCATCGCTTCAGGATTCCCAGCATCCGGATCAATATTCGGTTCCTCCTCCTCTTCCTTCCGAGCAAATTAAGCAAGAGCAGCAGCAGCAACAGCAACAGCAGCAACAAGAACATCAGCACCATCAAGGTCCGCAGGATGACCAAATGGAACAGCATCACCACGCAAGAGAACAGCAGCAGCAACAACAACAGCAGTCACAGCAGCAGCAGCAACATCACCTCCTCCAGCAGCAGCAGCAACAACAGCAGCAGCAGCCGGGTCAGGAGGAGCATCAGGGTCCGCTCCATTCCCAGTCGTCTGTTCCGAACAGCATGCAGTCTGGCCTTCAGAGCGCAATGCAAGCGAGCGTGCAGAGCGGCAGCACCATGCAGCAAGGCCCAGCTTCCGAACTTACACAGGCAAGCAGAATGCCGTTTTCCATATTGATCAAATTGTTGTCGTTTTTTTTTGTTTTTTTTTTTTTCCTAAATGTCCTACTGTCTTACATTTCCCGCTTGTTTTCTTCCTTTTTTCTTTCTATCTGGCCATGCAGGCAATGGATCCTCAAGCCATGGCGGACGGCGTTCATCATCAAGCCTACGACGGGGGCCTCGCAATGCAAGTCGTCTCGGAGGAATCGGAACCTCCAGAATCCCAACAGCCCTACAGCCCCCTCAACATCCACGGTACACCCAGAAACAAACGCTTACCTCACACGGCACCTCAGATTCCTTCAAACTATCTCTAGTCAGTTCGATCTCTCTGACATGGTGGGAATCGCTGCTTGTCCGGATGGCGAGTTCCTGATGAAATTATTGTTTCGCCTATTTTTATTTCGCCTACCCGTGTTTCGCCCGTGTTTCGTCCGTGCTTTCTTGTCAGATCTGCTGCCGATCGAGGCTGCGCGCGTGCGCTTCCTGCATCTGATCATCGACCACTTCGTGACGTACCACATCGTCCCCATCTCCGAGGAGTCGCAGCTCGCAGCCTCGCACTCCCCGGGGGAGAGGAGGAAGCGCCGGGCGAGAGAGGTAAAATTGATTCCCCCACCCTTCCCCTCCCCCTCCCTCCCCTCCCCCCCCCCGTCTTAAAAAATATATATTTATAGTTGGTGTCCCTCCTCCTTCCACTACTCCTCGTACTCGCTGTCTCTGACCCTTTTCCCGCAGATGGAGGACGGGCAGCCGCCAGTGGAGCAGCAGGTGATCCGGCCGTTGTACAAGGGTGACCCATGCGCATCTTTTTCTCCCCGATTGTCTTGTTTTGTTTTTACCCTTTTCTCAGATGGAGGACGGGCAGCCGCCGGTGGAGCAGCAGGTGATCCGGCCGTCATACGAGGGAGACCCGCGGCACCTGCTGCCGCTCATCTTCCTGGCGAACGCATACGAGACGCTGGTGGGCGAGGTGAACGGGCGCATGGCGGAGATGGACGTGCTGCGCGGCAAGACCATGGGGCTCGCGCTTGAGGCCGCGGGGGGACTGTATCGGCGCATGGTCGAGAAGTTTCCCAAGTCTGGTAAGTTAGGGTGCTCCCTCCCTCCCTCCTCCCTGCCTGCCCGCCTCCCTGCCTGCCCGCCTGCCTGCCTGCCCGCCTGCCTGCCTGCCTCCCTTCCTCCCTCCCTGCCTTCCTGCCGCCCTCCCTCCCTCCCTTCCTTCCTCCCTCCCTCCGCCTCTCCCTTCATACGGGCGACATACGATAAGAGGGGGGGGGCGTGGCACCATTGTTGAACGCGTATGAGACGCTGGTGGGCGAGGTGAACGGGCGCATGGCGGAGATGGACGTGCTGCGCGGCAAGACCATGGGGCTCGCGCTTGAGGGGCCTGTATCGGCGGATGGTTGAGAAATTCCCCAAATCTGGTGGGTAGTAGGGGTGTTCTCGCTCCTTTCCTTCCTCCCTCCCTCCCTCCCTCCCTCCCTCGCTTCCTCCCTCCCTCTCTTCCTCCCTCACTCCCTCTACCTGCGCGCTTCCCCCAACTGGTGCTGGGGCGGGATGACAAGCACGTGCCACAGCTACTCACTCTTCCAGTGCCCCTCTGCTCCCCTGTTTTTCTCCTTCTCTCAGGAGCCGTGACCATCTTCAGGCGCAGGGAGATGGCGTCTGCACTGGAAGCCAGGGCGCGCTTCCCCCAGCTGGTGCTTGGGAGGGATGACAAGCGCGTGCGGTTCATCGTGGTGCATGGGCTGGAGCTCGTGGAACGACCGTCCACCATGTCACCCGACGACGCTGAGTGGTAGGCTTGCTCCCTTCCCGTCCACTCAGTTATTTTTTTCTCTATGCTTGATAAGGCGCCTCAGAGGTGGGTTCATCGTGGTGCATGGGCTGGAGCTGGTGGAACGACCCTTCACCATGTCACCCGACGACGCTGAGTGGTAGGTGCATCCCCGCTATGTTGTTGTCTCAGTGCACAGGGATTTCTCTCTTTACTTTATATTGTAAGGGGCTGCGAATGTGGGTTCAGCGTGGTGCATGGATTGGAGCTGGTGGGACGACCCTCCACCATGTCACCTGATGAAGCTGAGTGGTAGGCTCTTCTCCTTCCAGTTGTCTTGCTCTGCAACATTGTGGGTTGTGTGAGACCAATTTTTCTCTACTTGTGAGGGGCTGCAAAAGAGGTTCATCGTGGTGCATGGGCTGGAGCTGGTGGAGCGACCCTCCACCATGTCACCTGATGACGCTGAATGGTAAGCTGATCACCGTTACACAGTGAGCTGATTTCTCTCTATGTTTCAAGGGGCTACAAGCGCGTGCGGTTACAAGTGGTGCATGGGCTGGAACTCGTGGAACGCCCCTCCACCATGTCACCCGATGATGCCGAGTGGTAGGCTTATTGCCTTCCTTCCAGTTGACTCACTGCTCGTAGCTGCTCGTTTCTCTCTTTCTTCTACTGGGGCACATGAGTCGGTTTATTGTGGTGCATGGGCTGGAGCTCGTGGAACGCCCCTCCACCATGTCACCTGACGACGCTGAGTGGTAGGCTCATCCCCGTTATGTTGTCTCAATTCACGACCTGATTCGCTCGGTTTCTCCTCTCCCAGGTTCAAGCTCATAACCGGGCGGCATGAGGTGGCAATATACCCGCGGGACTTCGAGTACTTCACGCGGCGGCCCAAACCTTAAAGTGTTGCTGAGGTGCCTTACGAAACACTTCACCCTGCTCTCCTCTCGCAGGTTCAAGAGGATAACCGGGCGGCATGAGGTGGCGATATACCCGCGGGATTTCAAGTACTTCACGCCGCGGCCCAAGCCCCGGAGGGTGCCTCAGCCGGCCGTGTCAGCTGTGACTGTGGCAAACCCGGCTGAACTCGCTGCTCCCATGCACCACATGGTAAGGGCGGTGGGAGTGGGGGAGGGGGGAGAGAGGGAGGGGGGAGAGAGGGAGTGGGGGAGGGGGGTGGAGGGTTGGGATAGAGAAGTGTTGACGCCATGCCATGCCATGCTACGTCATGCCGTGCCACTCCATGCATCTCCTCCCATGGTGCAGGTCATGGTCATGGCGGATTCTTTTTTAGTCAACTAAAAAATTCATGCAAAATTCGTGCAAAATTTGTGCAAAATCGTGCAATGCTGATACAATATCCAATGCGTCTTCCCCCTATGGTGCAGACAATGGTCATGGCGGACTCTGTATGAGTCAAGTAAAATATCGTGCAAAGTTCATTCATGCAATACTGACGCAACCAATGCAATGATTTTTCCCCATCGTGCAGGCAATGGTGATGGCGGACTCGTCCCAGCATCACCCATCCGACCCATCCATGCAGCAACAGATGCAGCAGCAGCATCAGCAGCAACACCAACACCAGCACCACCAACAGCACCAACACCACCAGCAACAACAACAACAGCAACAACAACAACAGCAGCAGCAGCAGCAACAACAGCAACGGCCGTCCAACCAACAGCAGCCCTCCCCGCACCTAACCGGCAACCCTGCACTCCAATCCAAGTGTGTCAAGGCTGGGAACGTTGCGACCTGCGAGTGCAAGGCTGGATACTCCATGGCACAGGGCCAATGTACTGGTACGTTTGCCGGTTGTGCACTTATAGCGCACACTTCATTCTATGGCTGTGTGTGTGTGTGTGTGTGTGTGCGCGTGTGCGGGTGGAACTGGTATGTGATGAAACTGCTGTGCGATTCTGCGTGCAACTCTGTGTGTTACGGTAGCTCCTGTGCAATTCTGCTGATTCCATGTCCCTTCCACCCCTCCTCTCCCCTCTCTTCTGCCTCTCCCCCCACCCAGGTGTCTGTGAGATCCAGAACTGTGGCGCCAACAGCCAGTGTGCTCCTGCTGATAACGCGGCTACCTGCGTGTGTGACCCGGGATTCGAGTTGCAGTCAGATGGCAGGACATGCGTCAGCAGCCAACCTGCTTGTGACCCGGGTTTCAAGTGGGATGGCAGCTCATGTGTCAACCCATGTGAATGGGGTTTCAAGTGGGATGGCTACTCGTGCATCAGCGCGTGTGACGGGTTACATGTGGGATGGCAGCTCGTGCATCAACCCCTGCAAATACGGTTACTCGTGGGATGGCAGCTCCTGCATGCTCACCATCCGGTGTGACTGGGGCACCGAGTGGGATGGCAGCTCGTGCGTCAACATGATCCACTGTGACGACGGTTACAGGTGGAACGGCAACTACTGCGAGTATGGTGAGTGATGCTACCTTCAAGTGCTGCTGTGCTGCCTCCAGTGCCATGCCATCACTTCGGTCATGTGTTTCCAGAGCTGGCTCTTACCCCACCCAGTGATATGCGACATAATTAGCTGTGGTGCGAACCAGCACTGTGACAGCACTTTTGGACTGTCATCTTGGTGTGTGACATTGGTTTCAAGCCGTGGGCGGATGGATACGTGCTTGTGTAGATGCTGGGAGTTGTGCATCTGTGTGCAATGGCAGCTTCTGTGCTTCTGTGTCGCAGCCTCTTTCATCTAGCCCGTCCAGCTGTCATCTAGCGCGCGCCGCTGTGTGCTGTTGTGCAGCCTCTAGCGTGTGACAGTAGATGTTTTTGCAGAGCTTTCTCACGCCTCCTTTTTTTCTCATTTCTTGTTCAATCCGCCCCCTGCCCCTCCTGCCTGAATGAATCTACACCCACCCACCCCTGGTCTCACGATTCGTGACTTGCTCTGCCACGTTCTTCCACCCCAACTCCTTTGCAGATTGCTGGTACTGCTTCTCTTCGTGGGGGTGGTAGAATTTTCCAACTGTTCTGGTAAGTTCCACGGCTTTGAAGTCTGCTAGTTCCACGGCTTTGGGGAGGAATCAATGCCAATTGACCCATCGTACTGCCATCTCTCGTTTTCTAAAACCCAGCCCATGGATCTTTCTTTTTCTCTCTCTCCCTCCCATCCCTCTTCCCTTCCCCACCTCCCCATGAACTCCTTCACCATTGGTTTTCCACCCTGTCAGCTTGACCCTTAACCGATCATCCCCTTGTTCGTCCCTCCCCCCCTCAACAGACAAGGTGCCCTCAGGATGGCAGCGAGGCACATCCACTCCCGTGAGGACCATTCTCATCTATGCCATGACGACCCTGTCAAACTTATATGCTATAGTCTATGTAGGCTGTAGTGGGGTTGACAATATAGGGTACAACTCTTTTAGGTTTTCCTACTTGTACCCACCTGTTTTCTAGTGCATTCATTCCTCGTTCTTTCACATGGTATAGAGCAGGTTCCCTAGTGGGACCGTTTCTTCCTAAGGGCCCACCATTTTTTTTTTTTTCCTGCCCGAAACGCGCCTCGCGCTCTGACCTGCCCTACCCTTTCGCGGCCCCTTAGTGGCCTGCCCTGCTCCTGAGGCCCCTTAGCGGCCTCCCTTCGCGGCCCCTTCACGGCCCCTTCGCGGCCCCTTAGCGGCCCCTTCGCGGCCCCTTCACGGCCCCTCCTTCGCGGCCCCTTCACGGCCCCTTAGCGGCCCCTTCGCGGCCCCTTCGCGGCCCCTTTGGGGCCCCTTCACGGCCCCTTCGCGGCCCCTTCGCGGCCCCTTCACGGCCCCTTCGCGGCCCCCTCGCGGCTCCCTTCGCGGCCCCCTCGCGGCCCCGCCCCGCTGCCGGTAGCGGCCCCGCCCTGTCGCCAGTCGCGGCCCCGCCCCGTCGCCAGTCGCGGCCCCGCCCCATCGCCACTCGCGGCCCCGCCCCGTCGCCAGTCGCGGCCCCGCCCCGTTGCCCCTGCCGCGTCGCGACGCCCCTGCGGGACCCGCGTGGCGTCACCCCTACCCGCCGCGGCGCCCTGCCCTGACCCGCGCCCTGGAGCAGCCGCCACTGCAGCAGCCGCCCCTGGAGCAGCCGCCCCTGCAGCAGCCGCCCCTGCAGCAGCCGCCCCTGCAGCAGCCGCCCCTGGAGCAGCCGCCCCTGCAGCAGCCGCCCCTGGAGCAGCCGCCACTGCAGTAGCCGCCCCTGGAGCAGCCACCCCTGCAGCAGCCGCCCCTGGAGCAGCCACCCCTGCAGCAGCCGCCCCTGCAGCAGCCGCCCCTGGAGCAGCCGCCACTGCAGCAGCCGTCCCTGGAGCAGCCGCCCCTGCAACAGCCGCCCCTGGAGCAGCCGCCCCTGCAGCAGCCGCCCCTGGAGCAGCCGCCACTACAGCAGCCGCCCCTGGAGCAGCCGCCCCTGGAGCGACAGCCCCTGCAGCAGCCGCCCCTGCAGCAGCCGCCCCTGGAGCAGCCGCCCCTGCAGCTGCCGCGGAGCCCTCGCCCTACAGTGGTAGCGGCCTCGCCATTGCCGCCGTCGTACGCTCGCCCTTCTCGCCACTGGTGAGCACTGACCTGCCCGTACTGCTGTTACTGCTGCTCTTGCTGCTACTGCTCTTTCTACTGCTACTGCTACTCCTGGCGTGGCCAGATGCAGCTCCAGCGCTGTCCGCGTGAGTCCCTCGCCCCCCAACAGCTTCGTGAGTGGTACGCTAGTTGGGGTTGTAGGGGTGGCCGCGCTGCGACTACTGCTATTGCTCCTGCTGCTGCTACGGTGGCTACCACTGCTCCTGCTGCTCCTGGCGGTAGCCAGATGCAGCTCCAGCGACGTCCGCGTGAGTCCCTCACGCCCCAGTAGCTTCGTGAGTGGTACGCTACTTGGGGTTGTCGAGGTGGCCGTAGTGGGAGTCGTCCTAGAGTGAGTAGTTCGGCAGCTGCTTGTAGTGGCCAGGTGCAGCTGCGGGGTCGTCCGTGCGCGGTCCTTTCGCCCCAGCAGCTTCGTGAGTGGTACGCTCAGCGTGGAGGGTCACGGGGTACTACTCGCTGTCCGTACGTCATTCGCACTGGTGCTCGGACTGGTCAGCCTTGCGGGACGTTTGGTCACGCAGAGTCCCGCTGCTTCGCCCGTCTGAGCGACGCCTGGCGTACGGAGTTTGGCGACGCGGCTGAGCTCCCCGACTGGGTGGAGCTGCTTAGGCTGAGGGTAGATATCTATACTCTTGACTATGATGCTATCCTCACAGCCATGTATGCATTGCCTACTAGTGATGAGGGTGACTGTTACCTGTGTGTTCCGCCTGACCCGGGCATTGAGACTGCTGCTCTAGGTGCTGGTGAGGCAGTTGCTCTAGGTGCTAGTGCGTCTGCTGCTCCAGGTGCTGGTGAGCTCCCCCGGTGCTAGTGAGTCTGCTCTCTCAAGTACCACGTCGGCTTAGGCCTTACACACCTTCACCCTTGACTCGGGTGCTTCCCGCTCCTTCTTTCGAGACCGCACCACACTCACGCCGCTTAGTCGGCCAGTTGCGGTCTCCCTGGCAGACCCCTCTGGGGGTCCTGTCCTTGCCCACTTCTCCACTGTCTTACCGTGTCCGGCGGCCCCTTCTGGCACCCTGTCAGGTCTTTACCTCCCCTCGTTCTCTACGAACTTGGTGAGTGGTGCTGATCTACAGGATGGGGGGGTTGACCAGTTCACTCCTGCGAGTCAGCGGGTGACCCACTGCACGTGTGCTCGGACGGGCCAACACTTAGCCACGTTTACCCGTCAGCCGGGGTCGAGCCTGTACACACTGACTACTGAGTCTCCTCCGGTTGCTGCGTCTGGTCAGGTAGCTGCGTCGGGTCAGGTGTTTGCTGCAGCGTCCAGGTCTGGTCCTGAGTCTGCCCCCTGCTCGTGTCGTCTCCTGTCTCACCAGACTCTCCTCTGGCACCACCGCCTTGGTCACCCCTCCCTGCCTCGTTTCCGAGGCATGGCCTCCCGTGTCCTTGTCTCTGGTCTCCCCCGGTCCCTCCCTCCTCTTCCTCCGGGGCCTGCCCCTACCTGCGTTCCCTGCGTCGAGGGGCGGCAGCGCGCCGCTCCTCACTCCTCCGAGTTTCCTCCGACAGAGGCTCCGCTGCAGACACTTCACCTGGACGTGTGGGGCCCCGCCCGCGTCCGTGGACAGGGTCACGAGCGTTACTTCCTGCTGGTCGTTGACGACTACTCGCGTTACACCACAGTCTTCCCCTTGCGCAGCAAGGGTGAGGTCACTGAGGTGTTGATCGACTGGATCCGCGCAGCTCGTCTCCAGCTCAGAGAGAGTTTCGGCTCGGACTTTCCTGTTCTGCGTCTGCACTCCGACAGAGGCGGAGAGTTTTCCTCGGACCTTCTGCGAGCCTTCTGTCGTGCACAGGGCATCCGCTAGACGTTCACGCTTCCAGCCTCTCCACAGCAAAATGGGATTGCTGAGCGCCGCATTGGCATGGTCATGGACGTCGCTCGTACGTCCATGATCCATGCGGCTGCTCCCCATTTTCTGTGGCCGTTCGCGGTTCAGTACGCGGCGCATCAGATCAACCTTCAGCCCCGGGTCTCCTTGCCGGAGACCTCCCCTACTCTGCGGTGGACGGGGAAGGTTGGCGATGCGTCTGCGTTTCGTGTCTGGGGATCTCGGGCGTTTGTCCGCGACTTGTCTGCGGACAAGCTGTCCCCCCGTGCTGTTCCCTGCGTCTTCCTTGGCTTCCCCCCTGACGCGCCTGGTTGGCAGTTTTACCACCCCACCTCGCGCCGTGTTCTGTCCTCCCAGGACGTCACGTTTGACGAGTCAGTTCCTTACTACCGTCTCTTCCCCTACCGCACTGCGCCCCTCCCCCCGCCGCCGCTCTTCCTCGCGCCAGGTTCCCCCCCGGTAGACCCCCTTCCCTCTCAGGGTCCTGCCCCCTCAGGTGTGTCTCAGGTAGACGCAGTCGAGCCTGTCGAGGTAGCTGTTGACTCTGGTGCTGCTAGGGGTGCTGAGCCTGCGGGTGCGGGGTCTGGGGGTGCTGAGCCTGGGGGTGCTGAGCCTGGGGGTGCTGAGTCTGGGGGTGCTGAGCCAGGGGGTGCGGAGCCTGAGGGTGCTGAGCCTGCTCGTGTGGAGTCTGGCGCTGCTGGGTCTGGAGGTCCCTTGGGGCACATGCAGGGAGGGGAGGGGCAGCAGGGCATGGGGCCGGGGCATGTGCCGCCGCACTTGCCGAGGGGGTTGCTGCCTTCTGGGTCGCATCACCTGGCCATGGTTCTCACCCCGGTAAGTGCATTGCATAACCTGTTTATGATTCTCCCTCTGGTAAGTGCAATCCTCTGGTAAGTGAAATGACATGCTTGGACACCAGCAGATGGGACCGGGAGGGGGAATGCCTCTGGGCCATCTCCCCCAGGGGCCTGGAGGTCCGTCGGGGCACATGCAGGGGGGGGAGGGGCAGCAGGGCATGGGGCCGGGGCATGTGCCTCCGCACTTGCCGAGGGGGTTGCTGCCTTCTGGGTCGCATCACCTCGCTATGGTTCTCACCCCGGTAAGTGCATTGAGATTTTCAGTCTTCTCACTAGTGGGGTGGGGGGTGGGGGTGGGAATGCCTCTGGGCCATCTTCCCCAGGGGCCTGGAGGGCCGTTGGGGCACATGCAAGTGGGGGAGGGGCAGCAGGGCATCATGTGCCTCCTCATTTGCCGAGGGGGTTGCTTCCTTCAGGGTCGCATCATCTGGCCATGGTTCTCACCCCGGTAAGTGCATCGTAGCCTGTGATTAAGGTTCTCTCATTTTGGTAAGCACATTGAGATTGATTTTGTCCGTATCGAGGTAAGATTCCTTGCTAAGCCGTTTAGAGGCGTCAAGACAGAAGATCAGGCTATGGCTGGCGGTTTATGCAGCTGCAGCTGTATCAGCAGCTATGAGTTTATGCACAAAATGCTTTGTTTTGTTCCACCACCCTCTCTTGTTTCCCTTCAGGCGGAGTGTGGAGAGACGCCCTATGGCTGTGTGCAGCAATCTGCAGCAGCGGCAGCAGCAGCTGCTGCGGCTGCTGCTGCTCTTGCTAAGTACTGTGACGAGTGTGGGGCCACATATGTTAGGGACTCCTCTAAGTTCTGCTCTGAATGTGGCACTAAACGCCACGGTACCAATGGTATGTAGCCATGGTGGTGCCTCTGGTTAGTCATTGCATGCGAGGGTCGATATTGTAACAGCAGCTCATGCCAATCTTTTTGTGCCACATCTCGTGGTTCTTTATGGTAGTAAATTGCCCACATGAGCGTCTTCTTTGTACTGTTGCGCAAAAAGTTACCCTCATGACGGTGATGAATCCATGTGAATAAAGCATTTGTAAGGTTCTGAGAGAGTCCTCAGAGGTTAGCATACACGTAGTTTCATCCTTTAAGCCACTCCGGATTCCATACAGTTTATTTTGTGGAGTTTATGGAGCACCTCTTATCGTCGCAAAACAGTTTATATACACAAGGACTAGGGAATCATTCTGACACGTGAAATCGAACCTCAAATCCAGCCCCGATCCATCTTTGACGGATACTGTACACGGACACAATTGTTTGTTCTCGCAACTGCTATGGAAATTGCGGTGCCAAGGTTCATGCGCTTGGACACGGATGAACCTGGTAAAACAATGCGGACCACGTTCAGCGATCTGTCGTTTCGGCGAGCGTAGCTGATCGCTTCTGCTGAATGCCAGCTAAAAGCACTGTGTTACAGCTGTGATGACTCACATACTGACTGTGTTGGCCCTCCCTCAATGGAAAGGACGCCAGTGAAGTGTCTGAGGGGGTAAATCTGGACTGTTTCTTAGGAATTGATGATGTAAAAGCATTCGTCAGCTAAGTGTATACGACTAAGAATGTGGAAGGAGGAGAACGTGGCTAGCATGTTCCACATTGGGGTACAGTATCTTGGTCGAATGTAGGAGTCCATGGGACTGTTTTGGAACACCACCCAATAAAAGCTTTCCGTCTGGGAACTGGACTTGCTGCGTTCTGTAGCCAATGCCATGTTCAGTGCTCGCAATGTACCTTCCCTCATTTTTGAGGCCTTGGAAGGTCGATATTTTATGCCGAATCAGCTTGCTGACGCTTTTCCACAGCCCATCTTGAGCGGGCCTATGGAGGGTTACGAAAAAGATTTCATCATTGCAGGGGGCACGCGCCAGCCTCTCATATGAGCGCATGAGAATGGCGTGCTTCTGCTACGTCAGGTATTTTGTCCCTCTGCATCGCACGCGGAGCAACGAGACAGCTTGAATGCGACTTTGAGAGTGCGCGGCACTTACAAAACGTTGACTTGCAAATTTGCGGGAGGGAGGGGATTCTGAGGAAAACTATTGTATGTATTGCTGTCGAACTCTAAAACTACCCCGGTATCTTCTTTTTCTCCAAGGGATAACCACACTCTATAGAATATCCCACCTTCCAACCGTCAAATCAACACGATAGGGGTCCCGAAGCGGCCATTCTGCGCTATCGGTCACGCGATTGTCGGGCAGGGGCATGCGATCTGTCTCGGTTTGGGCGACCTTGCTTGGTTTTATCGGAAAGGGGGGATGGAAGGGAAGGGCAGCAGGAGAAAGGGATCGATTCCGGAGCGTACTGTACAGCTTGAACGAAAGCTCTTTGTGACAGCAAGGGCCGTGCGAAAGCGAACCCCCATTTCCGTCTTGAGCTCCGCTCCGCACTGCGATGTTCTCTGCTGTGCACAGTGCAATCACATTCCGGCAGAAACAGAAGAAACCATGGCGTCGATTGTAACGCCTGTGGGCTGTGTTAAGGGCACTCCGCTGCGCCAAATAACACCCTCGTTTTGACCCAGTGGGTAGCGAGGTGTTACATTTGGAATCAGAGCCTAGGGTTCGAATCCCGGCTGGACCACACTTTCCGCCTTTGGCGAGAACTGAAGTGCGGTTGTAACCAGCTCGAACCCAGCGAACGATCCTCCGCTGGCCTGAGCAACCAGCGAAGTCGCAACCAGCAGCACTGCGAAATCTAGGTCCCAGCGGCAGGGGGCCGACTTCCTGAAGTCGAGGGCCAACGGGGACGTTGGCACCAGGGGGGGACGAGTGTAACGCCTGTGGGCTGTGTTAAGGGCACTCCGCTGCGCCAAATAACACCCTCGTTTTGACCCAGTGGGTAGCGAGGTGTTACATCGATGCTACGGTGGTGTCACCACCATGGACGCTCGCATTCACCTCGTTCACATTTTGGAAAAAGGTCGCCTTCCCTGACTCATCTGATCCAAAACTGGCTGCAGCTTTTGGAGCAGTTGTGCAAATGGCTCTTGTCCCTCGATCCACAGAGATTCTCGTTCGACCCCCGGAGACTTTCTGTTACACACCTACGACCAGCAGGCAGTTGAGTGCATCCTATCAGCAAAGTGCTGCCGGAAACACTTAGTAGTTGGCTGTCGACAAGATGCACTCGAGTCTTTTAGATGGATTTCCCTCGAAAATTATTTCTCATGCGCTCACAACCGTCAGCTTTACTACCTACTACTAGCGGAACCCGCCGCATTTAGCAGCAGATTGGCACTGTATCTATCTTCTGCGCCGGTGCGTGGCACGCAACAGCGTTCCGCGAGAACACGGAGCGCACGGAACAGAACGATTCGTTGAAACTCTGAACGTTAATCATCATGTCGGCGCGGGAGCTGAATGTATCGAGCCATTGCCCAAACTCGAGTCTGTAATTCCGTAACGTCGTATTAATGTTTATGATTCCGCCGCCAGTTTTGAGTTGCTATTGTTGTTTGGTAGTCTAATATTTCGCGACAGGTATTTCAGTTTGGGGCTCCTAGCGCCAAAGGATTCGGAGTCCGATCAGACGAGTTGTGTAGTCCTAGCGTACCATTTAATCAACTTCAAGTTGGCGCTGATTCAATCAGGAGTTTTCCAAGCTAGCACTCAAATAGGCTCCTCTTCCCTTATAGAGAAGTTATTTCAATAGGCTCCTCTTCCCTTCAAACCTCTCCTCTCTTTGACATCCGGACAATGCGTCCGGCGAGACCTTCTCTGAATCCACGGCTACTAATGAGTCCTGTAGGCAGCGGTGGGCACGCAACCACAGCATTCACTAATAGCAGTAGTTATAGGAGATCCATAGGTGACCCTGGTAAGGTGACCCGCTGGGTGAGAAGACCAGGTGAGGAGACTTGGTGAGGAGATTTGGTGAGGAGATTTGGTGAGGAGATTTGGTGAGGAGATTTGGTAAGGAGATTTGGTGAAGAGATTTGGTGAAGAGATTTGGTGAAGAGATTTGGTGAAGAGATTTGGTGAAGAGATTTGGTGAAGAGATTTGGTGAAGAGATTTGGTGAAGAGATTTGGTGAAGAGATTTGGTGAAGAGACCTGACCTGGTGGGGAGACCTGGTGGTGCCATTACGGTGCAATTAGAGTGACTATTTTTGTAACGTATTACCCTAACTACCGAGCTAACAACCATCGATCTCTCTCTAAGTCAATTGTTGAGAACTTCTCTCGACAAAGGAAGAGTTGGAGAAGATGGTTGAGTTGGTTGGGATGAAACTTGGTTTGGGTTTGCCAAGCCTCAACTTTGGAGGTTTGGAACATTTCCAACTCAACCAAGAGAATGTTGAAGGTTGGAATTCCAACCAATCAGAAACTGCCAAACAATTGTTACAATCTACTCTATCCTAAACACAACCATTGAATGGTTCTAAGTTGGGTTTTCCAACCCAACACAATTGCCACATAGACTCCAAGCCTAGGAATCATCCCACCATGGAAACCATGGTTGGGATAGTTCCCCAAGGGGTGTATTGAGGGGGTCTGAGCTAAGCAAGCTCATTCTCAACCTCCCACTCCAACAAAACAATTGGAAATGGGATTGTTTCTCTAAGTCCTTTTGGGCTCTCTCACAAGTCTCCCTACACTACTACTCCAAGTGCTTTTCATCAAAGGCATCAAGAAGATCTTCATCTCCAAGGCTATTAAGGCTAGTTAAAGCTACTATTTTGTATTGGAATATTATAAAAGCCTTGTAACCGCCATTATAATGGCCCTGGGCATTACAATTTTAGACTACCAGCTTTAAGTGACAGTGGGAGTGGACATATCATACCGCTTGGTGAAACCCGAAGAGATCAACATCATCATGAACCAGAAAGCGTCAGACCCGAATCAGCCAATCAGATCGCCGTATCATCATGGAGCCGGCACTGCCGGCAGCAACGGCTCCAGGCCATCACCGCCGTTTCGCAACACCTTGACAGGCGGCGCATCATTCCAAGAAGCTGCTTTCCATGAAGCTGCCTTCCAGGAAGCTGCCGCCTTCCGTGCAGCTGCTTTCCAGGAAGCTTCTGCTTTCAGGGCAGCTGCGTTCCAGGGAGCTGCTTTCCCAGCAGCGCCTCCCCGGGTAGGGCCACCCCGGGTAGCGCCTTCCCAAGTAATGCCGCCCCAATCAGTGTCCCCCCTAGCACCGCCGCCCCTGGCAGTGGCTTCTTCAGGCTTTCGGCCTTCCATGGCGGCGGTGTCGCCACGTGGCAGTGCTTGGAACAGCTCTTCTTCGATACCCCCCGAGCAGTTCATCCGGTGGAGCAACCAGGTGCGCCCCTCCCTGTGCCGCCCACCTGATCCTGTCATGTGTAGAGAGGGTGTTTTTGAGACGTCTCAAAAACTCCCACCAGAGCAGTTCATCCTGTGGAGCAACCAGGTGCGCCCCTCCCCTCCCCTGTGCCGCCCGCCTGATCCTGTCACGTGATGTCTCAGATCCGATTCTGCTGAGTTTCTGAGTCGTCTGTAGTTGCACCGATTGCACTGTAATGATACCCGATGTGATCCTATCACCCCCGTGTATGGTGTGATCCTACGTACCTTGCACACTCCAGCTGCTCTAACTCATCACCCATGCACCCATCATCACCCATCATCACCCTCATCATCCATCATCACACAGCATCACCCATCATCATCCATCATCACCCATCATCACCCATCATCACCATCATCACCATCATCACCCATCATCACCCATCATCACCCATCATCACCCATCGTCACCCATCATCACCCATCGTCACCACCCACTCATCCTTCCCTCAGGAGGACCGCATTTTGCTGCAGCACGTGATGCGCCACGGCACGCGCAACTGGGGTCTGCTGCAGCATCTTCCGCCTCAAGCCACTCACTATCACCCATTCTCACCCATTCTCACCCATCACCACCCATCATCACTCCCTCAGGAGGACCGCATATTGCTACAGCACGTGATGCGCCATGGCACGCGCAACTGGGGGCTGCTGCAGCGGAGCCGAGAGCTGCCTCTCCGGGACAACAAGGCCTGCTGCAACCGCTTCATCCTCCTTAAGAAGTGAGGCGCTACTGTGTGTGGAAAGCTGGATTGGCAAGGTGTATCAGATATGACACGCCATTTGAGAGTGACGGCCAGTTTCGCCCACTTTTCTAGGCACGGTCTTTGATCAAGAGTTCGGATCGGATCAGATTTCATGCTGCTGATCAGATCAGATCTGATGGTGCTGGTTAGATCTAATAGTGGTAATCAGATCTGATGGTCCTGATCTGATTTGATTTTTCTCTCCATATCGTCTCCCTTCCCATCTACCACATCACTCACTGAGCAAGAGGTTTCTCGAGCAGCATCTCCTCGCCTGCATCCAGGGCTTCCCTCACCACTGCCGCTCTTGAGCAGCAAGCAACGCCACACATAAGCACGTCCATAACCCTGAACCCTGGACTCAAGAGTCGCCCTCCTTTTGGCTGTCTACCCCCGCTGCTCTTCCCCTCTGTTGCCCGCGCCTGAGCAGGCGATTCCTGGAGCAGCAACGCCTGCAAACCGCCACCACCGACACCGCCAACACCACCACCAACACCACAACAACCACCACCACCACTGCAGCTCCCGCCACGGAAACTGCTGACCCACGTAAGGACCCAAGGGCATCTGCAGGGAAGGAACGGGACTCCGCTGCTGCTGCTGCTTCCTCCTCTGCACCAAAACGAAGCCCTTCCTCTGTGTCTCTTGCTGCTGCTGAGGCCTCTGCTGCTGCTGCTGCTGCTGCTGCTGCTGCGGCTGCTGCTGCGGTTGCTGACGCAGCTACCATCTCAGAACAAGTGCAGGATATACAGAAGAAAGAGGGAAAAGAAGAGAAAGTAGAGGAGGGTCTGGTTCCTTCATCCCACCTCTCTGCTTCGGCGCCTTCCAGCCCTGCTGCCGGACCTGCTGTACCTGCTGCTTCCGAACCTGCTATTTCCAGGTCTGCTGCTTCCGAGCCTGCTTCTCCAATCCTGCCCCGTGCGTATTCTGTTGGAGGTGCCACGTCAGTCTTGGTCTCGGGCCAGTCGTTGCTGGACAAATCGCTTGAAGACAGGAAGGTTCTGCAGCAGCAAGCTGAGCCGTTGATCGACACTAGCCCGCTGAACCAGTCGATCCTGAGCGTCCAATTGGCCGAGCTATTCCATTTGGATCTAGCAGCAGCTGCTACAGGCGGAGAGGCTACAGCCCAGGATACCGCTACAGATGCTACATATGCTGCTGCTACGACTGCAGCTACAGTTGCCACTGCTGGTACAGATGCTGCTGCAGCAGCAGCTGCTGCTGCTGCTACAGCTGGTGCATGTGAAGGCAGCGGCGTGGGGGAGATGGTGGATAGGAAGAGGAAGGAAGCGCCTTCCGCCATGGGTCAGCCCGACAGAAGTGCTGTCAAGAGATTCGTGCGCGATGGGGATGGGAGAGGAGGAGATGGAGGAGGTGGAGGAGGTGGAGGAGGTGAGGGAGGGGAAAGCGGGGATGGGGTGACAGGTGCTCAGCAGAGTAGTTGGAACGAGCTTGGGGCATGTGAGGAGGGGCGAGGAGGAGAAGGAAAGGATAGTGGTGCGATTGAGTGTGGTAATAAGAAGTCCAGTGTGGGTAAGGAGGATGGGACGGGAGGTGGTGTTGCAGCGAATGGAGAGGGGAGTGGTGGTGGGATGACTAAAGGGAATGGAGGTGGTGATGGTGGTGGAGGTGTGACTAAAGAGAATGGTGAGGGAAGTAGTGGTGGAGGTGTGACTATAGGCGATATGTTCAAGACACTGCTGCATGCGAATGCTCAGCACGTGGCTGCTGCCATTCTGGATTGGAAGGATCGGGTGTGTGGTTCGGATGACAGGCATGTGCCGAACCTGGCTGCTGCGGTGAAGCTGAGGGATGTGGGGCCAGTCGGCTCGGTGCAGCGCGGTTCGGTGCAACGTGGTTCGGTGCAGCGTGGTTCAGTGCAGCTGTTAAATCGTCAGCAGGACGAACATCATCATCAACAGCAGCAGCAGCAGCAGCAACAGAAGCAGCAGCAGCAGCAACAACAACAGCGGCAGCAGCAACAGCAGCAACAACAACAGCTGCAGCAGCAGCAGCGGGAGCAGCAACAGCAACAGCAACAGCAGCAACAGCAACAACAACAGCAGCAACAGCAGCAACAACAACAGCAGCAACAACAACAGCAGCAACAGCAGCAACAACAACAGCAGCAACAGCAGCAACAACAACAGCAGCAACAGCAGCAACAACAGCAGCAGCAACAACAACAGCAGCAACAGCAGCAACAACAACAGCAGCAACAGCAGCAACAACAACAGCAGCAACAGCAGCAACAACAACAGCAGCAACAACAACAGCAGCAGCAGTTGGCTCAGTCATCTTGGCTGAGGCAAGAAGAATCGTATCGTCTCCTTCAAACCGCCCATCTCAGCCGCTCAGGGCAGCAGCAGGGGCAGCCGCAGGGGCAGCAGGGGCAGCAGCAGGCGCAGCAGGGGCAGCAGGGGCAGCAGGGGAAGCAGGGGCAGCAGGTGCAGCAGCAGGCGCAGCATCAGACGCAGCAAGGGCAGCAGAGGAAGCAGGGTCTTTCTCTACTGCCTCACCCCTTTGTCCCTCCTGCCGTCACCACCCCACCTGCTCCCGCCTCCCCATCCCCCCCCCCTCACTCCTCCCCCCCTCTCTCTATCCCCCCGCTCTCCACTTCCACGGTCCTCGCTCCCCCTCAGCCCTCTCACACTCCCGATCGCATGCCACGTCCGAACCTGCCACGCCAGCCCCTGCATTGTCACCGCATGCCATGTCATCCCCTGCCACGTCAGCTCCTGCCACGTCAGCTCCCGCCTCTGCTTCCAAAAGCAGCACTGCCCTGAGCAGCCTAACAACCTCCACTATTCCCGCTTTCCCTCCTTATAATCACATGCTCCCAACCATCCTTACACCTTATATCACCATGGGAGCGAACCAATCCCCAGGCCTCTCATCACAAGAGTTTCCACTCAACTATACAAACATGGGCGAGGGTAGGTGGCCTGTGAGTAGGTTCGGTATTGCCGAGCCTGTTGTCCGAACCGCTCGGCTAGGTTCGGTGTGGGACCCAGCAGCAGGCATGGCAGGTGGACTGGCCACACACAATCCAACGAATCTGGTGAATGCAGCAGGTTCGGGGAATGCAACAGGCTCGGGGAACGCAACAGGCTCGGGGAATGCCGGAGGCTCGGGGAATGCAGCCAGTGTGAGAAATGCAGGAGGGCTGCAGCACAGAGCTGCAGGTTCGGGGAATGCGGTAAGGAGTGAGAGGGAGTGTGGATCTGCAGGATCAAATATGACTCCTCCAAATCCCGCGGGACTCGCAACAACAGGGAGTCATATTCTTGTAGCGGAGACGCATCATCCCATGCAGCAGATGCTGTGGCGGCAACACTTGCAGATGCAGATGGAGCGACAGGCACAGGGCCAAGGAGTGACAGGGGGGGCAATTCAACTGGGAGTGACAGGAAAAGGAGAGGCAGCAGCAGGTGCAACAGCAGCACCAGACGCACAGGCCATGCAGCAGCAGCAACACCACCAGCACCAGCAGAAGCAGCAGCAGCAGCAGCTCCCGTCGTTACGGAGGTCCTTTTCACACTCACTCTCTCACACTTCCTCGCCCTCCTCACACACTCGCTTCTCCCACACCCACCCTATCCACCAGGGCACACACACCACTACTCCTTCCCTGAACCCCTCCCTCATCCCCTCCCTCACTCCGTCCCTCACTCCCTCCCTCACTCCCTTCTCATCACAGCTCTGGCAGCAGACCCGCACTCCTCTCTACCCTCTCTCCCGCCCCTCCTCCTCCTCCTTCCGAGCCCCCCCTCCTCTCCTCCCCTCCCTCCCCCTCGCCTCCACTCATCCCGCATCCGATCACACTCCGCAGAATCACACTCCGTATGGTCACCCTTTGTTCAGCCAATTTCCTCCTATTGGCTCACCCAAACCAAGCTCATCTGCCATTGGCTCGCCAGCTGTCGGCTCCTGCGGGCCCCCTCCCATCTCCTCGCCCTCTGTTGCTGCTGCCACGTCAGCATCTCAATCTGCCGCTGCCACGTCAGCACCCGTATCCACAGCTGCTGCTGCAAGGGATACGCAAGAAGCTGGTGAGAAGGAGGAGGGCGGTGGGAGGGAGGAGGGCAGTGAGAGGGGTGCGAGAAGGGAGGAGGAGGTGGAGGGTGGGAAAAGGAGCACAATGGACGTGAGGGGGGAGCTGGAAGGGGGTGTGAGTGTGGGGCAGTGGCAGGAGCGAGGGGGGAGCGAGGGGGGGAAGCAAGGGCAAGCCAGGGATGCAGAGGAAGGGGTGATGATCGCGGGGGTGATGGGAGGAGATCACACCTCCCCCATTCCTCCCTCTGCTTTGCTCGGTGTGTCAGAAGATGACGTCATCAGCCTGCTGGTTGCGGACTGGGCCGCGGAAGACGCTGACCTGGCCATGCGTGCTGCTGAGCTGGCAGCAGCTGACGTGGCACCGCCGCCACCACCCAGTCACGGTGGAGTTAGGGAAATGCAGCCACAAGAGAGTGGAAGGATGGAGCAGAGAAGAATGGTGGACAGCAGTAGACCTGCCACCGCCACTACCCCTTTAATGAATCCTGCCCCTCCTGCTTTTCTTGGCAATTAACCCCCTACTGACCTGACTGCTTTCTCAGGAGGGCAGAACCTCACTGCACCGCACACCACCGCTCATAATGGTCCGTATGAGTGGTCTGCGTATATACGCCCGGCCCCGTCTGCTGCAGGGCATGTGCGACTGCCACGTGTACATTCCACTGGACCTGATACTGCCACATCAGATTGGGACGCTGCCACGTCACACCATGGCATGATGACACGTCACCATCAACATGCCACGTCACACCATGGGAGGGATTTTAGGAACTTCCGGGGTGCGGGAGCAGCAGGGAGCTTGGGGGAGACAGATGAGAAAATGACTAACCTGGTAGAGGGAACGATGCTATGGGGGATGCCAGGTCAGCGTGCTGACACCATGCCAGGTCAGCCTGCTGACATGATGCCAGCTCAGCTTGCTGACACAGTGCCAGCTCAGCACGTGAATGAGGCTTACCAGGAGGGGGGCGGGTATGGAATGATGATGCAGCAGCAAGCAGGAGAGGGCGGTGAGGGCGAGAGGGAGGGGGGCAGAGACCAGTGGCCTGACTGGGTGCTCCGACACATGTCCTCGTGATCATCAGTGTGCTTGTGATACCTAGGCAGATGTGCACGTGACTATAGAAGGGTGAGTGATTATAGATGTACCAAGGGCGTCACTGACCAAGGCGAGAGGGAGGGGGGCAGAGACCAGTGGCCTGACTGGGTGCTCCGACACATGTCCTCGTGATTATAGATGTTGATTGTGATTATAGGTGGATGATGTGGATATATGAATGCGGTATGTTGTGGTGGTTATAGTGGATGATACGATGGTTGAGACAAAATGGCAGTGTGGTAGGGTAGTGTGACTGCAGTGCAGTTCACAGTGAGCAGAGAAGAGGTGTTCAGTAAAAGAAGAGTAGAGTAGAGAGGAGGAAGCCTTCAGTTAACCATTTCAACGAACAGGTGTTTGCAAGTGTTGAGCCAGAGAGCATTCAGTCTTGCCACTTGTCTTCCAGGAATCTCGGTATCGCCTGCACACACTGGGATCAAACGCCCCCTACAGGCACACGCACAACCCGCAGCTCATCCTGCAGAATAATCCGCGGCCCTGCTCCCAACAGATACCTTGTTCCGCTCGCACTCCCCCACACTCGCCCAGTGCTGGCAGCTGTTACTGTTGCTGCTGCTATACACACACAATCCCTACGTACACACCCCGCAGCTCTTCCTGCAGTAACCAAGGCTCTGCTGCCCCACACCCTCCGCTCCCACTATGTACGCCTTGTTCCACTCGCACTCGCCAATGCTCGCCCAGTGCTGGCAGCTGTCGCTTCTGCTACCACTACACACACACTCCCTACGTACACACCCCGCAGCTCTTCCGGCAGTACCCCAGGCTCTGCTGCCCCACACCCCCCGCTCCCACCATGTACGCCTTGTTCCGCTCGCACTCGCCAATGCTCGCCCAGTGCTCGCAATTCTCGTTGTCATCCGCACACACAGACGGGTCGCGGGGCGGCAGGTCGAAGGCCCCCACGTGGATCCACTTGGTGGCGGACCACTTCTCCCCGGCCAGCACGGGGCAGCCCGCGTGGAGAGATGAGAGGTCGAAGGAGGTGTCCGGGTGGAGGGAGAAGAAGAGCAAGGCATCGCCCTTCCTAGGCTTGGCTGGAGACGAGGGGGGGGGGAGAGGATGGGGGAAAGGGTGGGGAGGTGGGGTTGGGTAGGAAAAAAAGTGGGGAGGAGGAGGAAGAATCAGCTCGCATATTGCCCCTGGGCCCCTACAGGGTGGGAAGGGGGAAAGCCCCCCACGTGGATCCACTTGGTGGCGGACCACTTCTCCCCGGCCAGCACGGGGCAGCCCGCGTGGAGGGAGGCGCGATCAAAAGAAGTGTCGGGGTGCAGTGAGAAGAAGAGCAAGGCATCGCCTTTCCTAGGCTTGGCTGGGACAGGGAGGGGGGAGTGGGAGAGGGGGAGTGAGGAGGGGGAAGAGGGAGCGGGGAAGAGGGAGGGGGGAGAAATGGCTCGCATATTGCCCCTCGCCCCTAGGTTGAGAGCCCCCCACGTGGATCCACTTGGTGGCGGACCACTTCTCCCCGGCCAGCACGGGGCAGCCCGCGTGGAGGGAGGCGCGATCAAAAGAAGTGTCTGGATGGAGCGAGAAGAAGAGCAGCGCATCGCCTTTTCTTGGCTTGGCTGGAGACAGGGGGAAGAGTTGAGGTGGGGGGTTGACGGGACTTTGAGGTGGGGACAGTGAGGGGGGTTGAGAGAGGTTGAGAGTGGAAAGAAAAGGGGATTGTGGGTGGCCCATCTGAGGCACGCATTAAGAAAGCTGTTTATAGGTGTGTGGGTATTTAAGTGCAACGAGGGGCGCATAGTACGTACCAGCAATGCCCTTCTTCCCACAGTCACTCCACGAGTCATCCTTCACTACAGTGTCCTCCTGCACAACCATCCAGCAGCAGCGGGAGACACACACAAAGAAGGGAAGAGAGAAAAGGGATTGATGCGGTTAGCTTCACTCATACGTCCCTCAGTAGAAGCGAGGAAACACAAACAGCCCCTTTCACCTGCAATCACCGCTTTCCACGCCCTTTAACCCCTAACCCGCCTCTTCCTTCCCAAGCCCTCCTGGGTGGCTGCCCCCATCTCATGCCCACCAACATGCCCACCGACACATACTTCGTATCAACCATCCCCTAACCCCGCCCCACTCTTTCTGCCCCTCGTACCTCGGACTCAGGGAAGGCAGTCTCGCCGCCCATCTCCACATTCGAGAGGTACATGAGCACTGTGGCGTATCGAGGGCCCCCTGGGGTGGGTGCCTGCCTTTCATGCCCACCCACCCATACTACCCATCCAGCCCCCGGCCTGTATGACATACCTCAGACTCAGGGAAGGCAGTCTCGCCGCCCATCTCCACATTCGAGAGGTACATGAGCACTGTGGCGTATCGAGGGCCCCCCGGGGTGGGTGCTTTGGCGGGGTCGATGTAGTCCCAGTGAGCCCCGTACTCCTGCCCGTCCCTGTACCTCAGCACTTGCATCGCCTCCTGGTTCTCTGGGCATCCACAGGCAGGGAGGTAGGGAGAGAGCGAGGCAGGGAGCAGGGAGGGAGGGAGGGAGGGAGGGAGGGAGGGAGGGAGGGAGGGAGGGAGGGAGGGAGGGAGGGAGGGAGGGAGGGAGGGAGGGAGGGAATTGAAAATGTGCGAGCAGTGGGGAAGGGGTTATCGATGGGGAGGAAGGGCTTACCAATGGGGAGGAAGGGCTTACTAATGGGGAGGAAGGGCTTACCAATGGGGAGAAAGGTCCAAGCAGCCACACGCTCTTCAATGCGTTGAATGACTGCATTCTGGCACAGCGGGGAGATGGCGGGGAGGTGGATGTAGGGTGGAGATGGGTAGAGGTAGGGTGAAGATGGGTGGAGGTAGGTTGGAGATTGGTGAAGGAATGGTTGAAGCAAGAGTCGTGGATGCAGGAGGACACTAGCATCGCACAGAATGCGAGCACAGCACACCAGCTAGTCCCTCCGACTACCACATGTCATGCTCTAAAAATGCCGCAGCAGCCTTGTACTCCATTTGCTATAATCTATTTAACATACTCAATCTATGATGCCCCATTACACAACTGGAGCTGCTGCTAGTGTCGCACCTCGTACTTAACAATGAAGGAGCCATCGCTGGTGCGTATGCTATCCTGCACGCTTTGCCCGCTGTTGCTTAGCACTGTAGACCGTTCCATCCGTGGACGTGACTGTAAGAGGGTGATGGAGGACGGGGAGATGTGGTTAATCCAGAAATGCCGATTGATTGGAGCGAGGTGGGCAATGAGGTGAACGATGAGGTGGATGGTGACGTGGATGTTGACGTGGCAGATGAGGTGGATGGTGAGGAGGGTAATGAGAAGAGAGGGAGGAAAACATGGCAGAAATGATGCTGAAAGTTGAGGAATAATTGGGATGGATGAGAAGGATTGTAACGATGTGAACGATGGGAATGATGGGCGTAATGGATCATGACAGGTGCCTGTGTGAGATTGTTGGGACTCACATAGTTGACAATGTAGTCACACTCCGCCTCGGATAAGAACTGGGGGAACAGGAACGCCCTGGAAGTGGTAACACCGTTACAGCATGACACGTGTCAGCGTTATGTTAACTAATGCCTGTACAGATCATGTAACCACAATGACTGCGGACGACAAAGTTCGTTAGAAATCAAGCACAAGTCAGAGCGATTTTGCGAGGAAGTACCTAGGCTTCCAGGAAAGCCGTTGAACCTTGCTGATGTCAGGAATGTGAACAGGGGGTTCTTCTAACGGGGGAATGTCCGTAGCAGCATCACTGTAACACCGTATGACCAACGTTACGCAGAATATAGAAACGTCGATGTCAGAAGGGACGGAATATACGGATAGCGCTAGAATTGCGATGAGTTGCAATAAGTTCGCGCGTCTGCGGTCTGGACGTACGTCATTTTGGACTGATTGTCAGTTGCTTCGATAGAGTGTCCGGTAACGGCATTCGCAAGAAGAACGCTCAGCATAATCACAAGGGCTTGTTGTGAGCTAGCGACGGAGGCCATGGCAAATTGTCGCCGCTGGCCCTGACCCGACGAGCCTCTCTGTCAGTGCAATGACTGTAACGGGCAGCCTTGCCGCTATTCTACCAGCCGGCTGTGCTTTACACGCTTTCTTGTTTCGGAAAGACGAGTCTGCTTTAGATCACAAAACATGACAGGACAACAAGGTTAGTTCTGGTCAGGAGAATTGTGAACTGTACTTGCAACTCCCGGCGAAGGGAAGGAATTTCAGGGAAACCCAAGGAAGGAAGTGGTGCCAGTGGTGTGAGAAGTGGTGTCAGTGGTGTGACAAGTGAAGTGAAAACCAAGCACAATGAAGTGCAGCGTTTGGGAGGGGTGATGTGGTTGGATAATGTGTTTCGCGAGGCGATTCGTTACTGGTTGTGCGAATACATTTCTGCCCACCAGTGAGTCTTGCGAATTGCATTCGCCACAATGTTTGTTCATCGCAACCCAATGGGAAACCTCGTCATCTGACACTGCCGGGTAACCACCTTGGGATTCCATCTCCTTGTGAATTGCAAGATAATCTCTAGGCTGCTCATTTTCATTCCTGATGGTCGTTTTTCTTCCTGGAGTTTCAGTGACTTCGGGAATCGGCATTGCCAGATTCCGCGCCATCGCACCCCATCCCACATCTCTCTGCCTTCTTCTCTTCATCCCAAAGCAGCAATACCTGAATCCCTTTTTCGCTGGGGGTGTCAGTTTTGCGCGGACCGAATCCCCCGTTTCTCTTAGCTTGTGTCCCTCGTATCTGACTCAGTTCTCTTACCGTATCGCACACTCCGTCTCTAACCGTCGACCACCACCAGAAAAAATACCACCTATTCGTCACTCACTCCCTTATGAATCTGCCTCATATCGGAAACTTAAACATGGATTCATGGCGTCGAGTGGGTGTAATGTCCGTCCTTGCACCATCCAGGCCGGCTCTGTTCCTGCTAGCGCCGCTCGCGCTGGCGCTTCTGGTGCTGCTGGCGGAACCCGCTTCGGGTTTTGAAGCCGACGCCCTTCCAGGCTGGCTTGGCGACACGTAAGCAGCCCAGGGGTTGTCAGCTACCGTCTTTCGCATCCTTGCGCGGTTACCACTTCGCGCATCCAGACTGAGCGAGCCTCGCATCAATCACCCAACCCCCTCCTCTTCCCGCTCCGCTCCCCCTCTCTCACCCAGCTATCGCTCCACCCCTGATCTCAAGCCAGCAGCAGCTGAACCTGAACCCGGGCTGAGCGAGCCTCGCATCAATCGCCCATCCTTAATCCCGCTTCTCGCCCCTTTCTTCTCCCCCTCACCCCCCAGCTATCGCTCCACGCCTGATCCCAAGCCAGCAGCAGCTGAACCCGAACCTGGGCTGAACGAGCCTCGCATTATCCGGCTATCGTGGAAACCAAGGTGAGATGCCTCAACATGTGAGATGAGATAAATGCGCTGAGATGCCTCAACATGTGAGATGAGATAAATGCGCTGAGATGCCTCAACATGTGAGATGAGATAAATGCGCTGAGATGCCTCAACATGTGAGATGAGATAAATGCGCTGAGATGCCTCAACATGTGAGATGAGATAAATGCGCTGAGATGCCTCAACATGTGAGATGAGATAAATGCGCTGAGACGCCTCAAAGTTAGGTGTCTTAAAGCCAACGTCCCCTTCCCACCCGTTCTCCCTCTCTCCACCCATCCGCTCCGCACGCGGCACGCCCGCTCACTCGCCACACCACCATCTTCATCCCTTCAATCCCAGGTCTACAATTTGCATTCCCATGTGACCCTCCCTCGTTTCTCCGCTCTTTCCCCCGCGTTCCCCCTCCCCATCTCCCCCTCTCGCCCGCTCGCCCGCTCCCCCGCTCTCCACCCCCTAGAGCGTGGATCTACAAGCAGTTCCTGACACACGAGGAGTGCGATCACATTATTGAGCTGGTATGTATCACACACACACACACACACACTGTTGACGTGGTATGCGCGCACGCACACATGGAAAGTGTAGCCTTGGCTCACCTCAAAGGCCGTCATTTCTTACGACCGCTTGAGCGTGGGTATACAAGCAGTTCGTAACCCACGAGGAGTGCAATCACATTATCAAACTGGTATGTATGCACACACATGGTCCGATTGGCACGTATACCCATCCCCCCGCTCCCCATCGTCCCACTGGAACACACCCTCATATCCGTAATCCTTCATCCTCCCAGGCACGTCCCAACATGACTCGGTCAGAATCAGTGGCAGACAATGGCACTGCCGAGATAGACACGTTGCTTCATCACCCCATTGCCCTCCCCACCACTGTCCATTCCCCCATTTCCCCACACCCACGTATCTCTAATACTTCTTCCTCCCAGGCGCGGCCCAACATGAGTCGGTCAGAATTGGTGGCGGACAATGGCACTGAAGAGATAGACACCTGCCCCATCCCCCCTCTGCCCATCCCACCTGCTGCCCATCCCCGCACTGCTATGCTACACACCCACGTATCCATGAACCTTCATCCCCCCGCACTCCCCAGGCATGGCCCAACATGACGCGGTCGGAAGTGGTGGCGGACAATGGCACCGAAGAGATAGACATCGTTTCCCTACCACACCCCATTGCCCCCCACCCCCATCCCTCCACTGCATTGCCCCAACCCCCCGCATTACCCCAGGCGCGGCCCAACATGACGCGCTCGGAAGTGGTGGCAGACAATGGCACCGAAGAGATAGACTCCATTCGCACCAGCTACGGAACGTTCCTGGAAACTGCCCAGGTCAGTTCTTGACCTCCCTCCTCTCCCTCTCCTTTCTTTCTCCTTCCCTTCTCTCCCCCTCTCTCCCTCCCTTCTCTCCCCTCCTCTCCCCCTCCCGCTCTCTCTTTCCTCGTCTCTCACCCGCTAGGCGCGCCCCAAAATGGAGAGATCAACGGTGCTGGCTGATAATGGCTCCAGCGTTGTAGACGACTACAGGTCCAGCTCCGGTTGCTTCCTCGATATTGCTCAGGTTCGTTATCAGTGTAACCTTTGGAGTTGAAGCACGAGTTTCCTTAGATGGGTGCGGCCCACAATGGATGCAGCGGTCGACAGTGCTGGCTGATAACGGCTCCAGTGTTGTAGACGACTACAGGTCCAGCTCCGGTTGCCTCCTCGATATTGCGCAGGTTTGTTGCACATGTTGCCTTACATTTGAGTCTAGTGAAGAGTTTCCTCTTTAGGTGCGCCCCAAGATGCAGCGGTCAACAGTGCTGGCTGATAACGGCTCCAGTGTTGTAGACGACTACAGGTGCAGCTCCGGTTGCTTCCTCGATATTGGCCAGGTCTGTTACACATGTTACTTTTTAGGTGCACTCAATACTCGGCGCGGCCCAAGATAGATGCAGAGGTCAACAGAGCGCATGCTTTGCTTTGCGCATGCTTTGATAACGGTGCCAGTGTGGCACATTATCATCCAGATGATAACAGGTCCAGCTCCGGTTCTGGCACATTTCTGGATATTGCCCAGGTTCGAGGGTGGGGGAGGTGCGGCCAAAGATAGACGGAGCGGTTGTTGCTGATAGGCGATGCTGCTGGCTGCTCGTCTCTGAGCAACCTTCCCAGCTGGTTCTATGCTCCTTGCCCCTTCCCATGCTCCTTCCCATGCTCCTTCCCATGCTCCTTCTCATGCCCCCTCCACATGCCCCTCCCTCAGGATGACGTGATCAAGCGCATTGAAGACCGCCTTGCTACCTGGACCTTCCTCCCCCCTGGTAAGTCCGCCTTTCCCCCCACCCCTGGTGCCCCCGCCCACCTCCCGCTTTGGTGCCCCCGCCCACGTACTCCCCTGGTGCGCCCGCCTCCCCCCTGGTAAGCTGGATATTTTCATAAGCCTCATTCTTGAATAGCCTGTACGCCTGTGTTCCCGCCTGCATGTGCGCTTCTATATGCGTGAGTGAGATGAGGCGACTTTTGAGTCGACTCAACAACCCAATCATTCTTGAACAGCCTGCATGCCTGAGTTGCCGCGCGCATGTGCACCCTTACCCGAATACCTCTGCACGTCATCCCTACCTCTCCAACCTCCGACGCCCCTTTCCAACCACTTTGCACATCGCACCTCCCTTGAAATCTCTTCCAGAGAACCAGGAGTCGATGCAGGTGCTGAGGTATGCAGAGCGGCAGATGTACAGCATGGGGCCTGCCTGCATTGTTGCCCTTATACCTCCTCTCCCTTTGCACTCCCCACCTCCCGGTGCCCCCCAGAGAACCAGGAGTCGATGCAGGTGCTGCGGTATGCAGAGCGGTAGAAGTACGACTGGGGCAGGCATTGATGGCCCTCACTCTTCCCCCCACATCCCCGCCTCTCTGTGCACTCCAGAGAACCAGGAGTCGATGCAGGTGCTGCGCTACGCTGTGGGGCAGAAATATGATGCTCACCACGATTTCTTTGAGGAGGACGAGAAGACGCAGCAGGGCGGCCACCGCTATGCCACTGTTCTCATATCCTCCCCCCACTTTCACCCTGTACACTCCAGAGAACCAGGAGTCGATGCAGGTGCTGCGGTATGCAGTGGGGCAGAAGTATGACTCGCATCACGATTTTTTCGAGGAGGACGAGAAGCAGCAGCAGGGGGGCCACCGCTACGCCACTGTGCTCATGTACCTTACTGATGGGTTCCGTGGGGGGGAGACCGTGTTTCCAGACTCGGAGGTGAGCATGTGTGTGGGTGTCTGGGTGTGCGTATGTGTGGCGGCCACCGCTACGCCACTGTGCTCATGTACCTTACTGATGGGTTCCGTGGGGGGGAGACCGTGTTTCCAGACTCTGAGGTGAGCATGTGTGTGGGTGTCTGGGTGTGCGTATGTGTGGCGGCCACCGCTACGCCACTGTGCTCATGTACCTTACTGATGGGTTCCGTGGGGGGGAGACCGTGTTTCCAGACTCTGAGGTGAGCATGTGTGTGGGTGTCTGGGTGTGCGTATGTGTGGCGGCCACCGCTACGCCACTGTGCTCATGTACCTTACTGATGGGTTCCGTGGAGGGGAGACCGTGTTTCCAGACTCGGAGGTGAGTATTGTGCGTGGGGGTTGGCATGTGCGTGTGTGGAGGGTTGGGAGGTAGTGACTGAAGGGGAGGACGCGAAGAAGCAGCAGGGGGGCCACCGCTATGCCACTGTGCTTATGTATCTCACTGATGGGTTCCATGGGGGGAGACCGTGTTTCCAGACTCTGAGGTGGGTGGGTGGCGTGTGTGGGCATGTGCGTGTGTGGAAAGGTGGGGGCGGAGTGGAAGAGAGAGGTGAGGAGAAGCAGCAGCAGAGGGGGGCATCACTACGCCACTGTGCTCATGTACCTCACTGATGGGTTCCGTGGAGGGGAGACCTTGTTTCCAGACTCAGAGGTGGGTGTTTGTATGGGCCTGCATATAATGTCATGTCATGTCATGTCATGTCAATTCAAGTCATGCCACATCACGCCACATGATGCCACATCATGCCTCGTCATGTCATGTCATTATGCGCTCCCCACCCGTGCAGAAGGACAAGCAAGAGAAGGATGACACGTGGTCTGACTGTGGCAAGCAGGGTGTTGCAGGTGAGGCTTTGGGTGGTGGTAGTGATTGCCATTCTATCATACCAATGCAACATTCTCTCTTACTCCCATGCCCCGTCCCTTCCCCTCCCCAACCCCAGCGCCTGCTTGTCTAAAGAATTGTGCTTCTCTTTGCCCTTTTGTCTCCTTACCTTTCCCATGGGCTCTCCTAAAACTCTACACCTCCCAATGCCTTTCCCTCCTGCCTTTCTTCCCTATCCCCCCATGCTTCCCCCACCCAGCCAAGCCAGTGAAGGGCGACGCGTTCCTCTTCTTCTCCCTCAAGCCATCCGCCTTCCCAAACCCCCAGGGCCCCCCCACCTTTCTGTTCCCCCATTTCTCTCACTCCCCCTCAATCCCCTCCTCCAGCCAAGCCAGTGAAGGGCGACGCGCTGCTCTTCTTTTCCCTCAAGCCCTCCGCCGCTTACCCCACCCTCCCACCCTCTCCCCCCCGCTCTCTCTCCCCCTTCCTCTTCCCCCCTGCCAGCCAAGCCAGTGAAGGGCGACGCGCTGCTCTTCTTCTCCCTGAAACCCTCTGCCGAGCCCGACCTGGCCTCTCTCCACGCGGGCTGCCCCGTGCTGGCCGGGGAGAAGTGGTCCGCCACCAAGTGGATCCACGTGCGCTCCTTCGAAGAAGAGGACGAGGAGGGGGTGGGGAACGCGGGCGGGAGTTCGTCTTCTTCTCACTCGCACCCGCCTGGTGCGTGTGTGGATGAGAGTGAGCATTGTGTTCCGTGGGCCAAGGCTGGGGAGTGTGAGAAGAACCCCGGGTATATGCACAGCAGCTGTGCTAGGAGCTGCGGTAAGTGCAGTGTACTTGCTGCTTCTGCTTGACACCAATTGGCGTTACGGTATGATACGCAGAAGGCTACTTAATAAGTAACTCGATGTGGATGCTCCTGATGCTCCTGTCCACACGAATCAGGATGCCAGCTGCAGTTGAATCAAGTACATGTACGTTTGTCTAGTAGAATTTCAAAGTCCAGGGCCATGAATCTGAACTATACGGTACTAAATAACCCAAAGACAAGCGTAGTCAGCCCACACAACAGAAGCCATCTTTGTCAGCCCTTCGATCCCTCACCCTGATCACCTACATTTTTTGGGGTGTAAGTCGGAAATGTACCCATCAGAAAGAGCTGAAGCACCACATCAGCAGAGCTGGAAACCAGCCAAGAGATTCGCACACAGTGGAAGCAAGCAGCTTCTGTGATAGGGGGAGGAAGCTAGGGCTAGCAACCGCAATAATAGAGTATCTGTTAAAAGGTTGACTCAGAAGAAAGCAAACTCCAGCAGGCACCTGGAACCCGGCAGCTGCAAGCGTAGAGGTCGCGACAGACGGACGAAGGCACACGACAGACAGACTGCTTCCCGCAGTCACACCTTCACCCAATGCCACCAGCAACCAGTATCAGCTGACGTCTTGCTAGTTCACTGCCGCACCGAGATTGCTGCTTGAACTCCCGACTGCGAGAAGCCTTCAGGACGGCATTGGCTTTCACCTGACGCCGTTCCTCCCGCTGCTGCTGTACACTGACCGCTCCAAAAGAGTTCCAAACTCGTTTTTAACCCGTTGAATACAAAAAAAAACATGTCGACTGAAACATCCTTGAGCAAAGAAACAGAACCCTAAAGACGCCATGCCATGATCGACATATAAGACAGAAAAACTTGTCGCCGATTTATTTCTTCTTGATACTCCCGCGAACGCCGGGTTTCTCCTTGTTCTCGAGATCCACGCCCTCGTGCTGATGAATCAGCTTGCCGTCGTCGAACGGCAGCTTCGGATGCCGAGCCTCGTGGTGGATCTGCATGCTCTTCATGTCCGGCGCCGTCGCCTTGCAGATCGGACACGCCAGCTTCGCGTGGCCGCCTTTGTCCAGTCCCAGGCGGTCTGCCAGTCCGGCTTTTCCGCCTCCGCGATTGGTCGTCGCCGCGTCGGCCTTCGCGGCGAGCTCCTTCGCCGTGTGCTTTTTCGGCTTCGCCTTTCCCGTCATGCTGTCGCTTGGGGGTCGCTAAAAACGGTGTGACTAAAACGAGGACGAGAACAAAAGGAGGCGTTGGCTTGTGTTGTGACCACTGCGACGGAAAATGCGAGATCTGTGGGAAGCTGAAAAGCGTATTAGGTCAGACGATAAACCCAAATCGGTTCTAGAACGTAGTGACTGTACAGCCTAGCCCAGCTAGGTTGAGAACAAGAGAATGCGAACCAATGAGAGAAGCGCCGACTAAACCACACAACAAGAATCTAGGTTCTGACTACGCAAAAGAAACTAGGTGGCCTTTTAGGTTTGAGGTGAGTTTGAAAGGAGACGGTCTGACAATGGCGGGCTCTGGGTTTCTCCTCCGTCAAGGTTTCTGTCTGTCAAAATGGATCGTCTTCGGTATAGGGCCTGTACCGCACTCCGCTCTTTCGTACCACGTCGAGGAATTTCCGTACCGAGGGAAAACTCACAGAACCAGCGAGGGTGCTCTTGTTTCTCTGACGTGGAGTTTGGCTGCAGTTTGGCTAACGTGGAGGCACCGTCAATATGGACGGTTTAGCCTTTGCCTCCACTGCACGACTCGTCCCTCTCCTCCTCACACCGCATGCTCTCCGCATTCTACGGCCCCGTTCCTTAGGCTGCTGTCGTGGTTCTTCGAAATACTCACCGGGATGCCTGACTTATCAGCGACTAGAGAGGGCGAAATAGAGTAGCGGGAACGTTTCTGCAAGATTTGTAAAATAGGATTTAGTATCTTTCGGTCGGGACCCTTTGTACACTTAGTGCATTAGTCCAGAGCATTTTGCAGTGGGTTACCCTGACACCAACCAACTTCTGTACATTTTGACTGACATTCCACGGCTGGGTCCTCTATCGGAGATACGAGTTAATCTGCCGTCGTGTTTTGTCATCTCGCCCTGTATTTTGATTTAGTCCGTCCTCGCTCACACCCGCTCCGACCGCTGCGATAATCTCTCCATTCTCAATAGTTGCCTGATTTTAAATCCATACTTTTCTTGCCGGAGAGAGTTCTCAGAGTTCTCTCCGTCGCTTACTAGCCTGTATATGCCCTCCTTAGCTTCTGCCGCGTAGCTACTTCACCTGTTCTCGCTTTCCTCCTCCTCCTCCTCCTCCTCCTCCTCCTCCTCCTCCTCCTCCTCCTCCTCCTCCTCCTCCTCCTCCTCCTCCTCCTCCTCCTCCTCCTCCTCCTCCTCCTCCTCCTCCTCCTCCTCCGCGCCGCGATGGACGCTTGCGCGGACAGCGGTCCGGCGAAGCGCGCGGAAATATACACGTACGAAGCGCCATGGCCCGTTTACAGCATGAACTGGAGCGTGCGAAAAGACAAGAATTTCCGCCTCGCCGTCGGGAGCTTCATAGAAGATTACCGGAATAAGGTAAGGCGGACGACTAGAGACTTTCACCGGTAGGAGTGTTGCACAATATACCGAATATAAGAAATGAGTTTTGCATTCAGCTTTCAAACAAAATCCTTTTTTTCCCTTGCGCTTCTCTCCCCCCCACCTCCCCCTCTCCCTCCCGCTCCCGCTCCCTCTCCCCCTCCCCCTCCCCCTCCCCTTCCCCCTTCCCCCCTCGTGCAGGTGGAGATAGTTCAGCTAGACGACAACACAGGCGAGCTGAGGAGCGACGCGCGCCTGACGTTCGACCACCCGTACCCGCCCACCAAGCTCATGTTCGTGCCGGACCGCGAGGGCCGCCACCCGGACCTGCTCGCCACGTCCGGCGACTTCCTGCGGATCTGGCAGGTGCGGGGGAGGGGAAGAGCGGGGGAAGGCGGGAGAGGGGGGGTAGCAGGGGAGGTGGGGGGTAGGGGGGGGGGGGGGAGGGGGGAAGAGGAGGCATGCGCAGTGTGCTCAACCATTAGACTGTTTGGGCTAATCTTCTTCTGACTGTCTCTGCCCCACAATCATGCACTGTGTGTGGGCTTATCCCCTTCCCACGCCAGATCACGGACGATGGTGTGCGCATGCGCAGTGTCCTCAACAACAACAAGAACAGCGAGTTCTGTGCCCCGCTCACCTCCTTTGATTGGAACGAGTCCGAACCAAGGAGGCTCGGGACATCCAGGTACGGAAAATGAAACCTGTTGCCGCCACTCTTTTGTTGTTTGGCCTCAGATTTAAACTAATTCCTACGAGCCCCACGCTCCTGTCTCCCCCTCACCTTATCCCCGCTATACTGCCACACAGCATCGACACCACGTGCACCATATGGGACATGGAGAAGGAGGTGGTGGACACACAGCTCATCGCTCACGACAAGGAGGTCTACGATATCGCCTGGGGGGGAGTTGGGCTATTTGCCTCCGTCTCAGGTGAAAATGCAGATAGCTTAGGTGTGCCCCCAGCCCCATTCTCATTCGTACTTGTCTCTGTGCTTCTCTTTCACCCTTGCTCTCAGTCGATTTGATCTGCGGGACAAGGAGCACAGCACCATCATCCACGAGAGCCCCCAGCCACATGCTCATTTGTACCTCTTTCGGGCGGTCTATCTCCCCTTGCTTTCTCCCTCCTCCTGTCCCAACCAGCTGACGGGTCGGTGAGGGTGTTTGACCTGCGGGACAAGGAGCACAGCACCATCATCTACGAGAGCCCCCAGGCCCATGGTCGTTTATGCATCCCTGTACCCTTCGCCGTATCCTTTGCCCCTCCCTTCCTCCCTCTCCTTCTCCAGCTGACGGGTCAGTGCGGGTATTTGACCTTCGCGACAAGGAGCACAGCACCATCATCTACGAGAGCCCCCAGCCGGAGACGCCTCTGCTGCGCCTGGGGTGGAACAAGCAGGACCCGCGCTACATGGCAACCATTCTCATGGACTCACCCAAAGTGGTCATCCTTGATATAAGATTCCCCACCTTGCCAGTGGCAGAGCTACAGGTATGTTGCCGTGACCTACCACCACCTGCTCGTGCTCTTTTTCTCTTACTGTTCGATTAGCTCTTGCTTTCCATAATTACCCCCTATTTTGTCACCATTAGATTACCAGATGCTCTCGCCATACATCCACCATCCTTCTTGACATGCAGACCTGAACTATTTCAGCATCCAGTTTCGCCATTTTTTTCCAGTCCTCCTTTTTCTCATCCTTTCCTCCTCTTCCTTGTCCCTCGCTCCCCGGCCTCCCATCAACAGCGCCACCAGGCGTGTGTGAATGCAATCGCATGGGCACCACACAGTTCATGCCACATCTGCACAGCAGGAGATGACTCGCAAGCTCTGATCTGGGACCTATCCACCATGGCGCAGCCTGTGGAAGGAGGACTGGACCCCATTTTGGCATACACTGCTGGCGCAGAGATCAACCAGCTACAGTGGTCATCTTTACAGTCGGATTGGGTTGCCATAGCCTACGCAACGAAATTGCAGATTTTAAGAGTGTAATGCAGTGTGACGAAACTTGAATGATATGCACTCTGTTCTGTATATTGAAATTGTAGGTTGTAGACAAAGTGAAGACCAGTTCAGTTCCGAAGTGCAGTTTGGTGAGCTGATGGGTCCATGAATTGGCATGCAGGCTGAACAAAGAAAAGGGGATCAGGTGAAACGTTCTGAGAGCCTATACCATACAGACACTTGCATTACAACAAGCCTAAGCTTCATTGATGAAACTACAGCGATGGGTCAGTAAGGGAGCCAGAATATACAGAAGTCCCTGTGTGTGCTCCACATGAGCAGCTTTATGGTCTTAACTACCCTGCACACACAAGAAAGGGAAAAAAATGATTCCACGGGCATTAAGGGATACAGAAAATATGCAGAAATATGGGAGGGAGGGACGTACCGGTATCGTAGTGGCAGCAGATAATATAATCGCTGCTGCCAGGTCTCAGGCATTGATCTTCGCGTTAACAGCAGACTGCTCGCTCAACAAGCTGAGCGGCAGGCTCTTCTAGGGTCTGAGTTCTCTTCTCCTTGGCCAGGCTTGCAAAAAAATCGGACATCACGTGCTCGTAACCGGGCATCTTTGCGAAGCCTGGAAAATAGTTGATATCGACGATGTAAAACCGTCTGCTGCAGTTCCTGTCCCGAATCAGATCGAAGTTGAACAGCCTCAGCCCAAGGTTCTTTCTCAGTCTGGAAGAAATTGAAATCATCAAATCTGCTGGCGGTAGCTCCACGTGTGAAAGGCTCGCATCAGCTACCTCTCCTCCTTTCCTTCCCAAACCGGGGAGATTGGAAACCTGACAGAATGATCTTAATCCATCAGGGTTCGCAAGGTCTTGCGGTTGAGGATCTGCGGAACGCACAACAAACGATAATAAGTACTCTTAAAGAAGACTGGACAAAAAAACGATAAAACGCACTTACTAAAGGGGCAACAAACCTAATGTTACGCACAAGTTCGGGGAAAAAAAAAAAAAAAAAAAAAAAAAAAAAACGACAGACTCAATCATATGTGGCAGTATACCAGGCAATGACTTCCGTCGGAGACACTTCACTTGATTCCCCACGACGTAAACTTTAAAAATCACTCCACCGTGATTGACAAACTTTTGAAGAACAAACGGAGGTAACAGCTTCTTCAATCCTTCCTCGTTGTAGACAAGCCACATCAGATGCGACTTCGGAGTTCCGTCTACTAGCAGCGGCTTCGCGATGACAGGAAAGGACAGGCCGGAGGTCGCAAAACTCTCGGTGACTGACTGCTTCTCATGCACAACAATTTGTTTAGGGATCCCGACGATGCATCCACACTCGTATTGTAGCTTGTCGTCGACAGCCTGAAGCATGGAAATACGATTGTATAACCGCGCAATGGCCTCAGGAGGGTCAATGACAAGCACATCTGGTCTGCTCAGTTGATACTCCTCCAACTCCTCATACCACTGCTGCGACGGAATCTTGTGAAGAATGGCGTCAAAAGGTCCTTGCTCTGCTAGCGGTTTCGACAGATCTATTTTTACCAGCTCAATACCTTTCCTGATAGACTCTCTCTTTAGCTTCTCCTGAAGAAAGCTGTTGATTTTCTTCTGCACCAGAGCGTACCCTATCCGAAACCTAGCAGGCGAGCCAGACCTTTCCTCCATCAACAACTGCACTACACAGGCTCTGCTTGGGTGCATGAAAGGCAAGAGGGAAAAAAGAAGAAATGAAACCCTGGGGAGGTAATCATGCTCAAAGCTGGGTCCTTCCTCTTATACTCCCTGTCTGCTGGTTGGTGTGGGACCAACTGTACTGCTGAAAAGCTTCTGCCGATAGTATCACCAATTGCAGTCCGTGAGTGGACGAGAGTGATGGTCGACAGATTTTAGCGGATACGAAAAGGAGGAATAATTTCAGGAAACGGTATCGGAATAGGCTCTTAGCATAATTTCAGTTTCCTTGTAACGAACGGAATCGAGTTTCGCATGGATGGCAAGTGCTTCCACTTGCTGACGTGGCGCTCCGTGGCACCGCGTACTGACAACTAGTGGGATTTCATCGACGGTCAAGAATTACCAAACATTCCCACGACCCAGCATAAATGTCCACCTGGCAGTACTCCCCCTTGCCTAACAAGCTCGGGCAAGACGCATCCAACTATTGACAGAAATCGGCGGGCTGATATCAACGATGGTCGCTGCCGCACCAACTTCCGTTCCCAAATGTCGAATATTCCAACGAATCACGTCGCCGGGACACACCAACATCCAGGAGGGGCGAATCGTGCGTGTCCCCCCCAACAAGCATAGTAGGGGATACTCGGACCGGAAAATGGGGCTGTTCTGTTCCAGCCAAATTCCACCTCCATCCCCGATTGTAACCTGGGACCTTGGCTGCCGAAACTGCTATCCTATGAGATCATTTTATATGAATCCACAGCAGTCCGTCCTTCCTGTACTTCAATGTGAACTTGATTTCTGATTTAAACAACAAAAAGGTGACATGTTTCGGTACATCCAGTAGTCTGATTAACGATGGCGGTGAGATATGTACATTGGAACATTAGAAACAAAAATGGTGTGGTGCTCTTCCATGTTCGAGTGGAGCAGCGGCTTGGGAATCACAGCGCAGGTAGCGAGAGGCCTGTGAGCTGCTGCAGCTGATATGCCTTGGTCTGCTCCTTCAACTGCGCAAGGGCGACAACGAGGGAGAAAGGCAAAAGGAGCAAAGACACAAGCTCATGCGGCGGATTGAACCATAACCAGTACAGATAAGCACTGATTGCAATTGGCCGCTGTGAAGCTCTCACAAGGCAACAGTGCATGACAAATGCTCTACCAAGCATCCCCAGCGGCAGCGCTCACTTTTGGAGTCGACTAAAAAAACATTCGCAAAGCAACAGCGCATGAGAAATGCTCTACCAAGCATCCCCAGTGACAGCGCTCACAGTGGCCACTGTGCGAGGTAGTCACTGCTGGCACATGCAGCAGAATGACTTTTGAGTCAACTCAAAAGTCAAATCAGCGATCTATAAGGCGGCCCACCCCAGCTGATAGCCACTCACAGAGGCATCAGCAGCAAGGCGGTCACTCTTGGCACATGCAACAAGTTGACTCTTCAGTCAACTCAAAGGACAAACCAATGCTCGAGCATGATAGCCACTCACAGTGGCTCTAGCGAGGCGGTCACTCTTGCCACATGCAGCACGATGCCTTTTAAGTCGACTCACAGAGGCACCCCCGCTCTACCAACACCCCACCCAGCTGGTAGCCACTCACAGAGGCATCAGCAGTAAGGCGGTCACTCTTGGCACATGCAGCAAGATGACTCTTCAGTCAACTCAAAGGTCAAACCAATGCTCGAGCATGATAGCCACTCACACAGGCGAGTCACTGTAGCCACATGCAGCACGATGCGTTTTAAGTCGACTCACAGAGGCATCCCCGCTCTACCAACACCCCATCCCACTGCAGAGCCACTCACAGCGGCATCAGCCAGGCGGCCACTGTTGCCACATGTAGCAACGAGTGCCGCCTCGGTAGCGGTGAGACGGCCGGCGATGGATGAGACTCAAACCAACACTCTATCAACACCCCATCCCAGCTGATAGTCACTCACAGCGGCGTCAGCCAGGCGGTCGCTGTGGCCACATGCAGCATCGGGTTCCTCCTTGGTGGAGGTGAGACGGCCGGCTATGGAGGGAGAGAAGACATCTCAAAACCCAAATCAGCGCTTAACTGTGACAGTCACTCACAGCGGCGTCAGCGAGGCGGTCGCTGTTGCCACATGCAGCATCGAGCTCCTCCTTGGTGGAGGTGAGACGGTCGGCTATGGATGAGACGAGGCTCGCCACCCCGGGCACCTGATGGCGTGGCCGGGAGGAGGAGGGGCAGCGCAAAAGCACAGGGTTGGGCATACAGCAGGTGGGGCAGGGCCGCTTTGGTAGCTGTGAGGCGGGGCTCGTAACAAGAGTGCCTCGTGTCTCGTGTGCCTCTTGTGCCCCATGTGCCCCATGTGCCCCATGTGCCCCATGTGCCCCATGTGCCCCATGTGCCCTATGTGCCCCGTGTGCCCCATGTGCCCCATGTGCCCCATGTGCCCCATGTGCCCCATGTGCCCCATGTGCCCCATGTGCCCCACGAGGTTGGTGTGGCCTATGGACATGGGATGCACAGCACAGGTACCTACCTGGGAGAGGTCGTCGGCAAATGGCTGCATGGCCGCGAGCAGGTCATGCAGGCCGTCTAGCTGCTCCTTGAGCCGCGCTGCATTCACCTGCGACGTGGGGTACAGGGCATGGGGTACGTGTCATGGGGCATGACACATGGAACATGGGATATGGGGTTTGCGAGTACAGTGCAGTGCATGGCCGTGAGCAGGTCATGCAGGCCGTCTAGCTGCTCCTTGAGCCGCGCTGCATTCACCTGTGATGTGGGGTACAGGGCATGGGGTACGTGTCATGGGGCATGACACATGGAACATGGGATATGGGGTTTGCGAGTACAGTGCAGTGCATGGCCGCGAGCAGGTCATGCAGGCCGTCTAGCTGCTCCTTGAGCCGCGCTGCATTCACCTGCGATGTGGGGTACAGGGCATGGGGTACGTGTCATGGGGCATGACACATGGAACATGGGATATGGGGTTTGCGAGTACAGTGCAGTGCATGGCCGTGAGCAGGTCATGCAGGCCGTCTAGCTGCTCCTTGAGCCGCGCTGCATTCACCTGCGAGGTGGGATGTGTGATGTGTGATGTGTGATGTGCCACATGGGGTACAGGGCATGGCGCATAGGGAACATGGGTACGGGATCTGCGAGGACAGTGCATGGCAGGACGAGCAGAGCGTCTGGCTGCTCCTGGAGCTGCGCTGTTGCTGCTCCTGCTGCAACCGCAGCAACCAGGATGCTTCCCCACAGGAATTCACTACTTACTGTGCTGGCGGGGTGGATGGGCAGCTTCACCAGCGAGTCAGACTGCGCCTGGATGATGCTCCTTAGCGCCAGCTGGTGGCAGCTGCTCTGCTGCAGCAGTTTAGAGCCTTAGTCACTCGTCATTGGCTATGACTCACCGTGCTGGAGGGGTGGATGGGCAGCTTCAACAACGAATCTGACAGTGCCTGGATGATGCCCCTTAGAGCCAGCTGCTGGGAGCCGCGCTGCTGCTTCTCCTGCTGCAGCAGCAGCAAAAAACCCTGGTCGCTCACCAGTTCAGTGGCACTGACTCACCGTGCTGGACGGGTGAATGGGCAGCTTAACCAGAGAATCCGACAGCGCATTAACGATGCTCCTTAACGCCAGCTGGTGGGAGCCGCGCTGGTCCTTCTCCTGCTGCAGCAGCGGCCCCACGCCCTCCTCACTCAGTAGCTCCCGCGCCCGCTGGTGGATCTGCCTCCGCTGCTGCTGCCCCTGCTGCTCGCACCGCTCCTGCTGCAGGCGCATGCAGTAGATCGCTGCTGCTGCCAGGGCCGCCTGGGGGGTGCGAGGAGAGGGGAGGGGGGAGGGGGGAGGAGAAGGGGGGAAAATGAACTCATCTTACGTTCTCCCTACCCCTCAGGATCAAGCACCTCTTACTCTACCCGTCAATTACTCATCTTCCCCCCCTACCTCCCCTGCACTCACCATGCTTTCCCTGTTTCTCTCCGCTGTCTTATTCTGTGGGCTTTTCTGTTATGAACCGGCACAAAACACTCCCTAACCCCCAATCATCATGCTCTGCGTCTGCATTTCCTCCCTCTCCTCCCGACACTCACCATGTTCTTCCTGTTCATCTTCTCTGCCGCCTCCTCCTGCAGCATCAGCATCGCCTGCACCTGCATCCTGCACTCACCATGCTTTGCCTGTTCCCTCCATCCTTCACCTCTCCCTTCCCACACTCACCATGTTCTCTCGATTCCTCTCCTCTGCTGCCTCTTCTTGCAGCACCAGCATCGCCTGCTCCTGCAACTCCCTGTTCCTCACAATACTCTCTTCCCGCACTTACCCAATTCATTCCCACCATCCCTCACACTCACCATGTTCTCTCGGTTCCTCTCCTCTGCCGCCTCCTCCTGCAGCACCAGCATCGCCTGCACCTGCAGCTCCCTGTTCCTCACAATCGCTGCTTGAGTCGACCACGGGAGGCCCGACAACTCCTCCATCACTGCTGCCACTGCCGGTACCATCTCCTCCTCCTCGCCCCTCTCGCCTCTCTCGCCCCTCTCGCTCATCTCACTTCTTTCCGAACCTACAGAGCCCGAGGCTACCAGGTCCAGATCCCCATGGCTGTGCACCGAGCCTGCGTGGCTGTGCACCGAGCCTGCGTGGCTGTGCACCGAGCCTACGTCGTTGTGCACCGAACCTGTGTTGCTGAGTGCCAACCCTGCATTGCTGTGTGCCGAGCCTGTGTGGCTGCATGCCGAGCCTTCTGTCCTGCTAAGCTCGAATCCAGCTGTCTCTGGTGCTAATGCAGGCTGGCTCAACTCATTCTCTCTATGCGCGCTCCTGCTGCTGTTGCCACGGCTGCTGCTGTTGCCCTGCCTGCTGCTGCTGTCACTCCTGATGCTCCTGCCACTGCCAGCGCTGTTGCTCCATTCCAACTGCGCACCATGCAAACTCGCAACATCCCCACGGCAACGAGCATCTCGCATATCGGGAGCAGCACTGGCAACACTGACAGAAAAACTACCACCAGCTCCAGCTGCTCCCGCTGCTTCCAACAACGCAGCAAGACAACTGCCGTCACTACTCACAGAGCTTCTCGCCCTTTCCGCCTCCTCCCTTTCCGCCTCCTCCCCTTCCGCCTGCTCCCCCTCCGCCTGCTCCTCTGCTGCATGCTCTCCTTCCGCCAGCCCTTCCGCCTGCTGACCTTCCGCCAGCCCTTCCGCCTGCTGACCTTCCGCTTGCACCCCTTCCGCCTGTTTGTGTTCGCCAGCGGCATGAGCCAGGTGTAGCCCCAGCACTCCACCAGCTACAGCAACGGCTTCCAGCCCCCGCCCGTCAACGCTTGTCCCTCCTTCCTGCTCCCCCATATCACCGCTAGTACCCCCTTCCTCCTCCCTTCTGTCACCGCTGGTAGTAGCCCCTTCCGCCCCTTGCGCGTCCCCTTCCCTCTCTCCAACCAACGCATCCTCGCCACCTGCTGTTCCTGCCACATCAGCATCCAGCGCTGCTGACACGGCGGCCGTCCCTGCTGCCAGCTCACCGTCTTCCAAGGCCTCACCTGACGGCTCAAGCGACAAGTTCCGGTTTTCAGGGTTAACTCCCCTACCACCTCCCGTACCACATACTCTATCTCCTCCTTCATCACCTCGCCCTGCCTCCCCGACTGCTGCACTCCTTCCGTCTCCTCGTCCCCCCACAGCCATCGCCAATCTCCCCTCTCTCCCGCCGGCACCCGTACCTCCTCTCCCTCCTCCAGCCATGGGAGTCTGGAACAGACGTCCCTTAATCCCTCTCCCCATGGGAGTTTGAAACTGATGCCCCGCTGCCTGCGAAATGCCTCTCGCCGCACTGGACGGCGCGCGGAAACCTGCCCCGCCTGCTCCGCCCGTTCCGCCCGCTCCTCTTCCGCCAGCGCTGGTCGCGCTCACGAGCCCCGTGGTAGATCCCCCCCCTCTGCTGGCTCCCGCGCGGGATCCCGCGGAGGTATGCGCGGGGGTGAGACTTGCGCGGGGTGTTGCGGAGGGTCGGCCTGTAACGCTGCTGGCGCTGCCTCTGACGGCGCTTTTCGCGGAGGTGGATGGCGCGTGCATTGAGGAGAGGCGCGTACTGGGAGTGGGGATCATGGAACCTTCGCGACGGGAGGCTGAGGACGGTGTGGGGGTTTGCTTGAAACGAGATTGGACTGTCACGAGAACGGAAAACGGGGGAGAGAATGAAGAGAAGCGAAAAGTAACAAGAGAGAATTAAGAGAAGCAAAAAGTAACAATTGCGCGTCATACTGAGATTTTAGTGTAAAAGCTGACTAATATTCAAACATGCCTGAGACGGTCCACGAAATGCTGATTAAAAGTGTTTCTTAGTCATCTCAAGAATCCATCCAGGTTAAAAAAGTACGATAATCTGTCACATGATAAACGTAATATTCCGAGACGTCTCAAAACGATCAAGGTGAATGGAGTGCGAGAATGTGTCACGACGCTCTTGCCTTTCAGTATGACGAAGAAAAAACGGCTCGTCTTATCGCTATGTTGCCTACGTGAATACGGTTCACATTTTACCTTGAATTCCTGCCTTCTTAGGAGCAGGATGCTTGAACTCAGAACTCGCATTGGCCGGCTGACTGGGAGGCGGATCCATGGCTGGAAGAGAAAAGCGGAAAGAGAAACTGAGAAGAGGAAACCGTCGAAGGTAGAAGTTTACAGTAAAGCTCGCCCGGATTCTACGTCGTAAAGGCTGAGAAATGGTCTATGCAGCTCCAGCCAGGCAACGACGGAAATTTATGTGTTGAAACCCGAGGTCAGCCAGGCATGTTCTCGAGGTCAGACTTTCCCGCCAAAACTCGAACTTGAAATTTCGCGATGGCGAGTGGGCGAGGTTTCAAAGGTGACATTCCGGAGGCCATATACGCGTTTGCATTTCGCCGCGTTACACAAGGCATTTCCAAGCAGTGCAGTCGTTATGAAGTGTTTTAGTAGTGTGCCAAATGAAGTAACACCATTCCTACAAAGATTTATGGTGCAATCACCCATTTTTTAAAGACATCCATGTTATTTCAGGCAAAAAACTCTATACGCTGCTCATGCCATGATATATGGCATGAGATGCCCAAACTAGAAATGCACTCGCAAGTGCTATTGCCACAATTTCACACATTTATCATGGCTCGCCGACGCAACGAGCCCACGCGCCTGGGAATGTGCAAGAGCAGCAATAAGCCCATCGTGGGCCCCTTGCACGATCATGCTCTTGTTCTCCACCATGTTCCAAAGCTCCAACGACTGGAAGGGGGTAGGACGAGTGGGGAAGGGGGGTTGAACGAGAAGGGTGGACAGGGTTGTTAGGGAAATTGGTGAGTCAACTGGGCCTCCCTTGCAGGATCATGCTCTTGTTCCCCACCATGTTCCAAAGCTCCAACAACTGGAGCGGGGAAGAGGGAGGGGTTGAAGTGAAGGGTATGCGAGGGAAAGGTTGGGTGGGTTGTTAAAGGCTGACAAGGCATTGGGTGGCCCTCCCCCCTTGCACGATCAGGCTCTTGTTCCCCACCATGTTCCAAAGCTCCAATGACTGGAGTGGGGAAGAGGGAGGTGTTGAAGTGGAGGGTTTGGGAGGGAAAGGGTGGGTGGGTGGGTTGTCAAAGGCTGGCTATGCATTGGGTGGCCCTCCCCCTTGCACGATCATGATCTCCATGTTCCATAAATCCAATGACTGGCAAGAGGAGGGAAGGTGGGGGGAACGTGCAGGAGTGCGCATTGAAAAAGGACCCATGTGTAAGCAGCCACACACATACCCCACATGCCCCGTTCTCTCCCCACAACACACAGATACCCCCCGACCTGACCTGGTAGCAGCCGATGACGAGCAGCGAGGGGTACTTGGGGTGGAAGGTGCAGGAGTGAAACTTGTTGCCGCTGCTGACCAGCTCGTGCACACACTCGCCCCCGTTGCCCGGCCCCAGCGCATACACTCCAGCCCAGCACATACCCTCAAATTGCACACACCCAGACGTGTGCGCGCGCAGCGCGCGCACACACACGAACACTCCCCCTCCCGCCCACCCACGGACCTGGTAGCAGCCTATCACAAGGAGCGAGGGGTACTTGGGGTGGAAGGTGCAGGAGTGGAACTTGTTGCCGCTGCTAACCAGCTCGTGCACACACTCGCCCCCGTTGCCCGGCCCCAGCGCATACACTCGCACTGCATCCTCTGAGACAGACGCGATGAACTCGCCTGTGGCGTCCCAGCAGACTGAGTGGACTGGCTTGCTGTGCCGTTGCTGGTGGTGGGGACGACAGATGCCAAGTGGAGCGGAAGAGGGGAGAGAGAATCACAATGTGAGGTGGTCCCCGTTGCCCGGCCCCAGAGCATACACGCGCACCGCACCCTCTGAGACAGATGCGATGAGCTCGCCTGTGGCGTCCCAGCAGACCGAACGCACCGGCTCGCTGTGCCGTTGCTGGTGGTGGAGGGTGGCGTGGGAGACAGGAAAGGGGATAGGGGAAAGAGAAAGGAAGTGTGAGGTGGTCCCCGTTGCCCGGCCCCAGAGCATACACGCGCACCGCACCCTCTGAGACCGATGCGATGAGCTCGCCTGTTGCATCCCAGCAGACCGAACGCACCGGCTCGCTGTGCCGTTGCTGGTGGTGGAGGGTGGCGTGGGAGACAGGAAAGGGGATAGGGGAAAGAGAAAGGAAGTGTGAGGTGGTCCCCGTTGCCCGGCCCCAGAGCATACACGCGCACCGCACCCTCTGAGACCGATGCGATGAGCTCGCCTGTTGCATCCCAGCAGACCGAACGCACCGGCTCGCTGTGCCGTTGCTGGTGGTGGAGGGTGGCGTGGGAGACAGAAAAAGGGGATAGGGGAAAGAGAAAGGAAGTGTGAGGTGGTCCCCGTTGCCCGGCCCCAGCGTGTACACGCGCACCGCACCCTCTGAGACCGATGCGATGAGCTCGCCTGTTGCATCCCAGCAGACCGAACGCACCGGCTCGCTGTGCCGTTGCTGGTGGTGGAGGGTGGCGTGGGAGACAGGAAAGGGGATAGGGGAAAGAGAAAGGAAGTGTGAGGTGGTCCCCGTTGCCCGGCCCCAGAGCATACACGCGCACCGCACCCTCTGAGACCGATGCGATGAGCTCGCCTGTTGCATCCCAGCAGACCGAACGCACCGGCTCGCTGTGCCGTTGCTGGTGGTGGAGGGTGGCGTGGGAGACAGGAAAGGGGATAGGGGAAAGAGAAAGGAAGTGTGAGGTGGTCCCCGTTGCCCGGCCCCAGAGCATACACGCGCACCGCACCCTCTGAGACCGATGCGATGAGCTCGCCTGTTGCATCCCAGCAGACCGAACGCACCGGCTCGCTGTGCCGTTGCTGGTGGTGGAGGGTGGCGTGGGAGACAGGAAAGGGGATAGGGGAAAGAGAAAGGAAGTGTGAGGTGGTCCCCGTTGCCCGGCCCCAGAGCATACACGCGCACCGCACCCTCTGAGACCGATGCGATGAGCTCGCCTGTTGCATCCCAGCAGACCGAACGCACCGGCTCGCTGTGCCGTTGCTGGTGGTGGAGGGTGGCGTGGGAGACAGGAAAGGGGATAGGGGAAAGAGAAAGGAAGTGTGAGGTGGTCCCCGTTGCCCGGCCCCAGAGCATACACGCGCACCGCACCCTCTGAGACCGATGCGATGAGCTCGCCTGTTGCATCCCAGCAGACCGAACGCACCGGCTCGCTGTGCCGTTGCTGGTGGTGGAGGGTGGCGTGGGAGACAGGAAAGGGGATAGGGGAAAGAGAAAGGAAGTGTGAGGTGGTCCCCGTTGCCCGGCCCCAGAGCATACACGCGCACCGCACCCTCTGAGACCGATGCGATGAGCTCGCCTGTTGCATCCCAGCAGACCGAACGCACCGGCTCGCTGTGCCGTTGCTGGTGGTGGAGGGTGGCGTGGGAGACAGGAAAGGGGATAGGGGAAAGAGAAAGGAAGTGTGAGGTGGTCCCCGTTGCCCGGCCCCAGAGCATACACGCGCACCGCACCCTCTGAGACCGATGCGATGAGCTCGCCTGTTGCATCCCAGCAGACCGAACGCACCGGCTCGCTGTGCCGTTGCTGGTGGTGGAGGGTGGCGTGGGAGACAGAAAAAGGGGATAGGGGAAAGAGAAAGGAAGTGTGAGGTGGTCCCCGTTGCCCGGCCCCAGCGTGTACACGCGCACCGCACCCTCTGAGACCGATGCGATGAGCTCGCCTGTTGCATCCCAGCAGACCGAACGCACCGGCTCGCTGTGCCGTTGCTGGTGGTGGAGGGTGGCGTGGGAGACAGAAAAAGGGGATAGGGGAAAGAGAAAGGAAGTGTGAGGTGGTCCCCGTTGCCCGGCCCCAGCGTGTACACGCGCACCGCACCCTCTGAGACCGATGCGATGAGCTCGCCTGTTGCATCCCAGCAGACCGAACGCACCGGCTCGCTGTGCCGTTGCTGGTGGTGGAGGGTGGCGTGGGAGACAGAAAAAGGGGATAGGGGAAAGAGAAAGGAAGTGTGAGGTGGTCCCCGTTGCCCGGCCCCAGCGTGTACACGCGCACCGCACCCTCTGAGACCGATGCGATGAGCTCGCCTGTTGCATCCCAGCAGACCGAACGCACCGGCTCGCTGTGCCGTTGCTGGTGGTGGAGGGTGGCGTGGGAGACAGAAAAAGGGGATAGGGGAAAGAGAAAGGAAGTGTGAGGTGGTCCCCGTTGCCCGGCCCCAGCGTGTACACGCGCACCGCACCCTCTGAGACCGATGCGATGAGCTCGCCTGTTGCATCCCAGCAGACCGAACGCACCGGCTCGCTGTGCCGTTGCTGGTGGTGGAGGGTGGCGTGGGAGACAGAAAAAGGGGATAGGGGAAAGAGAAAGGAAGTGTGAGGTGGTCCCCGTTGCCCGGCCCCAGCGTGTACACGCGCACCGCACCCTCTGAGACCGATGCGATGAGCTCGCCTGTTGCATCCCAGCAGACCGAACGCACCGGCTCGCTGTGCCGTTGCTGGTGGTGGAGGGTGGCGTGGGAGACAGAAAAAGGGGATAGGGGAAAGAGAAAGGAAGTGTGAGGTGGTCCCCGTTGCCCGGCCCCAGCGTGTACACGCGCACCGCACCCTCTGAGACCGATGCGATGAGCTCGCCTGTTGCATCCCAGCAGACCGAACGCACCGGCTCGCTGTGCCGTTGCTGGTGGTGGAGGGTGGCGTGGGAGACAGAAAAAGGGGATAGGGGAAAGAGAAAGGAAGTGTGAGGTGGTCCCCGTTGCCCGGCCCCAGCGTGTACACGCGCACCGCACCCTCTGAGACCGATGCGATGAGCTCGCCTGTTGCATCCCAGCAGACCGAACGCACCGGCTCGCTGTGCCGTTGCTGGTGGTGGAGGGTGGCGTGGGAGACAGAAAAAGGGGATAGGGGAAAGAGAAAGGAAGTGTGAGGTGGTCCCCGTTGCCCGGCCCCAGCGTGTACACGCGCACCGCACCCTCTGAGACCGATGCGATGAGCTCGCCTGTTGCATCCCAGCAGACCGAACGCACCGGCTCGCTGTGCCGTTGCTGGTGGTGGAGGGTGGCGTGGGAGACAGAAAAAGGGGATAGGGGAAAGAGAAAGGAAGTGTGAGGTGGTCCCCGTTGCCCGGCCCCAGCGTGTACACGCGCACCGCACCCTCTGAGACCGATGCGATGAGCTCGCCTGTTGCATCCCAGCAGACCGAACGCACCGGCTCGCTGTGCCGTTGCTGGTGGTGGAGGGTGGCGTGGGAGACAGAAAAAGGGGATAGGGGAAAGAGAAAGGAAGTGTGAGGTGGTCCCCGTTGCCCGGCCCCAGCGTGTACACGCGCACCGCACCCTCTGAGACCGATGCGATGAGCTCGCCTGTTGCATCCCAGCAGACCGAACGCACCGGCTCGCTGTGCCGTTGCTGGTGGTGGAGGGTGGCGTGGGAGACAGAAAAAGGGGATAGGGGAAAGAGAAAGGAAGTGTGAGGTGGTCCCCGTTGCCCGGCCCCAGCGTGTACACGCGCACCGCACCCTCGGAGACCGGTGCGATGAGCTCGCCTGTGGCGTCCCAGCAGACCGAACGCACCGGCTCGCTGTGCCGTTGCTGGTGGTGGGAGGGAGACAGAGGGCGAATGGAGGGGAAGAGGAGAGAGAAAAGGGGAGTGTGAGGAGACCAGCTCGTGCACACACTCGCCCCCGTTGCCCGGCCCCAGCGCGTACACTCGCACCGCATCCTCTAAGACAGACGCTATGAACTCGCCCGTCGCGTCCCAGCAGACTGAGTGGACGGGCTTGCTGTGCCGTTGCTGGTGGTGCAAGGGGAGCGAAAACGGGGAGAAGAGGTGGAAGGAGGGGTGGAAGGGCGGTTGGAGAGGAAGAGAAATGGAGGGCAAGAATCTCCACCTGAAAAGAAGGACAAGAGAAACCCTTGTGTGGCATGTCGTATCCTCCCCTTATACATGGAATCAGAGCATATAGACTCTGCTGAACAGTTCTTCGTGTACAAAAAAAACGTATCTCTAAAAGGGTGTGCTTCTCACCTCAAGTGTGCGCAGACACGCCTCTGTCTCGACGTCAAAGATAGAAACCACCGACTCCGCCGCTGCTGCCAGCAGCCGGCCCATGCGCGGCTGAAAGCGCACCTGCGTGGTGGCACCCTGATGGGGAGAAGTGGGAACGGGGAGGAGGTGATTGCGGGGGAGTGTATGGGGGGAGGGGAAGAGGAAGGGAAGGCATTCGAACACACAGTAAGATGCTGCTGCCAGCAGCCGGCCCATGCGCGGCTGGAAGCGCACCTGCGTGGTGGCGCCCTGATGGGAGGAAAGAAATGGAAGGGTGAATGGAAGGGACGGGGAGAGAGAGGGGGAAGAAGGGACGGAACGGAAGGTGGGTTGGTGATGGAAAAGACACAAGAAGCGGCATAGAGGGAGCAAGAGACGCAGTTGTGGCTCCAATAGCGAATCCCTAGAGTCGAGACACGAGCAATTAATCCAATCAAAACTGCACCTCACCCTGAACACTCTAATCCAGAACTGCTTCACAAAGGGCCTCACCTTGAACACCCGAGTGCACATCTCCTGATTGACACTCCAGTAGCGGATCTCCCCGTCGGCATCGCAGGAGCAGAGCAGGTCCTCGTCTTCGGGGTGGAAGTCAAGGGACACCACGGACGTCATGTGCCCCGCTAGCGTGCGCAGGGGGAAGGCCGGCTGCAGCAACGGCGGTGTAAGGGGGGGGGGGAGTGGGCGGAGGGAAGGAGAGGAAGAGGCATGAATTGGGCTTTAGAATGAGCAACACAAGCGATGAACTTAACTACATCCCCTGCCTAGGCGCCCATGCCTCTGCGCCCATGCCTCTACGCCCATGCCTCTGCGCCCACTCCCTGCCTATCAGCACCGACCAGGGAGTGCCTGGTACCTATTGAGGCGACTCACATTGTCAATGTCCCACACGCGCACGGTCTTTTGAGTCGACTCAAAAGTCACCTCTGCGCCCATGCCTCTGCGCCCATGCCTCTACGCCCATGCCTCTGCGCCCACTCCCTGCCTATCAGCACCGACCAGGGAGTGCCTGGTACCTATTGAGGCGACTCACATTGTCAATGTCCCACACGCGCACGGTCTTGTCAAACGATGACGTGGCGACACGTGGCAGGGTGGGGCTGAAGCGCACGTCGGTGATGAGCAGCGAGTGGCCCTCCAGCGTGGCGCGCATGGAAAGAGAATCCATCTCCCACAGCACAGCCTGTTGAAGGGAAGGGAGGACGAGGGAAGGAGGGGAGGGAGAAAGAGGGTGCAGTGTAAAGGGGCGGTGAGTGGCCCTCCAGCGTGGCGCGCATGGAGAGGGAATCCATCTCCCACAGCACAGCCTGGTGTTGAGGGGGTGTGGGGGGGAGGAGGGGGTGGGGTGCGGATAGGGGAATTAAGGGTGTTGACATGGAGTTCAGTCTAGCCGGTGATGAGCAGCGAGTGGCCCTCCAGGGTAGCGCGCATGGAGAGAGAATCCATCTCCCACAGCACAGCCTGTTGGAGGGAAAAGGGGTAGAGGGAGGAGGGGGTGCAAACGGGGACTTCGTCTTGAGATGGAATGGCACTTGTCTGTGACAAGTAGGGAGTGGCCCTCCAGGGTGGCACGCATAGGTGAGAATGGGAGGTGTGGGGTAGGGAAGGGTGGTGGTGGTGGTGGTGGTGTGAGGGTGTGTGTGTGGCTATGGTTGGCATTGCCGCATTGATCGTCCTCATGTGCACTGTGCACTCACCGTCTTGTCATGGCCAGCACTGGCGAGCAGCTTGCCGTCCTGGGAGAAGTGGCAGCACACCACTCACTGTATCAACACCACAGCCAGCACTAATCATCTCATGTGCACTGTGTACTTACCGTCTTGTCATGGCCAGCACTGGCAAGCAGCTTGCCGTCCTGAGAGAAGTGGCAGCACACCACAAACTGTATCACCACTGTCGGCCTTGATTATCCTAACACTCACCGTCTTGTCGTGCCCAGCGCTGGCAAGCAGCTTGCCGTCCTGGGAGAAGTGGCAGCACACGACACCCACACTGTACCATCACGGCAGCATTGATAGACATAACCTGGTGCACTCACCGTCTTATCGTGGCCAGCGCTCGCAAGCAGTTTGCCATCCTGGGAGAAGTGGCAGCACACGACCTTGGTGGAGCTGGCCCTTAGACAGCCGTACTCCGTGAAGGAAAAACCTGCATGGGAGAGAACCAGGGGAGTGGAGAGTGGTGTGGAGGGGGATAGGGGGGTGGGGAAGTTGGATTGAGCAAGTGGCAGCACAGCACCTTGGTGGAGCTGGCTCGCAGGCACCCGTACTCTGTGAAGGAGAAACCTGGAGAGACGAGTGGAGGGAGGAGTAGAGGGAGGGAGAGGGGTTACAGAGTGCAGAGTAGATCAAGCAACACGTAGCAAACCACCTTGGTGGAGCTGGCTCGCAGGCACCCATACTCCGTGAAGGAGAAACCTGGAGAGACGAGTGGAGGGAGGAGCGGAATGAGGAGCTGGGGGAGGAGAGGGGGGAGGAGTGGAGGGATGACCAAGCGGCAGCAGATGACTGTGCAAAGTGATTGCAGTGGAAGAAAAGAGTAGGGGGGGGACAACGGGGTTTCAGGAAGCAGAATTGACCAAAGGGCATCATAGCTTTCCTCAGTTTTTCCCTCCCACTACCAGCCATGCCACACCAGTCTCTCTACCCTCCTCGCCCCACTCCCCTCCTCCCCCTCCCCCCCGTCTCACCTTTCCCGTCCATGCTGCCCATGCTGCTACCCTCCCCCTTCCCTCCCCCGTCTCACCTTTCCCGTCCATGCTGCCCATGCTGCTGCGCTTGCCGGTGCAGAAGAGCGGCTCGCGCCCATCGCCATCATCCGTCGACAGGAACGAGTCCACATTGTCGTCCAGCGACCCATCGTCCCCCACCCCAAACCGCTCCAGCTCAACCAACTGGTTGCCCGGGGACGGCTCGCCTGAGAGAGTCCCTTCCATGCCAAAACTGGTCGGGAGCGGGGCGACGAGCGGGGGAGGTAGCATCTGGGGGAGGGAGGATCCTAGCTGGGGACTCTGCTGCTGCTGCTGCTGCTGCTGCTGCTGCTGGTGTTGGTGCTGGTTCTGGTGCTGCTGCTGGTGCTGCTCCTCCTGCTGCTTCTGTTGCTCGGTGGCTTGCTGTTGCTGTTGTTGCTGCTGCTGCTGCTGCTGCTGCTCTGCCTGTGTCTGCGGATAAGGCTCAGGCTTCACAGCACCTCCAGCAGCCCCCCCATCGGCACCAGCAGCACCAGCACCAGCACCGCCACCAGCAGCAGCATCACCAGCAGTCCCAGCAGCCCCATCACCAGCAGTACCACCACCACCAGGAGCGGTACCAGTACCAGCACCTCCACCAGCAGCAGTGGCAGCAGCGGTGGCAGCGGCAGTGGCAGCGGCAGCAGCAGTGGCAGGGGTGCCGTTGCTGGTGGCAGGGCCTGATGATCCAGGCTGCTTCCTCTTTCGCCCCAGCCTTCCCCCTTGCCCTCTCTGCTTGGCACACGGGTTGCAACAAGGAGCAAGCGTTTGGGAAGAAGAGAGGGGCAGATTGACAAAAGAACAGCAGTGCCAGCAACAGAGCAGAGGAGACACTCATTCAAGGGAGAAAAAAAAAAAAAAAAAAAAAAACGAGTGGGTGAGGAGGGGAGGAGGGCGGAAAGGGGGTGTGTGGTGGAGACTTGGCAAACACCCTTAACTGCCTGCACATCCGTCCAGAGCCTCGCTGCTAAAGTGCCTACCTTGGTGACAGTGCCTGTGCTGGTGATGCTGGGTGCGGGTTCCATGCCACTCAGAGAGCTCTGCTCCCCTGCCGCTCCCCCACCACCCCCACCACCCCCTCCGCCCCCTCCACTTCCACCATTCCCACCCCCAGCTCCCCCCCACCCACCACCACCACCACCACCACCACCACCACCACCACCACCACCAGCAGCAGCAGCAGCAGAACTAGGCACACCCATCTGCTGCTGCTGCTGCTGCTGCTGCTGCTCTTGCCCCCCCTGCATCCCCCCCTGTGCGCCTCCCTGCGCCCCCTGCCCCTGCCCCTGTCCCTGTCCCTGCCCCTGCTGCTGCTGTTGCTGCTGCTGCTGTCCTGCTGCTCGCCCTGGTCCGCCTATGCTGCCCTGCCGTCCCATCCCCCCCTGATGCCCCTCCTGCTGCATGTGCTGCCCAGGCGCCCCCATCACCTGCTGCTGCTGCTGTTGTTGCTGCTGCTGCTGTTGCTGCTGTTGCTGCTGCTGCTGTTGCTGCTGTTGCTGCTGCAGTAACAGCTGCTGGTGTTGCTGCAGCAGCAGCAGCTGCTCCTGCTTTACCTGCGCGCCCATCAGCCCCCCCATGGCCCCCTGTGCGCCCATGGCCCGCGCTCGCTGGGCTTGCAGCTGAGGAGAGCAATGTCACAGGAATCAGAGACACATACAAGTGAAAGGGGGCACAAGAAAGGACAAAAACAATCGCTTTACACCCATCTGCTCCCCATGGCGCCCTGTGCAACCATGGCCCGCGCTCGCTGGGCTTGCAGGTGAGAGAGAATGCAGCGACACCGCAACCGCAAGCAACAGAGCAATAGGATATTGCACAAGTGAAAAGGGGAGTACGTCAATCGGCACAGATAAGGAACAGAGGAAATCGTTCTTCAAAGAATCATCTCCTGCTGCTCCTGGGAGGAACTCTCGAGACTTCTCAAACCTCTCTGCACCCATCCACCCACCCATTCCTACTACCGCCCTGCTCACCTTGAGAATCATCTCCTGCTGCTCCTGAGGCGACGCCCCTCGACTGAGAGCAGCAGCGGCCGCCACAGCAGCAGCAGCACCCGACAGCAGCATACCAGCCGGAGACCCCACACTGGGCGACCCACCCCCCTCCTCCCCTCCTCCCTTCCCTCCCATCCACCCCTCCCTCGCTGCTCACCTTGAGAATCATCTCCTGCTGCTCCTGAGGCGACGCCCCTCGACTGAGAGCAGCAGCGGCCGCCACAGCAGCAGCGGCACCAGACGGCAGCATACCCGCAGGCGACCCCACACTGGGCGACCCACCCCCCTCCTCCCCTCCTCCCTTCCCCCCCGCCCCCCCTGCTGCCACTGCTGCTGCCATCGCAGCTGCAGCAGCAGGGTTACCAGCCACCCCCTTACTTAGTAGCTGCCTCAGCTGCCTATTTTCCATCTCTGTTGCCATACCCGCCCCGAATCCCACTAAAGACGTCCCTCCTGCCGCCCGCCCCGGCAGATTGCCGCCCAAACCCGCCCCACCGCTCGCCGCCCCAGCTCCCACTCCCCCTCCGCCTTGCATCCCCCCTGCTCCGCCTGCCCCTGCTGCTCCCCCTGCTGCGCCCCCTGCGCCTCCCCCTGCGGCTGATAAGCTTGCTAGCGCGCCTGAGTTGGTGATGAGGCCCTGCGCCTGGGCCTGCTGCAGCAGGTGCTGCTGCTGTATGGGCGAGAGCATCTGGTACTGGGGCGAGTTGAAGAGACGTGCGATCTGAGAGACGGTGGGGAGGGGAAGGGGGTATCTGCCGAAAGAGAATTAGTAAGAGGAAATGTGCTTTCGTGCCCCTGCGGCAAGTGCTGCTGCTGCTGTATGGGGCGAGAGCATCTGGTACTGGGGCGAGTTGAAGAGACGTGCAATCTGAGGGACGGTGGAGAGGGGATAGGAGGATATGCAGAGGAAAAGGGATTACTGAGGTGAGTCAGAGCCTGCGCCTGGTGCACCAGGTGCTGCTGCTGTATGGGCGAGAGCATCTGGTACTGGGGCGAGTTGAACAGACGTGCGATCTGAGGGATGGAGCAGAGGGAATAGGAGGATATGCAGCGGAAAAGGGATTACTGAGGTGAGTCAGACCCTGCGCCTGCTGCAGCAGCTGCTGCTGCTGAATGGGCGAGAGCATCTGGTATTGAGGCGAGTTGAACAGACGTGCGATCTGAGGGATGGTATATGTGAGAGCATCTGGTATTGGGCTGGCGGCTTACCGAAAGGCCTGCGGGCCAGTTTCCCTTCATCTGCTGCAGCTGAGCTGACCTCGCAGCTGATGATATGCCTGGTGCGTACGAAATTAGGGGTGGGGCGAGGGGCAGCAGAGGGAGGAGAGCGGGGAAGGGGGAGGGGGGTGTGCAGGGAAGGGTAGAAACGATGGAGAGAGGGAGAGAGGAAAGAGAGGAAGAGAGGAAAGACTGCGTGCATTGAGAGCGAGAGAAAGATGGGGGTGCAAAGAAGGGGAGAAGAAATCATCAATGGGCATTGACTTGAAGGGAACCAATTCTGACAATCAAGTGGGACCCACCTTGTGCCATGGACGCGAGTGCATTGTCTGATATGGCCGATCCTGCCCGCCCCGACATGACTGCATGCACGTCTGCCTTGCTCTCCTGCTTGCAAGGGGGACAGCGGACAAGTTAATTATAGTAGGTTAAACGAGGCGAGGAAATGGGAGTTCATATCCAGAACAACAACAACTGCCCGCCCTGACATGACCGCATGCATGCACATCCGCCCGCCTTGCTCTCCTGCTCGCACACAGTGGACAAGGATACCACGTGGATACCAATGAATTTCAGCCGGATACCACGTGCGGCTGCTTGGTATGGGGCAGATGCGAGGGAGGAGCAGGAAAAGGGGAAGAGAGTGGTGAAAGGGATAGCGCAAACAAAAGGAAGGAAGGATTAAAGGAGGAGGGAGAGGTACGGGAAGTGGCAGGGGGAATCACCTGGCTAACACTAGGGGATGCAGCTCCTGCTGGTGGCATCATTTGCTGCTGTTGCTGCTGCTGCTGCTGCTGTTGTTGCTGTTGTTGCTGCTGCTGTTGTTGTTGCTGCTGCTGCAACTGCTGTTGCTGCTGCTGCTGCTGCTGTTGCTGCTCGTGTTCCTGCATCTGGTGCTGCTGCTGCAGTTGTTGCAGCTGCTGCTGCAGCTGCTGCAGAGGCAGCTGCGGCAGGCCCTGCGACTGAGACTGTGACTGCGCTGGCTGCTGCTGCTGCTGACTTTGCTGCTGCTGCTGCTGCTGATTCTGCTGCTGTTGCTGCTGCTGCTGTTGCAAGTGCTGCTGCTGAAGGGACTGCTGGGACATGCCTGCCGCGTTGCCAACGGTCGCCAGGTGCCTGCAGAGGCAACAGCAGAAGGTACCAGGACGTAACAAACAAAGAGGAGGAGATGACAAGTATATGACAGCTGAAGGGACTGCTGGGACATGCCTGCCGCGTTGCCAACGGTCGCCAGGTGCCTGTAGAGGCAACAGCAGAGGGTGGGACGTAACAAACAAAGGGAGGCAAGTTCAGTGTGGGTGCAGCTGGAAGGGAGAAGCACCTGAAATGGGAAGCAGAGAGCATGCGAAGGAGGAAGCAAGGGGTGGTGAAGTGAAGGGAGAGGAAGTACAGAAGGTTCAAGGAAGCGCGGGTGGTGTGTGTGATGAGCGGATGGGAGAAGTGTGAAAGAACTGGCGACAGGAAAGAGGGAAAGGAGAAAAGGAAGAGCTTACCTCTGCTCGTTATAGGAGTGTCAGAGGCGAATCCAGCATGAGCCGTACATGCGTGCCATGCACACATGCAACACATACATGACACACACACACACACACACACACACACACACACACACACACGCACGTCAGTCGTAAGGGGCAGACAGAGGGAGGAGAATTGAGCACGTGTTGGAACACGTTGGAATTACGTGAGGGGAGCGTCGGGCGCATTGATAAAAAAAAGCCCATTTTCAGCAGCATGGCCGGAGACCGAAAACGTGGGTCTCAGCTTTCATTCAGAACACAACATCCCCCTACACACCCTCCCTCCCCCGAATGTAACCATGTGAACCTGTGAAACCTACGAACTCCCGCACACCACTATGCATGGCTATTCTACTCCTCCTCACTCTGAGAGCTGCCTCGTCCATGCTCGCACCGCTCTCCGCCCTGGCCAGCTGCGCCTGCTTCAGCCGCTCCTCATACAGCCGGCTCGCCAGCACCCCACTCGCCGCCTGCCTCAACCCCGCCTCCCCTGCCACACCCCCTGCCACTCCGTTCGCCCCTCCGTTCCCCCCCAGCCCTGCCAGCTGCCCCGCCTCCCTCCGCTGCTGCTGCAGCTGCCGCTGCTGGAGCTGCATCTGCAGCTGCTGTAATTGTAGCTGCTGCAGCTGCTGCTGCTGTTGTTGCTGCTGGGAAGGGGCTGCGGCTTGTGATGGCGGTGGCGGGGGGGTTGGCTGCGACGATTGCTGCTGCTGCTGCTGCTGCTGCTGCTGCTGCTGCTGCTGCTGCTGCTGCTGCGGTTGTTGTGAGGGGGGCTGCATTTGCAACTGCTGCTGCTGCTGCTGCTGCTGGTGGTGAAGGCTCTGTGCTTGCTGCTGCTGCTGTTGCATTCCAGGAAGCACGGGCAATTGTTGCTCATCCTGCTGCATGGGGTCCTCTCTTCCCTGCTGCTGCTGCTGCAGCTGCGGCTGCTGGTTCAGCTGTTGCGGGGTCACGGCCTGCTGGGTTGCCTGGTGGGGGGATGGTTGGATGGGACCACCTAGCTCTTGCTTCAGTTGCTGTCTCTGTTGGGCCCTCTGCTGCCGCTGCAGCTCCCTCGCCTTGATTTGCTGAGTCTGAAATCAAGAAGATATAGAAGAAAAAATATGACTTTTTGATTTTGGGAGCAAAAAGCGGTTGTGAGAGCAGGGGGGGGGCTCGCTGGAAAAGACGGCAGAGTTTCCAGTCTGGGGAAAACGCGGATTCTTTTTTTCCAGATCTGACTTCAGTTAGGTTTATGTTCAGCCAAGCCCCTGGGATTGTCGAGCCATACCTCGATATAGGAAGCCGCGACCTCAGAATGCTTCTCATTGGTCCGTGCGATAAATATGTCCCAGAACACCGACCACCACTCGAAAAGGAACCCTCCAGGCGCATTTATGGCTGCACGAACAGTAAGGAGTTAATAAAATGCGTGGAGGGAACAACGCAGGATCCGTCGAAAAAACCCTCGTTAGGAAGAAACCGGTAAGACAATGAGAAGCGACGAAGAATTAACAGAGGACGGAGCCGTACCGACGGGGTCTGACGAGACTTTCGCCTCAGCGAGAAACGTCTCCGCGGATTTCGGCAAGCCTCGCTTGCACAGGTAGTCGTAAATGTACACATCCAGCCTGGAGGAAGTAACCGGGTAACCAGATGTAGCGTACAAAAGAAGGAAAATGAGGATCTTCGCTGGTCATGATTGCAGCGGAACCCGGATGTACTAAGATGAAGGGAAGGCGTTCTACGGTGTCAGTAGCGCCTCGAGAATCGGCGTACGCCGCAATGTTAATCGGCGTAATCGACAATGTCAATGTGCATACGCACATATTAATGCACGGAATTTAGGGCCTGAACAACGTACATTTTGTCGGCTTCCCAACTGTTGTGTGCCATAGTCCGATTACGTGAAAACCTACTCTCCTTGAGAGCACTTATCACGGCCAAAACTCTCGATTCGCGCGAAGACCTATCATGCACTAACTTCTAGTCGCATTGTCAGCTTAGCAGCAATGGGATATTCACGAAGCATGAAGAGACAAAGTCAGAACATTGTCCCACGTGTGCCGACTGAAACAGAAACTCCCTTGGTGCTGCAAGAGAAAGAAATTGCACCCTAGAAAACTGTTGCTCCACTGCTGCAAGAATCATTTGTTTCTCCTTCAGATTATAGCTTGACTTGTCCCCCTGCTACCCTTGACTTGCAGCCCACAGGGTTCCTTGTACATACTGCAACAATATGCAATTAGGTTCGGTGTGGTTCTCCGAGTTCAGCCTGTTTTCATATCGGTGGGTGTATGTGGCACCTTGAGTGCTTCTTTGTGGAGGCAGCAGCACCACCACCAGCACTCACCCACCTGCCTGGCCTGCGCGTGTCAGCTGCTCTCTCAACTCGACCAAACTGGATGGCCACTGGCGGTCGGCTTGGTTCGCTCGCCCTTTCTGCCATGCTGGTGCTCGTCTCCCCCACCTCCTTGCCTGGCCTCCTAAACGCCAGGCTTGACAGATAGCCTCCCCCATCGCCTTGCGAATCGGCTTCCGAGCCTAGCGATGTGGTACGGCTCCGTAGATCCGAAACCAGACTTGGGAACCTCAGCTTTCCTACTGAATCCTAGGTTCGGATCAAAATGCTCGCCGTACGACATACCAAAACCGTGCCTATGGCATGTCTCCGAACGTAGTGCTTTCATCGTTGCCAAACCTCTCAATATCCTCCTTCCATGCAGCAGTTCGTGCGCCTGACCTATACCGTGTGGTTCGATATTGCCACGTATCGGCAGTAAAGCTCGTAACTAAATTATGAACTGTAGTTAGTAATTCAGTATGGGACTGATGTTGCCAATTCATGCAACAGACTCTATGACTAACAAGTATTCTATGCATCTTGCTACCCAGCCCTAAGGAGGATAAACGTTGCCCTGTGAGGGTGAGTACAACTCGATTTGGCTCACTGTGCTTGCAAACCGGTTTGGCAAGTGATGATGGACCTTTGCCCGACAAGAGGAATGTACACCTTCGCAACAACACCCATCGTATATGAAGTTAATTTTCGCCTGGCAAGTATACGCTACGAGGTACTACGTGCACACTTTGTATATACCGTAGTACCAATTTCATGTTCCTATCCCCTAACGAGCAGCTAGAACTGTGTGAGAGGAACGCGCTCTTCCTCCCCAAGCTCAACTGCATCCTCTGCACTAGGCTGCTGTCCGTGCCCGTCGTGTCGGCCCGACTCCTTGAGTCCTTGTGAGTAGTCCAGGTACGTGTGGAGGAAGAAGATTGGCACGAGCATCACGATGAAGATGTACAGGAAGGCGGGCCGGATCTTCCCCGTGAACTGCATCAAGGTATGACATGGCACGATTGAGGGAGGAACCGTTAGCCACGTACCGAAGAACAACCCAATCAAGGATACGCCCACTGGGTGAATGAAGTTAGGAAGGTGTGTGTGTTCGTTGGTGCGTGTGGGGGGGAGAAAGGGGAGGCGGGGGCATCAGGACAGAGGGTGGTAATTATAATGGGGGGGGTTGAAGTTAGCAAGAGCAATAACATCTCAAGCCTGCTTACCTGAGCAATAGCCGCCACCACGAATGGCCCGAGCCACGAGCTGCCCTTGTCGCTGATGGCGTAGAGCGAGAAGAAGGCGCCCTCGCGGCCCTTGGGAATGAGGTCCACAAACAGCGTGCGCGAGTACGAGATCAGCGGGCCCAGGCAGAACCCAAACCACCCGGAATACGCAAACAGCTCCCACGACGCCTTCAGCCCGAGCCCGCCGTCCGGGGTAAAATACCCTAGCAAACCCCAGAGTGGCAGCGGCAGCATGGCGGTCAGTAGCGCGACGACCATCGTCTTGTTGTTCCATCCGAGCCGCTTTTGCAGGTAGTAAGCCAACGGCATCCCAAGCGCAGCCCAGAAGGAGACGGAGGTTGCGATGACTGCAAGCATTGCTGGCTCTACACACAGGTCGTGCTGCCCGAACAGCACCCCGACTTGAATCACCGTGGAGAACCCATCCGCGTAGATGAAATAGCACAGCATGAAGACAAACGCGTTTCTGTACCGCCGCGCCTCGGAGATCAGCGCGCCCATGTGCCGCCAGCTGGCGGCGATGGTCAGGGCGGCGCCGGTGGCGCCGCTGCCGCTTGCGGTGGCGGAGGCGGGCGGCGGCGGGCCCGGGCGGGTGCGGAGCCAGAGGAAGGTGAAGACGGAGAAGACGAGCCACCAGAGGCCGCAGAACGCCCCTGCGAGGCGCATCTTGAGCAGGTCGGTGGTGGCGGCGAGGGTGATGACAAAGGCGGCTAGCGTTGCCACCACGTCTGCCAGGCAGCCCGCTGCGAGGCCGATGAGAGAGATGCGGTTCTCAACCTGGGGGGATGGTTGGATGGGAAGAGGAGGGGTAGGGGAGCAGGAGAATAGACCTGAGATTTGTGCCATGTGTGTCACATCGTGCATTGTCACGTGTGTCACAGTGCATCAAACATTCCACATCCATCCCGCATCCACAACACATCCAACCCACATCCACCCGACCCCACATCCAACCCACATCCATCCCACATCCATTCTACATCCATTCCACATCCATTCCACATCCATCCCACATCCATTCAACATCCATCCCACATCCACCCCACAAGGGTAGCGGATTAGTGGCGCTTGGCTCATCACCCACGGCTGCGATCTTCTCCTTGTCTATTTCTTACGCGCCTCAGAACAGACTCAACCACTCGCCCCTTGCCCCTCACCCCTCGCACGTATCACCCACCTGTTCTCTGACGGCTGCAATCTTCTCCTTGTCGCCTGACACCTCAGCATGCATCACTGCTGGCGTGGCATCCACCAGCACAGGCAGGTAGCTGCCGGCAGGGCGGTGTCGGGGCATCATGGAGAAAGCAACAGGGGCATTGGGAGGAGAGGGAAGGAGTAAGGAGACGTCTCAGAACTCGATGGAGAGGGAATGAGAGTAGGGACAGGCCGAGATGCGAGACAAGGAAGGTTAGGGCAGGGTTGACAAGGAGGAAGGAGGAAGTATACATTGGGGAAGTGTGGACAAGCGGCCCACAGCACTTTCATACGCGTTACAGAATTGCTTGTATCGCACCTGTTGTAGCTGACGGTGCAGAGGCCGTAGCCGACGTTGGCAATGATGACGAGCAGGCCAGCGAACCACCAGTAGGAGCTGTCGCCCAACACGCCGATCACAATGGATGGCACCACGCCGATCAGCGTTCCCACCTTGAGCAGCTGGATGTGGAGAGGGTGAGGAGAGGGTGGAAAACAATGGGGGGTGAGGTCAAGATGGTGACACTTTTGGTCATTCTAAAAAATAGTGACAGTAATTAGAGCCCGCCTTTTCAAAATCCCGTTTCTCACATTCCCCAACACACGGAATCCCGTTACTCACGTCCATGCGGCCGGTGCCGTAGTCAGTGAAGGGGCCGAAGGAGATGAGCGCGAAGACTTGGCAGATGACAGCGATGCCGATGATGATGGTGGCGTATGACACGGGGTTCACGGCCAGGGGACCCGCGTGCACCATGGGTAGAATCAGGTCCTGGTACCTGCCAGGGTACAGGGGGGGGGGGGTGGGCGGGGGGGGAAAGAGGGGGAGGGAAAATGCTGGGTCCAAAGACTTTTCAAAATCCAGATGACAGCGATGCCAATGATGATGGTGGCGTATGGCGCAGGGTTCGGGGCCGTACAAGGTTCGAACTTGGTTAATATTTTTCTGTGTTTGCTTGGTTCGAAAGTCACCCATCCCGAAGCAGCGACGAGTGGTTCCGCTACCGTGCCTGCTAGTTTCTTTGCATTAGCCCCATGCTGTTTCTCAAAGCCCTTTCTACAACGCACGTACCCCGCAGCCGTGACGAGCTGGTCGCCGCGTCCCGGAATGCATTTGACGCAGTTGATCGACACGGAGTCGCTGCAGTTGGTTGGGGGGCCTTCGGGTCCCCCGCCTGCATTCAAGTATCTTTGTTCCCCAGACCCCTATTCCAACGCACGTACCCTGCAGCCGTGACGAGCTGGTCGCCGCGTCCCGGAATGCATTTGACGTAGTTGATCGACACGGAGTCGCTGCAGTTGGTTGGGGGGCCTTCGGGTCCCCCGCCTGCATTCAAGTATCTTTGTTCCCCAGACCCCTATTCCAACGCACGTACCCTGCAGCCGTGACGAGCTGGTCGCCGCGTCCCGGAATGCATTTTACGCAGTTGACCGACACTGAGTCGCTGCAGTTGGGAGGCTTCGAGTCTCCCGCCTGCATTCACGTGGTACGTGTCGGAGAAAAAGAAACGGTCCGGGAAGCAGGTACAATGCATTTTGCCTCGCAATCAGGTGGAGATGAAAGAAAATCTCCGTTTGTTTGCAAATAGGGAGATGTTATCTTTTTTTCCAGTTGCATTCCAGTGTGTTGCATCGGCGACAAGGAGAACAGTGTGAATACAGTGAGCGAGAAACAAGAATAAGATCATCAGATTGTTCGCTGTTACAAAGAAAGTCAAAGAAAGAAAGGATCCTCACCTGTAGCCACGCGTGCGCTTCGGCGAGCAGGAGCAGCAGGAGCGGGAAGAAGATGGGCATGGCGACGGAGCTGAAGGCGTTGACGGCCACATTGTACGAGTACCACCCGTACAGCTCCCACTTGTTCACCGGCGTCTTCTTATCGCTCGGCTCTAACCCTACCGATGCTAGACTCGACATGGCCGTTATAGAATATAGCGCAGATGCAGTATTGACTGATATGTTTTCCTAAAGCTGCGAGTTTTGGGTGTGACGAGGAAGTCCTGTTACCGGTTTCGGAAATGCAGAGGAGAGCACAACGAACGCTTTCCTGCTGCGAATGGTGGAAACAAGCTACAACGCGGATCGTCGCTTAGTCAAGTCTTACACAGAACCATTAAGTTCCTGGGGAACAGTGCTCAATCAACCAAGCAATGTCTGAAAATAAAGTACTATAGAAATGCAGGACAATCAGAAAATGCTCACGGGGAGCTGTACTAAATCAATTGTGGTTTTGGGCCTGGATCCCAGAGATTATGTCAAAGCACAGTGAGAAGAACTCGAGAGAGTGAGTGAAACCATGGAATGTCATGAGGAAACCAAGAAAACTCTCACGTTTGTGAATTCAGCCGGATCTCCCCGTTCAGTCTTGCTCGGGCTTTCCCGCCTTCTTTTCCCGTGCAGGAATATCACAGGAGCCTAGGCTCCTGATTGGATGCGATATACCGGCAAGGTCTAGGGAGTGGTGGGTTCGGAGCTCGGAGTTCCCTGTCTTCCGTCTGACACAGGTCTTTCCGCCGAATCGCTACCGTCCGTAGACTCACCTCACCTCACCGCATCCCATCACCACCGCTTGGTTAGGGCTGGCTCAGCTATTAACTGATCGCGTAACAGGAGCTGAGAAAGAAGTCAGATCTAAGTACACCGCATAGATACGTTTGAAATTCATTAGCCCTGCCAACGACGAATCTGATGCCTAAGTCGGTCGGTCTCCACTTCGCCGTCGACATCACCTCGCAAGCTGCCCGGATTCATTCCTCACACCTGCGCCTGTGTCCCACCGACGCCGACAACGTCGGCTCTGCCAAGTCCACAAATCACTCCGCGTGTCACCCTCGTGTCGTCGTCGCCGATGATGTTGTCACCACCTTCGTTGTTCCCAGCTTTAGGAGAGGCGGACTCTTCGTTTTCTTCAGTACGGGGGGTAGGATGGTCGTCCGCCCACTGGACACGGGTTCCTAGGAGCATGATCTCGAAGTCCACCTCGCCGAACTCGCCAAGTTAGTGGCAGTCCCGCATAACAGCCTCTCGCACCGGAAGGGTATTATCTACCTTTGAAGCGACTACCGGGTCTACCATGACGGTCTAAACAGTTGCCGGCCTAACAATGACCTAGCTAACGCGCAACGGTTTGTCTAATCTGAAAGTCTATCGCGCGGTCGTCCATGATCACCGCACCATGCGGAGAGTCACTTCACAACGGGTGTAGACTATGTGGGAGGTCACGAGTTGTACGGGGTGATCGAAGCGTTGCCTAACACTTGTGCAAGTTCGTTCTGCTCGTATGAGAACTTGACAAGAGTTTCATTAGCAAACAAACACACGATGGAAAACAAGTCAATATACCTAGCAAGTCAGCTTCCAGCGCATCACGAAGGCAGCTTGCCAACGTCGCAGGAAGGCGGCGTGCCAGCGCTGCAGCACGGCGGCTGTCTAGCGCAGTGGGAGGCGGCGTGCTAACGCTGCACTGCTTGCTAGCGTTGCACCAAGGCGGCCGGAGGCATAGGAAAAAGGGTTTGGAGAGGCATGGCGAGAGGCTTTGGCCAAAAGAAGTAGCTTTGATATTAGGCGAGTACAAGATATAGGAGAGGGAGAAAGGAGAGGGTACACCACCAGCAGTTGATACTAATAACTAAACTAGTACACTAGAAAGCTGTAGGCAGTGATAAGATATGCATTATGATTTAACACACCCCCGTAACTGTCTACGGCTTTAGCTAGTGGTGTCTGGTAGCAGGTCGCCTGGAAAGCGGTTGCTTGTAGCTTGGATATGCACAGAAACAGCGGTGGCTGACCGGCAGCACCTGTAAACGCCAGAACGGAGAAGGAGCAAGATCAGGAGCGCTAAAACGGATGGCGAAGGCTGCTGGTCGCTCGCCGGCTGCGAGCAAACACAACTGTTGGTGAGGAGGAGGAAGTTGGTGGTGCACGGGAGGAGAGCAGTGGAGAGGCGGCTGGAGGAGAGGAGATAGGAGGAGGAGAGCAGAGGAAAGGCGGCTGGAGGAGAGAAGAGGAGAAGAGAGGCGGCTGGAGGGAAGAAGAAGAGAGGAGAGGAGAGGCGGCTGCTGGCACGGTAAAAGCTCTCCCGCCACCCCCTCACCCTCCTCTCCCCCCCCTCCCCACAGCGACAGGCGCAGCAGGGAGAGGGAGGAGTAGGCGGGGCGACGGTCCAGTCGGCTCACGGCGGCCAAAACCCCTCACGCCACCACATTGACGTGCTGGTGCATTCGCAGCCTGTACGCAGCTAGTTCCGCCGGCGCGCCGGCGTGTCGCTGACGCGTTCGGTGGCGGATCTGCTTGCACGCTGGCGGATCTCGCTGGCGACCGTTGCTGGCGCTGGTGACCTTCGCTGACGCTGGCGACGGTCGCTGACGGCAGGCGCTGGCGCTGGCGACCGCCTCTGGTGCGCTCGTCACGGCGCACTGGCACGCTCGCACGGGCAGGGCGTGACGGATGGGCTGCGGGCATAGCGCGACGGAACCCCTGTGGGGCGCGACATCATTGACGCGAAGGGTGGGCACATAAAAAAAGGAGCAGTCCTAAATCGAAACCTGCTCTGATACCATGTCAGAAATAGGTGTCAGAATGTGATGTTTGTCTAGCCTGCAGTGGGGTACTCTATAGCGAGTACAGCCCGAATTAGGGTTTGCTATATGTACTCAATTGCCTGCTAGTGAAAACCCCTCTTTCCTGTTTCTAGCTTCTGCCTACTATTTCGACAATAGGCTTAGGCTAGTAACTTAGGAGATTAGGAGGCACATGAACAAGGGTTTGGAGAGGCATGGCGAGAGGCTTTGGCCAAAAGAAGTAGCTTTGATATTAGGCAAGAGTACAAGATATAGGAGAGGGAGAAAGGAGAGGGTACACCACAAACAGTTGATACCAAATACTAAACTAGTACACTAGAAAGCTGTAGGCAGTTAGAAGATATGCATTATAATTCAACAAAAAATTGTCCTTACATATGCATAAAGCCCGTACTTTGTGTGTGCGTGCGTGTATGTATACATGCGTGCATGCGTGTGTACGTTTTTTTTTTTTTTAAATTTTTTTTTTCCTTACACTCTCCATGCTTCCTGAACAGGGTTTGATATTTCCTGCATGATTGTAATTGTTTTGAAGTTTTTTTTCCTTGAATAATACCGTAACATCATACATGTTTATGCTGCAACTGTAGTATTTTAACTAATCCCACTGAAACCAGCCAATTTCCAAAACCACGTGCCAGCAGAACCAGAGCACTCGGCATTTCCCATGACAATTTCGATGGCCTCCTTTTCAATGGCTGCTCTCCTCGAACTTGTCCTTCCCAAGTGACCACAATGAACCGACCGACCTTGGGTTCTTTTCTTCCACGCAGTTCATGAGGGAAAAGCCTAGTCGATCGTCTCGGTTCGATGCCACTGCATAAGGGAATGTCGAGTATATTTAGCAATCTTTCTGGCAAGACGGACGAACAGTCTTGAACACTGATGCGTACTAAGTCGTTCTGGCAATTTCCAGCCATGGATGAGACGGCGTCGCTCTTCTTCCAGCTTACTCCGCAGCAATCTCTCCCGCCTCGGGTGAACGACGTTCCCGCAGCCGCTGATTGGCTGCGAAGCTTCGCCGGTCACAGCTGGCTGGCTTACGGCGCCGGTGGCTGCGTTGTAATCACAACCGCTCCGTGGCTCGTGCACGGGAGCGGCGCGCGAGAGGACAGCCTGCCACGTGGCGCTCGTTTCTATCACCAGGTCCTGGAACTCCCGCCGTCGCTCAATCCAGAATCTGCTGACGTGGATCCCGCGACCCGCTCATTCGCCGTCTTACCCAACATCTTGGCTGATCAGAGGAGACCAGAAGGGGAAGCTGCAAAAAAAATTCCGTGTGTGGAGGATAGGGATCAGGTAGCCGTTGTGACATGGGCAGGACCGGATTGCACCTCGGCGGGAGTTCTGGCCGCAGCCAAGGGAGCCTGTGTTTACCTCTTCGCTCCCAGCTGCCAAGGTAATGGACATCTTCATTGCTGATTCTTTCATTTATGGACTCCCAGTTGGTTAGGTTGGTCCCTTTTTGATTTCATCGTTCTTAACAAACGGGTCTGCATGACTCCCCTTTACCCTATTCCTCCCTGTTCGTCTGTGCAGAAATCTCCCGCTCGTACCTGCTTGTTAACTTTATCCATTACCCTTCTGGTGTCATTTCTCGTAACAGATAGTCTGAATGAACAATCTTTCCGCTGAGCCTTGTTGTTCGTCTCTGCAGATATTCCCCGCGTCATGGCAGCCCGCTGAGTTTATCCAGTTCCCTTCCAATTTCATCTCCCTCGCATGGATTCGACCCATCAGACAGTCTGAGGCCCTTTTCCCCCGTGTCTTGCTGTTCTTCTGTGCAGATGTCCCAATTTCATGGCAACCGGCTCAGCTAATCCATCCAGTTCCCACCCAGCCTGAATGAACCTCCTCCCTCCAGTTCCCTTGTGCGGCTTGCTGTTCTTCTCTGCAGATATCCTGCTCTTATGGCGGCCCGTTCAGCTGATCCAGTTCCCTTCCAAGGTCATCTCCATCGCATGAATTGACCCAGCAGACGGTCTGAAACCCCTTACCCCTGTTCCTTTCTGTTCCTCGCTTTTCGCCTCTGCAGATATCCCCCTCTCATGGCGGCCTGCCCAGATGATCCAGTTCCCTTCCAAGGTCATCTCCATCGCATGGACTGGTTCGGCGAACGGGCTTCTGATCAGCGGCGAATCAAATGTCGCCATGTGGCACCGTTCCAAGAAGAAGCAGCAGAACTCGTCCCTGCTGCAGCCGCTGACGTGTCTGTGGCAGGTGCAGACAAGTGTCGCGCAGGGATTGGCCGCAACCTCGCTGCATGCAGATGGATTTGCTGCTACTGCTGACGTGGCAGTAGGAGAAGGAGGAGGAGGAGGAGGAGTGGGGTCAGCGTGGGGACGGCCGAAGGGCATGGTGAGGGTCTGGTATTACTGGGGAGACCAGTACTCCTTTGATGGTGATGGTGATGGGGAGGGTGCAAGCAGACATCAATTGGTCAACGGGACGGGTGAGGGAGTTGTGGGTGTTTCAGGAAGAGATGACTCAGGGGAGGGTGTGCGGGATATGGAGGGTGATGTAGATGGGGAGGGTGCGGAGGAGGAAGGGGAGGAGGATGAGGAGGAAGAGGAGGATGATAATGATGCGGTGTCTGTAGTTGATCTGCCACACCCGGCACCTGTGCTGGCAGTCCAGTGGAGACCACAAGATACGACCTCCAAGCCTTTGTTTTCTTCTGGGTCAGGTGCAACTGGTGCTGGTGCGTCTGGAACAGGTGGATCAGGTTCGGCGCCGTACCACCGTCCGATCCTGTTGACCTGTGCTGAAGATGGCATGGTGCGGCTCTGGATGGAGATTGACAGTGGCAGCGGTCGAGCCAAAGCTGGAGGCTCGGCAGGAGCAGCAGGGTCGGGGAGCCGGGCCGGGAGCAGATTGAGCTCGCCGAAGAACCCTGGGAGCAGCAGGTATGGGAACCAGAACGAGAATCCGAACCTGGGGGCTGGGTTCGGTCAGAAGGGAAGGAAGGGGGCTGAGAGGCAATCATCTGAAGAGGGGAGATGGGCGCCCCCTCCTGCTTTCTTTGTCTGCGCTGTTGTTGACGGAAATATGACTCTTGGAGGGAGATTGGGGATGGATATATCTGTGCTGTGGGCAAAGGAGGTTCGGGTGGGTGATGGGAGTAAGGGTGTGAGTGTGGGAGGAGGAGGGGGAGGGGGAGCAGCAGGAGGAAAGGGGTCATTTGGGGTTGAGGTGATTCAGGGAGGTGACGTGGCGCCTTGTGAGTGGCTGGTTGGCGTGGGGCCACGTGGCACTGTGGTTCTCTGGGCAGTGTTTTGCCTGGATGACATGTCACCGCCTCGCTGTCCGCGCGTGATGATGTGGCAACAGGCAACTGGCGTTCTTCAGGATAAGGCTCTCAGCCACACACACCCGGAGCGCCACGCCCACGCTCACCATAACACCGACAAACAAACCCCCCCTTCCAGCCCCAGAACCCACCTCATTTCGGCCATAGTACAAAGAGTCACCGGCCAGTTAGGGAGCCCTCCCATGGCTGCTGAAATCGCAGAGAAGCTGCCTGGAAGCTTCGTGCGCTGGTCCCGCCTGTGGCCGCCCGTGCTAGCAATTGGAGCCGGGGGGAAACTGGGTGGCAGGATTGGTGGCAGCTCCGCGGATGGGCATGGGGCAACAGGGGGTGTCGGAGGAGGGGCGCAGCATGGTAATACGGGTTACAGCAGCCACAACAACAGCAGCGGTCATATGAGCAGCAGCAGCGGCGGCGCCATTGCGAGCAGCAGGAGAGCAGCATGGGGGTCTGTGAGTCAGCACGTGCATCTGACAGGGCACAGAGGGGCGATCACAGAGGTAGCCATTCACCCGGCTCCAGGTTTCCCTGTTGCCGCCACCTTAGACGCCCATGGCAGTGTGCTCTTATGGGGCCCTCGTGCCCCTCCCTGGCTTCCCCTCCTCACGGAAGCCCCGGAAGGTGCTTCTAACGAGTGGGCTCTGCTGGGGTTGCTTCCGCCGGCTGTTCCAGGCAGTGGAGGGGTTGGATACGAGAGGGGTTTTGCACGGCTGGCATGGGCGCCTGTGCTGCTGCCAGGTGGCGGCAGCGTACTGGCTGTTGCTGGCGTAGGGAGTGTGGAGCTGTATCTAGTGAGGCGCGTGTGGGAGGGGAGGGAGGGAGAGCATGCAGGGGGAAGCGAGCATCATGGGGAACACGGGGATCATGGGGGGCATGGAGGGGGGTATGTTGGTGAGGCAGAGGAGGAGCGTGCAGAGTGCAGGTGGCTGTGCTCTCTCACTCTCCAGAATGCGTCCCCCGAAGCACCTGCAGAGGAAGCTGCAGTTGCTGCTACAGCCGGTCCGTTCCTGGGTGTTGCCTGCCTGCCTCACACACCCCACTCTGCCGCCCATCCCTCATCCCTAACTGAGACGGATACAGCTGCTGCAGGTCCTGCCAGGGCAGGCAGAGGAGAGAGGAGGGGGATTCGGGTGGTAGGCGTGGGACAGGGTGGGCTGTGTGTGTGCGTGTGGGCCGTGGAGATTTGCATTCAGAGGGGTGAGGCAAGGCCGATCGTGCACACAGAGAAGGGAGAGGTGGAATCTAGGGTTACCACCACAGATCAAGGACAGGCAGGGGTGGGAGGGGAAGGAGGGGAAGGAGCGGAGGGAGCAGCATGGGAAGAGAACGCTGTGAGCTGGCTGGTGGGTGTGCATGGAGCAGGGGGCAGAGGGGACGGAGGGGAAGGAGCGGGCAGAGAGGAAGGTGGTGGCGAACACAATGAGGGAGCACCACACGGACTCCATTCTGTGCCGTATGCTGCTGCTGCAGGTGTAACAGCTGTAACGACGAGCACACGTGTGATCAGGTTCCCCAGCAGCCGTCGAGTGATGTGCTTGCACTGCGCACCTGTAAATGACTCAATTTGGGCGTCTCCACATAAAGCAGATGGCGCTTTGCATAAGGGAGGAGGGAAACGTGCCGCTGCTGATGGTACTGGGACTGCTGGTAGTGCTGGTGCATCTGGTTCTTCTGAATTGCAGGCGTTGCAAGAGATGTTGAGTCGAAGGGGGTGGCTGGAGGAGGCTGGCGGGTTGCTTGCTGGTTCAGGAGCTGGTTCTGCTGCTTCCGGGCAGTTTGGTGCTGGGCAGTTTGGGTCTGGGCAGTTTGGTTCTGGGCAGTTCGATGCCCGTTTTGGGCAGCCCGAGGGGAAGCACGAGGAGGAGGAGAGGGAGGAGGGTTTGCCGTACGAGTTTGCAGTCGGGTGCAGCGATGGGTGCATGCGGTTCTGGAAAGAGACGGGCATTGGGGCTGCTGTGAGTTGTGAAGCAAACGATGCATCATCAGCAGCCGCAGCAGCCGCAGCAGTAGCAGCAATTGCAGCAGTTGGAGCAGCAGCAGCTGCCGCCGCCGCAGCAGTGGAAGGGAGCAGCAGCTCTGGAGCCTGGGAATGTGTTGGCTGCGTTAGAGTGTGCTCTGGTCCCGTTATAAGCACTAGTGCATGTCCGAACGGGACGCTGTTTGCTTCAGTAGCAGGAGGAGCAGACGCGACAGCAGACGAAACAACAACGGAACCAGCCTCTGCTGAAGCAATCACTGAAACAGAAGGGGCTTTAACAGGGGGAAAGACATTGTCTCTCTGGGAAATGCTTCCTGCTGCCATTCCCGGCTGGTCGTCCTTTCGACTGGAAGGAGAAATTCAAGTCTCCCTAACCCCGTCAACAGCTCCAACAGCCGGGGCTGCTTCTGCCGAACCTGGCACTCTGGAATGGCTGGGGGGGCCCGAAGCAGTGCTCATGGCTTGGCACGATTCTGGTAACGGCCATTCACTTCTTGCAGTAGCAGCTGCAGCTAGGGTTTGTGTCTTCACACGCGCCCGCACCCCTGCCCCTCTGCCCCTTGACCCCAATTCCACTGGCCCCCTAAGCTCCTCCGCTAGTGCCTCTGCTGATGGTGTAGCTGGTACTGGGGGTGGCAGTGGCAGTGGCGCTGCTGGTTCTGGTTCGGGTCAGGACCGGGGAAGCGTGTATCAGGAATGGAATCGGACCGGAGGAAGGATCCAGGAAGCTTCTACTGGGAGGCGTGATTTGGCGGAGGTGGCAGGGGCAGGGGGGTGGAAGGCCCCTGGGTGGGCGGGGTGGGTGGAGGTGGGGAGGGTGGAGCTGGGGGAGGTGGGATCTGTGCGGTGCTTGTCGTGGGCCCCACAGGGGGTGCTGCTGGTGGGGACGGGGCAGCAGCTGCTGGTGATCAGCCCAGTTATGCGAGCAGAGGCAGCAGTTGTTGCAGCAGTAGGAGTGACAGAGGCAGGTGCAGGCTCAGCAGGGGCCGGTGCAGCTGAATCTACAGCAGCAGCAGGAGGAGGAGGGGGAGGAGGGGGAGGAGGGGGAGGAGCAGGTGGGGGCATCAGGGCAGCAGGCAGGGCCGGGCTTGGGTTGGCATATTCCCGAGAGCCATCAGCAGCAGATCTCTCACTGTCCATCTCCCCTTGGATTTCCCCTGCTACTTCTCACCTCAGCCTCGCCTCCATGTCCCACATCAGCCTCACAGATCTCGCAGTCGTCGCTTCCCGAAGCGGCAGGTCCGGGGCTGGCGCGCAGGCTCGGCCCGTGGCTCGGGTATCCAGCCGTCTGTCTCTGCCGCTGTCAGCTTCGGATCCGGCTCTAGCAGCTGTTCAGAGTGTCCTGGCTGGGGCAGGCACAGGAGGAGCAGGCACAGCAGGGACAGGTGCAGGAGCAGGATTAGGGTCAGGAGCAGGAGGCGCAGGTGGGGCAAGAGGGGGAGGAGGGGGAGGAAGGGCAGGAGTGTTAGGAGGGGGTCGGGTGATGCCATACACTCCGTCTGCCCCCAACTTTGGCCTCCTGGGCAGCCCTGCAAGGTGTGACGCTAGCAGCAGTGGGGGCCGTTCCAGCAGCAGAACAGGAGAGGCAGGAGGAGGAGCAGCAGCAGGAAGTGAGATAATCCCAGAAGGAGGGATGGGTGCTGGTTCGGAGGATGTGAAAGTATCGGCGTTGGTTCGTGCGCTGGACGGCAGCGGGCGGCTGTTGCTGTCTGATGCGGTGGCAGCAGTGGCATCAGTGGTCCCAGACTACCACCCCACGGTCATCTGGACTCTACTCAACCAGGGCCTCTTGCCATCTGCACGCGCATGCATCCGCCACCTCTCCCGCTCCCTCGCTGCAGCCCAAGCCAAGGCTCACAGTGCTCACAGTCAGCAGCAGGTCCAGGGTTTCTTCTCTCAGACCCGGCTTGTCTCCTCCTCCTCCTCTTCCTCCTCCTCCACTGGTTGTTGCATCTTTCCATGTGTCCCCTATTCGCAGCTGTGCCTCCCTGAAGCCTCCTCCTCTGCCTCTGGTGCACCCGCCGCGAATGCTGCTGCTGCTGTCTCGTCCGGACGTCTGTCGGGGGGATTTGGAGGGGATTACGGGGGTTTTGGAGGGTCTGGAGGGGGTTTTGCTGGGTTCAGCAGCACAGGAGAAAGCAGCATGGGAAGCAGGTCTGGTGGGGGTGGTGGGGGCGGTGGAGGGGGGACTAGTGCTAGGGCGAGTAGTGGTGGTGGTGGTGGGTCCAAGCAAGCGTATAATCCTTTTAGTCTCGTGAACGTGAGAAGTGCTTTGGATGACAGCGATGGGGAGGAGGAGGAGGAGGAAGAGGTGGGAGTGGGTGGGAAGAGAGGGGCAACAGCGGCCGGAGGAGGAGAGAGCAGCAAGGGTGCTGATAGAGGTGGAGAAGGAGGAGGATTGGGAGTGAAGGGTGGTGGGGTTGTGTCACCCGCAGTGCTGCGGTGGCAGCAGCTGCAGCAGCGGGTGCTGGTGGGGGGCCAAGCTCCCTTCACAGAGGCCGAGGCAACGGCCATCTTCCAGGTGCTATCTGAGGCAGGCGGAAACTGCAGCACCAGCACCACCTCTGGTGCTGGTGGTGGTTCACGGGTGGGGGTGCCTGGGTTGACTGCTGGCGAGGCAGACATGGTGGTGGTGCTGTTAGACGTGCTTGCAGCCATGGATGGGGTGAGCGTGAAGGAGGAGGAGGAGTTGCAGCAGCAGCTCGAGGGGGGTTCAGCATTGTCATCCTCGTCAGCAGCAGGAGCAGCGTCAGTGGCACGAGCAGTCACAGCCCTGGATGAACCTGGAAAAAGGTAGGGTTTTGTTTTGTTTTGGTTTGATGGTACACGGGTGGGTGTGCCTGGGTTGACTGCTGGGGAGGCGGACATGGTACTTGTACTGTTAGACGTGCTTGCAGCCATGGATGGGGTGAGTGGGTGTGAAGGAGAAGGAGGTACCGGAGCAGCCCGAGGGGGGTCCATCATCGTCATCATCGTCAGCAGCAGGAGCAGCGTCAGTGGCACGGGCAGTCACAGCCCTGGATGAACCAAGGAAGAGGTAGTTGTCTTTTCGGCCGCCCTCTCTTGTCCTTGCCTCCCACCCTCCTTCTCTCCTTGCCCCATTCTATGTTTTGGCCTGTCTTGCTCTCTCCCCACACATTCTTCTCCCCAAAGGCCGCCACTTTCTCTTGGCTGGTGACGCTCTGCACCTCTTGTATGCGACGGAATTTCAAGATCGCCTCTCGCCTCTCCCTTCTTATCCCCTCTCCCTTCTTCTCCCTTGTTTCCCTCCCTCCTGCAGGTTCTGGCTCGCACTCCACCTCTCCCGTGCGGCAAAGAAACACCAGCAGCGCCGCGCCGCTGCCGCCGCTGCTGCTGCAGCTGCAGCCGCAGCAGCCGAAAAGGCCTCCTCGGCAGCCAACACCAGAGCAGGAGCAGCAGCCTCTGCCTTCGGTTCTTCCTCTGACCGTAGGCCCAGCAGCAGCAGCAGCACACTCACCAGCAGCAGCAGCAGGTCCGGGGGAGGTGCATCTGGGGCAGGTGCAGGTGGAATTGGGCAGCAGCAGCAGGGGCAGGGACAGGGGCAGCAGCAGGGGCAGGGGCAGGGGCAGGGGCAGGGGCAGGGGCAGGAGGGACAGCTGGAGGTGGAGTCGCGAGCAGTGGCATGGGCGGTGCACACGGAGTCAGTGGGTGATGTGGTGAATGCATGCCTGGATGATGCTGACAAGCCCACGTGGGCGGGGCTGAGAGCTCTAGGAGTGGGGTACTGGCTCTGCAACACCACGCACCTCAGGCAACTGGTGGGTCCTTGTCTTTCTATCTATCTGTCCATCATGTGATGGAGTGTGGTGGAGTGCGGTACAGTGTGGTGGTGTGCAAGGTGGTGGTGGTACCTGGTACGTGGGTAGGTGGTGGCATGGGCGGTGCACACGGAGTCAGTGGGTGATGTGGTGAATTGCTGCCTGGATGATGCTGACAAGCCTACCTGGGCGGGGCTCAGGGCGCTGGGAGTGGGGTACTGGCTCTGCAACACCACGCAGCTCAGACAGCTGGTGGGTCTATGCCTTTCTTTAGTCTATCAGGTGATTGAGTGTGGTGGAGTGTGGTAGAGTGTGGTGATGCCGACAAGCCCACGTGGGCGGGACTCTGGGCGCTGGGAGTGGGGTACTGGCTCTGCAACACCACGCACCTCAGACAGCTGGTGGGTTTCCATGGAATACGCACACGCTTTGTGTTGGTTTGTTTGTGGTATTGTAGGCACACGCATTTCCCTCACTCCTGCACTTTTTAGTGATCTCTGCCCTTCTCTTCCCCTTCCCCTCCGCTTCCCACCGTTCCGGATGGAGCAGGTAGTGTGGGCACAGCACAGTAGCACCAGCAGTTGTGGGACTGGGACCCCATGGGCAGTGACTTGACTCAACGGCTTCTCCCTTCTTCTCTTTGCTCTTCCCTTTCCCCATCCATTCAGATGGAGCGAGTAGCGTGGCCGCAATACCAGCAGCGGCGGAGCTTTTGAGTCGAGTCCAGATTTTTCCCTTCTTGTTCCATCCCCTTAAACTCCCTTCCCCATCCATTCAGATGGAGCGGGTAGCGAGGGCGCAGTACCAGCAGAGGCGGGACCCCAAGGACTGTGCGCTGCTCTACATGCTGCTGGACCAGGGTTTAGGCTGCACGGGCTGCTCCAACCAACCCTTCTCTCCACCCAATCCTCCCCTATACCCCTTCCCTTCCCTACCCTTTCTGTCTCTTTCCTTCCCTTCCTCTCGCTTCTCTCCCCGTCCCTCCGCTCCACTCCCCCCATCCGTCCAGATGGAGAGGGTAGCGAGGGCGCAGTACCAGCAGCGGAGGGATCCCAAGGACTGTGCGCTGCTCTACATGCTGCTGGACCGCCGCTCCGTGCTGCACGGGCTGCTCAAGCTGAGTCGTGACGACCGGGATAAGAAGCTCGTGGACTTTCTAGGCAGGGACTTCACGGTACGTGCTGTTTAGGCGGCAGGAAAGGGCCGCGTATGTGCTGCTGTCGCAGCATCGCTTTGACCTGGCAGGCAGCCACCTTCTTTCTCCTGGGACTGGCACATACCCCGTATTCCCCACTTCCCCTTCTGCCCACCGCTGCCCTTTCCCATTAATTGCTTCTCCCTCCCATCACCCACTACCAATCCTGACAGGAGGAGCGGCGCAGGGCTGCGGCATTGAAGAACGCGTGCGTGTTGCTGTCGCAGCACTGCTTTGACCTGCCAAGCACTCTCGTTCTGTCCCCCCCCTCCCCTATCCTCAAACGGTCCTTTGTATTAATGCGAGGGTGGGTACAGGCAAAGACAATAATCATAATCAGCTTGGTAATCTGACACCCTTACATTCCCCTATCCTCTCCCTCCCCCCCTGTCACAGGAGGAGCGGCACAGGGCAGCAGCACTGAAGAACGCGTATGTGTTGCTCTCGCAGCACCGCTTCGACCTCGCAGCCACCTTCTTCCTCCTGGGCCACGACATCCCCTCCGCTGCCTCCGTGTGTGCGCGCAACCTCAACGACCCCCAGCTCGCGCTCGTGCTGTGCCGGCTGAGGGAGGACAAGGCGGGGGCAGCGGCATATTCAAGGGATGTGATTCAGCGGCTCTTGTTGCCGGAGGCTGTTTCTAAAGGGGATGCGTGGATGGTTTGCACACTCAAGGTGAGGGATGTAGTTTTGGAATTTATGGTCTTCCTTGCTGCTGGTTCCCGTTCGTATCATTCCGTTCGCATCAGTTTGCATCATATCACTCCACCGCACATCATCCAACCAATCACATCGTGCAGAATATTATATAAGCCATGCCCTGCCTGCCCTGCCGCTCCATCCCTGCCCTGTCTGCTGGCCTTTGCAGTGGCTGATGGGGCAAAAACTCGAAGCCCTGCAAGACCTTGTATTGACCTCCCACCAGAACACCCACACTCCCGCCCTCACTCGCTCCTCCTCCTCCTCCACCACCGCCACTGCCAGCTCAGCACTCACGCCGTCCCATCCCGCCACGTCAGCAGCCGAGCCAGCTGGCGCTGAGGTGGCAGCGTTCTGCGCCACGGTGGCGAAAAAGCCAGGGCTGGGGGAGGAGACAGAGGCGGTGCAGAGACTGGCAGCAGTGGCAGCAGTGGAGGCAGTGAGTGGGGGCGACCACATGGGACTTGTGCTGCAGTCCGTGCTCGAAATCACCAAGCAGCGGGGTTTGGGTCCGGTTCAGAGCGGTGCTGGTCAGGCGCAGAGCGGTGCTGGTGGGTTCAGTGGTGGAGCGTTGGATTTCCAAGGCATGAGAGTAGGGTCGGGCAGCAACGGCGCTTTAGGTTCGGGTGAACCAGGTTTGGGTGTGGCCACAGCATTAGCTCAGATGGCAACGGTGGGGAAGGCAGTAGGGTCTGTGCCGGCAGTGGTGGGGGAGGGATGGGTGGTGCCTGCAGTGGTGGCTGCAGTGCAATCAGCCAAGCTGCGGCAGCTGCTGAAGCAGAGAGCTGCTGCCTGCCTTGCCGCCGCTAGTATGGCAGACGGAGTGGTTAAGAGCGGTGGAGGAGGAGGAGGTGGTGGTGGTGGAGGAAGTGGGAGAGTGGGGAGAGGGAGAGGAGGAGGGAGAAGGGGTGTGTGTGAGGTGGTGGAGGAGGTGGAGGCATGGGCAAAGCACTGTGCGAGCGATCACACTGCTGCCCTCGCTGCCGTGAGTCACCTTCCCCCTCACTGCCCTATCGGACACTTCGCTTCAGCAGCTCAAGATAGAGCAACCTTACAACTATATATTCTTGACACCGCCATCCCTCCCGTTTTTTTAGTTGACTTTAAACACAACTCATTTCACACAGATTATATGTGGAGAAGTTGTTTGTTGCATGGCAAATCGGTTGTACCTTCAACATAGAGCAGTTGTACAACTATGTGTTCTTGACACCGCCATCCCTTCCGTGCTGTCTATTGTGATACTCTTGACCTCCGTATTCGTTGCTGTACTAAATCCATGTGTGGTGTCCTCACTGCCACCTCTATTTCCTCATTCCCTCTTCCACCCCCCGAGCCGAGTCACATCCCCTTACGTTTAAGTTTTAACCTCCACACCCTACTCCCCCCTCACCCCCTCTCCCCACCTCCCCCCATTTTTCCTTTCCCTTTCCTTTCCTTTCGCACTTTGTTCTCCAGATATCCTCCCAGGCCATAATCGCCTCACAGCCATTCACCTTGTGCCACGTCACCGCCCACCTGGCACAGTGGCACATCCCCAGGCCGCTCCCGCGCCCAGATGCAATCTCCACCGTCCATCCGCCCCACCCCGTTGAAGATCTACGGGCACAGCTGTGCATGGCAATCCTTAGGCGAGTAGCTGTGAGTCTCCCCTCTGCGCTGTCACGGGTGGTCATGGGGAGAGGGGCGGTGGGTGGAGGGAGGTCGAGGGTGAAACGAGTGGGTTGGGGCACTGGTGAAACGAGCTCCCCACCACAACACCACCACCAGCAGAAGCAGCAGCAGCAGGGGCTGCAGCAGCAGGAGGGCCGGCAGCAGAAGCTGGAAAGGAAGAACCGACTGCTGCATCATTACGTGGACGAGGGTTTGGGCGTGGACGCGTTGCGATTGGTCCACGTGGCAGGGGAGATTCTCCAGATGTGGCGGGAAGGTGCAGCGGCAATGCGAGCCACCTCCGCTACCTCTGCCTCTGCTGCTGCTGTTGCCACAAATTTTGCTGCTGCCTCTGCCTCTGCAACTGCTGCTGTTACCAGTGGAAGGAACCACCCATCAAGCCCATCATTCACTCCCCCCACATCCCCCATCCCCCCCCACATGGCTCTAGACGATTCAGATGCCCTGCTAGAGCAGAGGATAGAGGCAGAGGGGCGGGTAGTGGCTGCTCTAGCTCTCATCTGCTTTGTAACCGCTGCCTGGATCTCCCACCGGCCTCTCACCCTTGCTCGACTGCTCGACCCGGTGGTGAGGGAGCGAGGAGGGGAGAGGGGATGGAGAGGGGTTGGGGAGGGCGGGTTCGTCGGGGGAAATGGGGAAGGGGAAAGAGTGGGGCGGAGTGTAGGGGGGAGGGTGCGGGCTGAGGGGGGTTGTGCGCCTGTGTTGCCTGGGGAGGGGGAGAATTGCCTGGAGTGGTTTCTAGGGCTGGAGAGAAACGGGGGAGGGGGAGGCGCGGAGGGGGGAGAGGGAGGGGAGGGGGAGCAGGGAGGTGGGCTGGTGCATAGAGGAGGGGGCGTTATTGGTGCAGGTGGGGAGAGAAAGGGGGATAAGGAGAAGGAGGTGGGGCAGGGGGCAGTGGAACATGGGGGAACGGATGAAGAGGGCAGATTCGTCGGACCTGGACGGGCGGCTGTAGAGGGGAGGGTGGTGGTCCTATCAGAGGACGACATGTGGCGCGTGGTGGGCGCGTCAGTGTGGTCGCTAGTGGAGCGGTATGTGAGGAAGCAGGCCGTGCCGCCGTCGCTGATTAGCCGGGCGTTCAGGTCGTTTGGTTGGATGTCGCCTGTCCAGTCATACCTGCAGAACCAGCAGCAGCAGCAGCAGAACCAGAATCCACAGCAGCAGCAGCCTCAGCACCCGCAGCACCCGCAGCACTCGCAGCACTTGCAGCAGCAGCAGCAGCAGCAGCAGCAGCAGCAGCAGGGTGTGCAGCAGGGTCAGGGAGCACGTAGTCCCATGCAAGCCCCCCCTGCTCACCCTCACCATCTCTCCCACCTCCTTCCCCAGCATCACAACCAGCAGCACTGGCAGCCGCCGCATCACTTTGTTCCCTACAGCCCTCCTCCCAGCGGCTCCACCACCCCCACCCTCTCCACCCCTCCTCTCTCTCCTCACCTCCACCCTCACAGCCTTCTCTCCCCTGACCAACACCAACACCAGCTGCTGCAACAGCAGCAATACCACCACCATCACCACCAGCAGCAGCAGCAGCAGCCCCCACCTGCCCCCTCCTCTTTCTTCTCTGCCTTCGCCCGGCCTTGGACCTCACCCGCTTCCCCTGCCCCCTCCTCCTCCTCCTCCCTCCTCTCCCCCGCGCCCTCCCCTGCTCCTTCCCCCGCGCCCTCTCACCTGAAGCCGCAAGGGGCAGCAGGAGGGGGGATGGCGGGAGCAGCATCAGCAGCTGCCGCAGCGTCAGTGGCAGCAGCAGCCAAAGCAGCAGACAGGGCAGGAGGAGGGGGTGAGCGAAGGGCAGGGGCAGGGGTAGGGGTAGGGGTAGGGGCAGGGGGAGCAAGTGGGTCAGGCTCAGGCCTAGGAGCAGCGGATCCAGCGCATCTGTTTCCACAGGCGTTGCTTCCAGACGCGTGTGCTGCTGCAGCTGCCTCCGACGCGCTGGTCCTCGCGTCTGCACGCGTGGCGTCTGCTCTGAGGCGCCAGCTGGCGGCACACGTCAGCACCCGCATGCACGTGCATGGGGGAGCAGGAGCAGGAGGAGTGCAGGGTGTGGGCACCAAGGGGGGAATTAGGAGTACCAGGAGCAACCAGACCGCTCCTGCTGCTGCTGGTGGTGGTGCTGGTGGTGGTGCTCTGAAGGAGGAGGCTGTTTCTGCGTGTGCTCACTTGGCGTCCGTAGCAGCAGCGGATGGGCTGCTGCAGTGGCTGGCAGATGAACACTCGCTGCACCACGGCCACCAGCACAACCAGCCACACGGGCAGCAGCATGGGCAGCAGCACCTGCACACTCACCAGCAGCACGGGCAGCAGCAGATGCACAGCAGTGGGGTCCCGGGGCACATGTCACGGCACCATGGCAACATACCCACACACCCAGACGCGCATGCACATGGTGCTGCTGCTGCACATCCCTCTCATGGTGCTGCCACCACGCATGCCACCTCCACACACTCGCACCTGCCATCCGCTCATCCTGGCACAGCTAGCGCTGCAGCAGCAGCAGGGATTGCGCCAGGCACCACAGCAGGAGGAATTGCAGTAGGAACGGCAGCAGGAATGGCAGCAGGATCGGCAGGAGGAATGGGTTTCAGCAGCATAGCTTCTACACACCCTGAGACCTGCCCTTTGCTTCCCGACGTACCCCATACAGTGCTCGAGTTCCCTGAATCCGGCCCTGTTCTCGTCCTCGCTGCAGTAGCAGATGTGGCTTATATCGAAGCTGCTAGTAACGGGGCCGAAGGGCCTGGAGGTGCTGCTGTTGCAGGTGCTGCTGCTGGTAAGGCCGGTGGGCAGATGGAGGGAGGTAGACCTGGGGTAGGTGGTACTACTAGGGGACCTTCTGTTTTGGGGAAAAGTGCATTGGGATCAACAGGGGTGGGGGGGTCGAGGGCAGGAGGGGGAAAGGATGAAGGGAAGGAGGGTAAGGGAGGGATGGTAGAGAGGGGAGGGAAGCGAGGGGAAGTGGGAGGGGCATGTGATTTGGGTGAGTGGGGTCGGGCGTGTGGCAAGCTTTGGCAGCTTGTGGTCGCTAAGGACAAGCTGCGCAGCGTTCTGGGCGTCGATGGATTTGATTTTGCTGAGCTGGCAGCGTGGAGGGAGAGGAGGGAAGCTGACGTGGCAGCCGCGGAAAGGGCAGCCCGAAAAGCTGCAGCCGCAGTCGCAGCAGCAGCAGCAGCAGCAGCAGGGGGAGGAGGAGGAGGGAAAGGAGGAGGAGGATGGGGAGAGGGAGGTGGGGGAGGAGAATCAGGAGGAGGCTGGGGCAGAGGAGGAGGTGGGCAGGGGAAGGTGACAGGTGGGGGAGGCGCAGGAGGGGGATGGGGGGAAGCCGGGGGGAAAGGGAGAGGGGGGAGGGGGGCCGCTGGTGGGGGAATGGAGCGAGTACAGACAGAGGCGCACTTAAGTCTTGGGGTTGGGGGGTTGGGGTCAAGAGCCGTGTCAACACCAAGCCTGATTGGGCTCATTGGGAGAGAGAAGGAGTTGGAGGGAGGAGGAGGGAAGTGGGGGAGCGCAGGGGGCAGCATGGGGGATGTGAGGGAGCAGGCGAGGAAGGCAGGAGCGAGTGAGGGGGAGCACGCGGGGAGGGTGAAAGGAGAGCTAGGAGAAGAACCGGATGACAGCAAGTCGGGTGAGGGGGGAGAGAGGGGAGAGGAGGAAGAAGAGGCAGGTGTGAGATGGGCGAGGACAGCGCTCGGGGAGCCTCTAGAGGTGCTTAAAACGGGGGGAGAGTTACTGGAAGGGGTGTGTGTGAATGCACTGAATCCGAGGCAAGCAGTGGTGGCCACCAACCGCAAGGGCCTACTCTTCTTTGACATCCACAGTGTCTCTGCTTCCAACTCTTCCTCTGGTTACGCCAGTTCTGCTGGTTACACCGGTGCCCATGGTTATGCCAGCCATGCTGCTGCGGCCGGCTCTGCTGTGTTTGACAGTCTCTGGGCGTCTGCCTGCTGGCCTGCAGACAGCTACGCAGGCCGCGTTGCCACGCCCCCTCCCGCCCACTTCGCCCTTCTCACCCACTCCCCTAGCGGCCGCATGAACCTGCCCGGTTCTGCTGGTGCTGCTGCTGGTGGGGGTGGTTGGGGCGGGGGAGCGGGGCAAACCGGGGAGAGCATGGGAAGCAGTGGGGTTGGGAGCATGGGAGGCGGGGGGGGAGTGGGTCGGCTAGGCGGGTTCGGGAGCAGCAGTTTCAGCAGTGCCAGCTTCGGCAACACCCCTGCCAACACCTCCTCTCCCTTCTCCCCGATAGGCTCGGCGGTGGGCCGGGGCGCGGCGGCTCGGGATTCGTCTTATGCGGGCGGCGTGGGGATGGGGATTCCGGGGTATGGAGGGATAGGCGCGTGGGGCCTGGGGTGGGAGGACTTGGAGGATGCGGAGGAGGGGTATGTGGACCCACCGGCTACAGCAGAGTCGGTGGCGGGGAGGGCCCTGGCGGCCCACCCTCTCAGGCCATTCTTCCTTGTCGGCTCCACCAACACGCATGTGTACCTCTGGCAGGTGGGTTGTTGTTGCAGGGATATAAATCTATAGCTGCAGGTGGGTGGATCGCCCTGGCAGGTGTGTGTGGTGCTGCCGTCAGTACGTTGGCTGCTCACCCGCTCCGGCCCTTCTTCCTTGTCGGCTCAACCAACACGCATGTCTACCTCTGGCAGGTGGGTGGGTTGCGCTCTTCCCATATTCGCCATTTATCATCCCCATATGTCTCCTCCCCACCCCACCTCCCCAGTTCGGTGCACCAACAGCAACAGCAACATCACGCCAGTGCCACTGGTCATCCCATCCGTCACCACTCTCTGCCTTCACCGCCACGGGTAGCGCTTCGCCACCGCTTCCGCTGCTGCTCCGGAAAGCATTGGGTTCCCCTTCTTCACATTCTGTCATCCCCTCCCCGTTTGTCTCCTCCCCACTCCCCCCAGTTCGGTGCACCAGCAGCAACAGCCACATACGGGGTTCTCCCCGCAGCCAACACACCAGTGCCGCTGGTCATACCATCCGTGACGGCCCTCTCCCTCCACCGCTACGGCGAGCGATTCGCCACCGCTGCTGCGGACGGCACAGTGTCGATGTGGCAGCTGGAGGTGGGCGGGAGGAGCAACGTGAAGCCGACCGAGACCAAGCACTGCTTCGGGCGGAGTGCCAGGTGAGTCTGGTACTCTCAATGGGAAGTGCTACGTGAGAGGGGTAACGGCGGGAGGGAAGAGGCTGTGTGCTGCTAAGGTTCTGCTGCGGACGGCACGGTGTCGATGTGGCAGCTGGAGGTGGGCCGCGGGCGGGCGCAGCAACGTGAAGCCGACTGAGACCAAGCACTGCTTTGGGAGGAGCGCCAGGTGAGACATATGAAGCGAGGGGGATGAGAAAGAGTCTGTTTGCTGCTAAGAGGTTGCTGCTGCGGACGGGACGGTGTCGATGTGGCAGCTGGAGGTGGGCGGGCGCAGCAACGTGAAGCCCACTGAAACGAAACACTGCTTCGGGAAAAGTGCCAGGTGAGAAGTGCAAGGTGGGCTGGTGGGAGGGGGTTGTGCGGTGCTAAGGAGTGGCTGCTGCAGACGGGACGGTGTCGATGTGGCAGCTGGAGGTGGGCGGGCGCAGCAACGTGAAGCCCACTGAAACGAAACACTGCTTTGGACGCAGTGCCAGGTGAGAGGGCGTAGGGTTGCTGGGCTGAGTGAGAGGAGTGCAATGTGGGGAGGGGGGGGAGTTGTTCTGCCGTGCTAAGGGGCTGCTGTGCACGGGACGGTATCAATGTGGCAGCTAGATGTGGGCGGGAGGAGCCACGTGAAGCCCAGGTGAGATGAAACACTGCTTTGGGCTGAGTGCCAGGTGAACTAAGTACCCCTGATGCGAAGTGCCAGGTGAGAAGGATAAGATGGAGGGGCATTCTATCATCACTGATTTTTAGAGTGAGAGGGAAAGAAGGAAGTGAGTCGTATACTACTCTAACAAGGCGCGCTCGTGGACCAAGGCGCGCGTGCGGACCAAGGCGCGCGCGCGGACCAAGGCGCGCGCGGACCAAGGCGCGCGCGCGGACCAAGGCGCGCGCGCGGACCAAGGCGCGCGCCCGGACCAAGGCGCGCGCCCGGACCAAGGCGCGCGCGCGGACCAAGGCGCGCGCGCGGACCAAGGCGCGCGCGCGGACCAAGGCGCGCGCGCGGACCAAGGCGCGCGCCCGGACCAAGGCGCGCGCCCGGACCAAGGCGCGCGCCCGGACCAAGGCGCGCGCCCGGACCAAGGCGCGCGCCCGGACCAAGGCGCGCGCGTTGGTCCAGGCGCGCGCGGTGGTCCAGGCGCGCGCGTTGGTCCAGGCGCGCGCGTTGGTCCAGGCGCGCGCGTTGGTCCAGGCGCCCGCGTTGGTCCAGGCACGGACCAAGGCGCGCGCGCGGACCAAGGCGCGCGGTCAACCTACCCCCTTCCACCCCACCTCACCCTTCCCCGTTCCACCCCACCTCAACCTACCGCCGTTCACCCCCCCCCCCCCCCCCCCGCAGTGGAGTGGCGTTCATAGGCGCCAGCAGCAGTGTGCTGGCAGCGGTGGGGCAGAGCCCCTCGCAGGACAACCTGGTCGTGTGGGACTCCCTCGCCCCGCCCAACGCCTCCCGCGTCGCCATCAACTGCCACCAAGGCAAGTCCCATTCAGGCGTGAATTCCGTGCCATCCACTCTCTCCAATTCTCTCGGCTTTGACACTTTCCTCACCGCCATCCGCCCCCTCGTCATCATATCCCTCTCACCATCATATCCCTCTCATCATCATATCCCTCTCATCATCATATCCCTCTCACCATCATATCCCTCTCATCATCATATCCCTCTCACCATCATATCCCTCTCATCATCATATCCCTCTCACCATCATATCCCTCTCATCATCATATCCCTCTCATCATCATATCCCTCTCACCATCATATCCCTCTCATCATCATATCCCTCTCACCATCATATCCCTCTCACCATCATATCCCTCTCATCATCATATCCCTCTCACCATCATATCCCTCTCACCATCATATCCCTCTCATCATCATATCCCTCTCACCATCATATCCCTCTCACCATCATATCCCTCTCATCATCATATCCCTCTCACCATCATATCCCTCTCACCATCATATCCCTCTCATCATCATATCCCTCTCACCATCATATCCCTCTCACCATCATATCCCTCTCATCATCATATCTCTCTCACCTTCATATCCCTCTCATCATCATATCCCTCTCACCATCATATCCCTCTCATCATCATATCCCTCTCATCACCCCACTGCAGGCGGTGCCACCAGTATTGCCATTGTGGACAACACCAGCCCTGCCACAGGGAGCACTGTAGCGGCACGGGGAGGAGCAGGAGGCGGCAACGGAGGAGGGAGGGGACAGCTGTCGGCTTCTCATTCGCTGATTGTAACAGGTGGCAAGGGAGGAGACATCTCGGTGCATGACTTCCGGTTCATTGCCAGCGGGAAGAGCGGCCGCAAGGGGGCCGGCAGCGGAGGCGGGGGCAGCAAAGACGGAAGCAGAAACAACAACAGCAACAGCGGTGGTGCCAGTGGCGGCGGTAGTGGCAGCAGCGTCGGTGGTGCCGGCAGTGGAGCGGTGGGAAGCGGTGGTGGTGGGTATGGGGATAGGGCGTTGTGGCACATTCCCAGGGCGCACAGCAGCAGCGTGTCTTCCATTCTATCGGTGCCCGGCACGCCGCTGTTCCTGAGTGCGGGCAAGGACGGCGAGGTGAAGCTGTGGGACGCCTCGCGCTGCCGGCTGCTGAGGGAGTGGCCGCGCGTGCATGAGAAACGCACCTTCCTCAATGCCCGCGGATTCGGGGCCGTCATGCAGGTGTGTAGTGTGCGTGTGCGGTCTGGTGTGGTGTGGCGTGGTGTGGCACGGTGTTGAGGGATGCAGGTGTGTGTGATTCTGTGTTTCGGTGATTCTAGCAGTGCCCGGCTCGCCGCTGTTCCTGAGTGCGGGCAAGGACGGCGAGGTGAAGCTGTGGGACGCCTCGCGCTGCCGCCTGCTCAGAGAGTGGCCGCGCGTGCATGAGAAACGCACCTTCCTCAATGCCCGCGGATTCGGGACCGTCATGCAGGTGTGTAGTGTGCGTGTGCGGTCTGGTGTGGTGTGGCGTGGTGTGGCACGGTGTTGAGGGATGCAGGTGTGTGTGATTCTGTGTTTCGGTGATTCTAGCGGTGCCCGGCACGCCGCTGTTCCTGAGTGCGGGCAAGGACGGCGAGGTGAAGCTGTGGGACGCCTCGCGCTGCCAGCTGCTGAGAGAGTGGCCGCGCGTGCATGAGAAGCGCACCTTCCTCAATGCCCGCGGCTTTGGAGCGGTTATGCAGGTGGGTGTGGTGTGGTGTGGTGGCCGCTGGGTGCTAGTCATGCAGGTGCGTGTGTGTGGTATGGGGGCCGCTGGGTGCTAGTCATGCAGGTAGGTGTGCTGTTTACCCATTCTCTTACCCCTTTTCTCCCCCTTTTTCCCTCCTCCCTTCTTTATTTCTCAATGGCAGGTCGGTGTGATGGATATGTTACCGTCAACCCATGGCATTCTCACATGTGGCGGTGATGGGTTTGTCAAGCTCATTCCCTTTACTTCATAGCCATCAGGCCATAATCTTCGTTGTGCCTGAAGACTCACTTTCAGTACTCATTCATGGTGTCATTGAGTTGTTTTAATATGGAAAACAAATAGTTCTCTTCAATATATTGTAACCACCTCTTTAGATATTCAGTTATTCGCATTCCTGAAGGCCATTATCTAGGTCTTGCGCTCCTGTCATGTACTCTGCCTAGTCGTCCACAATAGCGCAACAACAGCCGCTAATAGCGAGGATTCCAATGTCAGCCCGACCCCAATCCACATCCAAGTGGAAATACCATACTGTCGACGATCACCACCATACCGCCATTCTAGTCTTCGTAGGACAGGTGGAACTCAACAGTTACTCGTAACACGTCACGCCTCGCCGTGACCGCCGCCATGCACGCTGCTCTCGTCGCACCCGAGGTGGCAGCGACGCCACTCAACCCGCGTATCGCGATGTCGGGAATTCCATCCTAAGCGCGGCGCTCGAGTTCACCCATGGAAACACATGGAAACCATTGGGAACCGGATTCCTATCATTCCCGCCTTCTCTACACGCCATCATCATCGCGCCGGCCTTTATGCTCGTTACCCCTTGTTCTTATCCTCCTTTTCATCTCCTTTCGCTGCTCTCTCCCCGCTTTTTCCTTCCTGTTCGGTTCAGACGCTCCGGTTCGAGTGGAAGATTCTTGCGGATTTGTTTGTTAGTCGCGCGCGAACCAGAAGAGCGGGTTAATCTCGTGTGACACGTCAGCCGCGTTATCATAACCGGTGTGTTGGAAATTCTGGGCGCGGTTTGCGGTTCAGAATTCGAAGCCGAATCACGCCAGCATCAGTTAGCTCAATTCCGCCATGGCATTCACCTGGCTAACTGTGCTCCTCGTCGTCGTGCTTTTCATCGTGTTATCTCCTGGGCTGCTGCTTCAGGTACTGTCAGTGCGATGCTGGAAACAAGATGGTTGTTACAGGAGGTTTGTTTTTCGTGTCGTTATTTGAATTGACGAGAATCCTAAAATATTCCAGAGTCTCCAGTTGTACCTCACATCCTACCGTCCAAGTATACCTTTTTTCCCTCCGTTTCCCATTTTCTCTCATCGTTTCGTCTCAGATTCCTGGTGACAATCAGCCAATAGAGTTCCGCAACTTCCGCACGTCTCTCGCGTCAGTGTTGGTGCATGCGGTGGTGTTCTTCATCTTGCTGCTTCTGACTGACGAGTATTACTTCTCCAGTGCTGCTGGCGGCGGTGGTGGGGGAAAACATGATTAGAGATGATCATGCGTGGTGTGTTGCTGGGGGTGGCGGCGGTGGTGAGAGCATGATAAGAGCATGGTGCTGCTGCTGCTGGATGTTGGGATAGAAATACGGTAGAGTGCATTGGTAGTGGGCAATCGGCAATGGTATATGCAGTGAAATTCAGTGTCTTGTAGATTGCAAGTACTGTTTGTACAGTGTTTTTCTGTATATAACACATTGAGTGGAGAGCCCAGTAAAATGCACCTTGAAACATTCGAATAACTCGCTCAAGCTTTTCAGTTCCCCGTACTCATAATGCCAGCCAAAAAAACCATCTCAAAATCTGTGACAATGATGCTACTATGTGAATCCACGTTTCTCGTCATTGAAGCATGCGACTCTGTTGTAGGAGTGCAGTGCCCCAAAGAAACATCATTGTGTGCCACGTCTGGTGTCACCAACTGCGGATGAGGAGACGCAAGGGGTGATGTGTAAGAGGGCTGTATATCCGGCTGAAAACGGGGTAGCGCAGGCGAAACCGGAGGGTGGGGGACAAACACCCGATCTTCCTCCCTCCTCTGCGCTTCCATTGCTTGAGCCAGCAGCATCATCTCATATTCCTGTGTCGCCTCCAGCTGCTGCAGCAGAGAGTCTAGCGAAGAATGCATGTGTGTCTGAGCTGGCACATGGACATGCTGAGCTGGGTGCTGCTGAGTTGGCACATCAGTCCGCAGCTGATGCTGCACCTGCTGACTTCTATTGAATCCAGACAGCGGCTTCTGAACCTGCTCTGGTTGCGCAACCCCTGGAGCCTCCCTTACCCTTCTCTCCTCCTCCCCCATCCCCAGCAGCAGCGCCATCAGTTGACCGTCCAACTCTCCTTCCACTCCCTTGGAGCAATCTTGAAGCAAAGGCCGCATTTGAGGCGTCTCAAAAGCCATTCGCCGCCCGTCCATCACCCCTCCCACTCCCCTGAAGAACTTTTGGGGCGGAGTACCAAGTGTATCACGAGGCAGAGGCAGGGGCAGAACAGCAGCAGGTGCGGGTCGCTGGAAGGGAGGCCTAGGTGCCCCTGGGGGCAGAGGCAGTGGCAGGGGCAGAGGAGTGGCAGCAGGGTCAGAAAGAGCTCGAGGCGGCACGGGTAGAGTGGTACAGTGGTGCATTGGTGTGACTGTAGGAACTGCCGGGTGTGACTGTATAGGAAACCCTGCCTGCTCCCGTGATCTCTTTCTTGAGACAGCATTGGCGCTGGCAGTAGCGGCGGCAGAAGGAGGGGTGCTGCACGTGCGGTTCTGTGGAGAGAATGGTTTGGCGAGGCAAGTGAATGGGACGATGCGGTGTGAAGGAGGAGGAGGAAGGGTTGAGAAGCTTTGTTGCATTGCTGCTGCATGTGTTGGTGGCATTTTGGCAAGAGCAGGGGGAGGAGCAGCAGGCGAAACAGGAGTGACCACAGCAAGAGCAGCAGCAGGGGCATCAGCAAGAGCCAGAGCAGGAGCAACGGCAGCAGCGACCCAAGGAGTCACAGCAGGGGCCACAGGTGCGTTAGGCAAGTAGCCAGCAGCACCCAGAGCCGCCAGCACGGCAACACACGCCGAAACATGACTTGGCAGGGACAAAAGGGACGACAGCCCGCTCTGAACAGCAGCGATGGAACAGCCACCACTCCCAGCAGCACTGGCGCCAGTGGCGGCCGGGATGGCTGCAGCAGGATAGAGCCTCTGTGCCCTCATACTAACTTGAGGTGGCGACAGCAGCTGCTGCAGCACCTGTGCTCTCATTTGCCGCCGCTCTGAGAAGTCACCACAGGTATTTGGGGAAGAATTAGCGCCAGGGTGTTTGGAACCGCTCTGAACCGCAGTTAGAGCAGGGAAGTTTGTGCAAGTGCTGGGACGGACTGTGCAGGTGGCAACTGTTGAGTCAGCTGTGGGACTGAAGCGCCGCGCAGCCGAGGAGGGAAGGGAAGCCAAGCCGGTCACGGGAGGCAGAGGCGACGCCGAAACGCCTGCTGCTGCTGTGCTTGAGTTGGCTGGCGGGGACAGGACGGGCGGCGGAGCGAGGGGCCTCATCGCCTCTCCCCCAGCAACGTGCATTGCTCCTGTATTGCTGTCAAGGGCTCTTCTCTTGCTCACTGGGCCGCTGGGTGATGCCAGGGGACGTGCTTCCGCCAGGGGACGTGCTTCCGCCAGGGGACGTGCTTCCGCCAGGGGACGTGCTTCCGCCAGGGGACGTGCTTCCGCCAGGGGACGTGCTTCCGTCAGGGGACGTGCTTCCGCCAGGGGACGTGCTTCCGCCAGGGGACGTGCTTCCGCCAGGGCGTCGGCAGGGGTGGGGACTTCAGCAGCAGCAGCAGGGGCAGCGGCAGGGGAAGCGGCAGGGGCAGCGGTAGAAGCGGCTGCAGGAGGGAAAGCGCCGGCGGGGAGCGCTCGCGTGTAGCCTGGAGTTTCCGCCCATACAGCCCCCAAAGCTACAGACCCTACTAGAGGCTTAGGGGCTTCAGGGGCTTTAGGGGTTTCAGGCCCCACTGATAGACAACCGCCGGGTGGGGAAGCCTGAGCCTCAGAATGAGCATGAGCCTCGGAATGAGCCTGAGCCTCGGAATGAGCCTGAGGCTGGGGGAAGTTAAGATGAGCGGAAGGGCCGAGAAGCTTGAGTGCGGCGCGATCGTACGCCTTTGCAGCCTCTTCTGCTGTGCGGAAGGATCCGAGCCAGACGCGCGATGATTTGATGCGCGGATGCGCGATCTCCGCCACCCAGGAGCCCCACTTGCGCTGCCGCACTCCGCGGAAGCCGTGGCGCGCGTTGTCCGGGCCCCCGCGCGGAGCCTCGCGCGGAAGATCCATCGGGCGCGACCAGCGCGGCCGGCACATGTTGATATCCGGAATGTTGATAACGGGGATGTTGAAAACGGGGATGTTGAAAACGAAACCAGACGAGCCGCGTCGCCGCAGAAGTCACTTAGTAACGGTTAAGATCAACCAGCGCATAATAAGCAACGGCGAACCATACACGTGGAAACCCTGACGTCAGGGGGTGCTTGCCGAATTTAGAGGAGGGTAGGCGACGAAATTCACCGTAGGATTGTGATCTACACATCAGGTATAGTCGTCCTGGACTAGTGGTGGTGGTCCTCACCTAAGCTGCTTTCTCACCGCCATTTTCGAGCCTGATGTGATGTGTAGTGCACCAGGTGGACTACACCGGTGCACAACGGCGTGTAATCGAAGCTGCTTCCTCCACGCCATCTTCGAGCATTTGCGAGTTTCCAGTTAGGAAATTACGAAATTATCCTGACACGGAAACGGAAAATCTTGGGCAGCTCACATTCCCACGAAAAGGGAACAGCAGACTTGCGCCCATAATTGGATAAGAAGATTGCCGAGATCTGTATGAAAGTGTACTGCAGATTCTCCAATCGAAAGTGTATCTTAGATGTCCAGACGGGCTGGTTAAAGCCGGCAGCCCAAATTACACAACTTTTAAAAGCTTGACGCGAGGGGGTTTTTCTGGTCTGGGGTTTGGCGAACGTTATCGATTTCGGTTATTTCGCCCTGGGAGTTGGTTCAGTCCCCGAAAGTCCCAAATTGCAGGCGCGCTTTTTTTAAAACCTTGCAAACACTAGTTCGTCAAGTTTTAAAAGCTTGACCCGCGCGGCCCGCAATTTGGGCCGCGGGCTTTAAACAAAGCTGACGGTCGTCAAGTTCGATGTTTCGCAAAGATGCTTCACACATCTGCCTGAACACATCTGCCTTCTGAGCTCCCGCGTACATAATTAGGAAAACATCCGTATCATTCAGAAGCTGCTACGTTGTCTCTCTCCCCGAAAAGTACTTCACTTTGCTTCAGTTTCCGGTGCGGTCTCAGTAAGTGTTCTGGCAGCCATAGCAGCAGCAGCAGCCTCAACATCGAGCTTGCAGGCCTGCATGTACCAGATTTCCTTGGCATACTCGGCTCGGCAATCTTGTGGTATACAAATACGTACTCAATACAACTTAGCCAAAAGAGTACGGTATTGATGCAACTTAAACAATACCAATGCTTCCATCTAAGGCAGACGTATATTATGCCCATTGTTGGAGTAGGTCATCACAGCCACCGCATTCAGAACATGGTACAATATGCCTCCCACAAAAACAACCCCCCTTAGCTTCAACACTTTACGCTCAAGTTCAGTTGGCATTTTTAGCAGCCTTAGCAGCAGCAGCGGCCTCCACATCGAGCTTGCAGGCCTGCACGTGCCAGATGTCCTTGGCATACTCTGCAATCGTGCGATCACTGCTGAACTTGCTCATGCCTGCTGTGCTCAGAATGCTCATCTTTTCCCACTGTCCCTTGTTCCGCCATGTCTCATCCACCTTAGCCTGCAAGGGGGTGTGCACAGGGACCATTTAAAAAAGGGGTGAGCTGGGAAACTAGAGAGCCCAACTGCTCGTGCCTGCTGTGCTCAGAATGCTCATCTTCTTTCTCCCACTGAGCTTTGTCCTGCCGGCCTGCAAGGGGTGAAAGTGTGCAGAGTCGGACTGAAAGGTGCAAGCAGAGGTGAACACTCAGAGGGAGAGCTGGGAGCTGACTTCCAGATCAGCTTAGCGGCAATCGGTGGCAAGCTTGTGTGACAGACGGAAAGCAGCCAGATTAGAGGTCCTTGTGAAGCAACTGAAGGGGTCCTTCTGAAGCCATACATTCAAGCTGGAAGAGAGAAGGCAGAGGTGCGAGCGAATGAGGGTGTGGGGTGCACCCAGGCATGGAGGTAGGAGGGGAAGCCGTTGGCTAGGAGGTAGAAGTCTGCACCCATGGGCACGTTCAGGGACAGAGAGAAGTGTGCCAGGCTCCCTACTCCTGATTTACCAGCCTGAGGCAGAGATGCAAGCAAGAGCGTACCTGGGCCTGGAGGTAGGAGGGGAAGTCGTTGGCGAGCAGATAGAAGTCTCCACCCATGGGGCCGTCCAGCGACTGCACTAGCGGGGTGAAGTAGTCCACCCACCCAAACTGGCCGTTGCGGATCATGCTGGGGGGAGAAGCGCAGGGGAGAGAGGAGCGAGTGAAAAGAGAAGAGAGAGTAGAGGGGACTGAGCCAGTGGAAGAGGCAGGAATGCCTCGCAAGAGAGCTGGTCTCCTGGAAGGATGCGTTGCTTGGTGAGGTTGGAGGCGCTGTGGGTTAGAGAAATGGTGGGAAGGCAGAGAATGGAATGGCATGTAGGTGTAAGATGCGCAGGTAAGGCTTGTGTGATAAACCACTCATTAGATTTCCTGAATATATTTTAATGGCATTGTCTGAATGAGCCAGTTGGGCTTACTTGACAGCGTTGGTGAAGCGGCCGTCTGGGTTGTAGCCTGGCCGCTCGCGGCGCAGGCGGGAGACCTCATGCTCACGCACTCCAAAGATGAACTGGCAGCATGGGAAAGTAACACGTGGAGGGAGGAGGGTCAGAGGGGAGGAGAAGGTGACTTAGCGACTCAAGAAACCTTGTCCTTATGCACGCCAAAGATTAACTCGTGCCAGGGGGAGCGGTGGGGGGTCAGGAGATGACGGTTGGTGAGGAGAGGGAGAGAAGCATACCACGGTCCTTATTTCTGATTATTAACCGGATCAGTTTCACTTTCCTGTCTTGCCCCAGTATGACCTTGGCAACCCACAATATCCATCCAACCACCATGAACGCCCTACTCACAATCACCCCAAACCCACCAACCCAACCCAACCCACCATCACACGCAACCCACCCAACCCACCCAACCCACCATCACCCCCAACCCACCCAACCCACCATCACCCCCAACCCACCCATCCCATCACCACTCTTCACGCACCATGTTCTCCTCGCCAATCTCCTCCGCAATCTCCACGTTAGCGCCGTCCATGGTGCCGATGATGAGCCCCCCATTCATGGCGAACTTCATGTTGCTCGTGCCACTCGCCTCCGTGCCCGCCGTGCTGGAAGGGGGTAGAGGGTGCGGGTGTGGGGGAAGTGGGGTGGGGGGGGAGGGGGGAGGGCAGCACAGCACGATCAGCTGGAAGTCATTTCAAAAAAACGGTGGGGGGGAAGGTGAGTCGAACAGGGGGAACCAGTTGCAGATGGAACGAGGAGACAGGAGGGGAAGACTCGAGGGATGGGAGGCCTCATAACCGAGGTTGTTGAATCTTTTGAACAACACTCGGATACGATTTCCGCGGTAAATAGCACACCTAATGTGCTGCGAGAGGTCGCTGGCGGGGATGATGATCTCAGCGAGAGACACGTTGTAGTCGGGCAGGAAGACGAGCTTGAGCAGGTCGCCCACAGCCGGGTCGTTGTTGACCTTCTCCCCCACGGCGCTGATCAGCTTGATGATGCGCTTCGCCATCTCGTACCCCGGCGCTGCCTTGCCGCCCAGCAGCACCACCCGCGGCACCACCCGACACTTGTCCTCCGAGGACATGCGCTGGAGTGGAAAAGGCAGGGGAGGGGGTGAGTGTGGGAGAGAGGATGGGAGGGAGTAGATCAAAAGAATGTCTTCAGAAAACATGCGCTGGAGATCGCAGGGAAGAGGGCGACAGGTGAGTGGGGGAGTGAGGATGGGCGGGAAGGAAGCGGGGAAGAGGGGTGGGAGGCGGGAGAGGGGATGGGGGAGGGGAGGGGGAGGGAAAAGCGAAGACAAACCAATAAGGGGAAGTACTAGAGTGCGCAAGAAGCATTTTTTCTGGTCTTTCTGCATGACAGCCCTGGTGTTCAGCTGTGGATTCAAAGAGTCGCATAGTCTGGACTTTCTGTATAGTCCTTTTGCATCTCGTCGTCGCAAGGGACGTACCTTGATCTCTTCGTAGCGGTGGATGACAGAGAGCACGTTGAGCAGCTGCCTCTTGTACTCGTGAATGCGCTTCACTTGAATGTCAAACAGCGCCTCCGTGCTCACCTGCTCGCATTGCCACACGCCACGCCACGCCAACATGCCATGTCATGACATCCCCATGCGCCAGCAACATGCCATACAATGTTAAAAAAATGCCATCCGTGACGCACAAGACCCCACACACATATCACCGAATTCTGTGAATAAGCGATTACCAGAGTACCCGTGATTCCCTCTTGACAAAATGGGTGCAGCTGGACGGGGTGCACGTTGACAGCAAAGACGGCAAGAGCAGAAAGAGGAGCAAGGGCAGCAGGAGGAGCAAAAACAGCAAGAGAAGCAAGTGCAGAAAGGACGCAGCAGCAGAAGCAGCAGCAGCAGCAGCAGCAGCAGCAGCAGCAGCACGCACCTTGACACCGGTGAGCTTGAGAATGACGTCAGCGAGCTTCTGCTTGTTCTGCTGCTTCACCTGCAGATGACGGTACACAATACAGGACATCCAGGCAGAAAGCGTGAGATGGGAGAGGAGTTAGTGCGTGAGGGGAGTTACTGCACGAACCTTGTGCATAAGGATCCCTCAGCATGAAGACACCACTCCATATCAAATTGCATCTCAGCTCAACGAACCACCACAGCACAGCAGGGACATGTGCAGCGCACCTCTCTCCAGCGCTTCTGGAAGCCGGCGTCCTCCGCCCTGCCCCTGAGCGCCTTTATCTTCTCCAAACCCGACACCCAGTCGTCCGACCCCACCACCTCGTCCGCCAGAGGTGACTTTTGAGTCAACTTAAAAGCCACCACACCCCAGCAAGGCCATGTGGCTCGCCGCTTACCTCTCTCCAGCGCTTCTGGAAGGCAGCGTCTTCCGCCTTGTTCCTGAGCGCCCTGATCTTCTCCAGGTCCGACACCCAGTCGTCCGACCCCACCACCTCGTCCGCCAGCTCGCGCAGCCCCGGGTTGCAGAACGCCAGCCAGCGCCGCTGTGGGAGAGCGCGAGGGGCGTAGGGTAGGGTTTAGGGTTGAATGAGCAGGGCGCGCGTTAAGTTTAGATGCCAAGGGGGGTGGGGCTGAAGAGCGGCGGCCAGCAACGTTGCACAAAGTGTGAGGGGCTACATAGGCCAATGGAGGACACATGTTGGATGGACATAGGATGTCAATGGCAGGGTGGTGTAGATCCATGGGGAAGGGTTGTCAGAGCAACTGACCTGGGTGACTCCATTTGTCTTGTTCTGGAACTTGTGGGGCCAGAGCTCATAGAATTCCTGCAGAACGAGTTGGGCAGGGACAGAGCAGGGGAGAAAGCATGGGCAACGAGCAGGGGACGGGGCAGGGGAAGTAACATGGGAACGAGCAGGGGGCGGAGCAGGGGACGGAGAAGGGGAACGAGCAGGGGAAAGAGCAGGGGACAGAGGCAGCAAGATTGCATGCAATCCCGTGTAATAGAGACACATTGGGAATCCGTCACAACGCAGAAGGGGTTTGACAACAGCGCGAGGAAAGGGTTGATAATTGAGACAGCGAGTCATGTGCTGGTTTGAACGGGTGCTGGTTTCGACGGGTGGTCGTACCTTGAAAATGGTTTGCTTGATGAGCTCCGAGTGAATGGCCGCCACGCCGTTGACAGACTCCGACGCCACGATCGCCAGATTCGCCATGCGCACGTTCTGCCATTCGAGCGGCGAGGGAGGGAGGGAACGATCACAATTGCCAAATTCGCCATTTGCACGTTCTGGCATTCGAGCAGCAATGGACGAAAAGTCACTCAATGACGCATTTGCAGCGAACATCTCAACAGCGCAACAGTCATCCTCTCAACACTCGCTTGGAACACCTGAACCTCCGCTCTATTCTCAAGCTCTGCTCCTCTCAACCGCATCACACCTCGACCTGTCACTCTCAACCGCGTCACACACCTTGACATCGCCCTCCTCGATGATGGACATGCGCGACGAGCGCGAGAAGTCGTCGCCAAAGCGCGCCTTCACCATCTGCATGAACTCAAAGTTGATCTGGTAGATAATCTGCGCAATGGACCACACAGCCAAAGCGCACAACGAAACGGCCGAGTCAGCAAAGCCACCTAAACGAAGATGGCATCCGCAGACAAGTGCATTACTGAAAAACGGCTTTCCAACATAGCAGCACCCAGTCAGCCCTCCAAGTGAATTCGATCAGACTCTCCCCCTCCCCCTCCCCCTCCCCCTCCCCCTCCCCATCCCTCACCTGCATGTGGCGGGGCAGCAGGCTCTCCATGAGGCTGACGGGCCACTTCTCGAGGGCTTCGGGCAGCACGGTGTGGTTGGTGAAGGCGAACACCTTCTGCGTGATCTGCCACGACAGCGTCCACCCCAGCCCCTCCTCGTCCATCAGCAGCCGCATCAGCTCCGCCACGCTGATCGTCGGATGCGTGTCGTTCAGCTGCATCGCCGCCTGGTGAAGGTGGGGGGAGGTGGTGTAGGAAGCGGGGGTGGACGGAAATAAGGGGGAAAGAGGAGTTTTGAGTCGACTCAAAGCTCCGCCACGCTGATCGTCGGATGCGTGTCGTTCAGCTGCATCGCCGCCTGGTGATGGCGCGAACAACGTGGTGGGGGGGGAAGGCGTGGTGCGGGAAGCGGGGGGGAGTGGTGTGGTGTGGGAACGGGGTGGGGGAAAGGGGAGAGGGGGAGGAAAGAGGGAGGGGGGAGGAGAGAGGGATGTGGGTGGGGAAGCGAGGAGCGGCGGGAAGAGCAGGAGAGTAGAGGTTAGCAGCGGGAAGGTTCAACACCTCGCACATGTAACACCAGCGTCCCAAGCTTGGAAACGGAAAGGCACAAATGACGTGTCAAGCCAGGGCGACGTGGACGAACCTTCTCGGGGAGCTTGGTGAAGTCGGTTTCGGTCCTCTTGAAGCGGCGGATGATGTCCTGCAGCGAGGCGGACACCATGAAGAACTGCTGCTTCAGCCGCAGCTCCTTGCCCTGCGGCTTGCGGTCGTCGGGGTACAGCACGCTGCTGATCGACTCCGCGCGCTGCCTGCAGGACGATAGTGGTTCGGCAGGGCGGTACAGCAATAGGATTTAGAAGAGAGAGGTTGGAGAGGAATGACGGAATGAGGATCAGACGATTCGAGGATGGAGGGGGGGGGGCGAGGCAGCTGAACTAGGAAGATCACATTTCGTGAACAAGATGCACATGATGCAGGAGAGGGGACCTACTTGGAGAGAATGGCAGCGACATAGTCGCCCGTGTTGAAGGACTGCAGATCGAACTCCGTGGAGGGCTTGCCAGCCCACAGGCGCAGGTTGATAGTGTTGTTGGTGCCGTAGCCGGGCACTGGGTTGTCGTACGCCACAGCTTGAACCTACAACCACGATCAGGGAGGGGATGGTGAGACGTTGAGGTTATTCAAGTTGCTGGACGGAAACATCAGAGTAAACGGTGGGTTGCGAGTGAGGCAGTAGAGGGTGTACCTGCTCCCCGGGAACCCAGTTGAAGCGCTGGTAGCCCCTGCTGTCCGTGTACTGCTCCACGTGGCCGTAGAACTGCCCACCACGGAACGAAAATCATGTGAGATTGCGGCAACGTGTTGATGAGAAATCTGAAGACAGGCGCAGACTGTCACTAACTAGTCCCGTGCTTGATCTGATCATGGCAACAATGTAAAGCCAGAACCAATTTCGAGCCAGATTTGAAGCTCTACATTTCCATTTCTGCTAATCCTTGGAATTATTGTTTCATTGTTCCACTACTACCCGTTCCCGACCTTTGCACTCGTCAGTGATTCAGCTCACCTTCACAGTGTACGAAATGTTAGTCCGTTCAATCTCCCTGCACAGCACAGAACGCATACACAACACCAAATGGTAGCTGAGATCCGCGAAGTCGCGACAGCGCAAATAAATCGGTAGCTTGGATGTGATCCTGGAAACGAAACTTGGTTCGCGGGACGATGCTGGGCGTACCAAGGATTGCCGAAGGTAAGCCAGTAGTCGGGCTGCTCGTGCTGGAACCCATTCTCAAGGGTCTGACGGAACATGCCGTACTGGTAGCGAATGCCGTACCTGCACAATCCGAACAAGACCAATGTTACCTCCAGACATTCTGCTGAAATTACTAAAACTATCATATGAAAAAACGTCACCGAATGCAGTGGAATAAAAGCCATTAGTTTATGTCAGGGAGATCAGGCGCGTACCCCCATCCGGGAAGGTCGAGGGTGGCAATGCTGTCAAGGAAGCAGGCTGCGAGCCTGCAAAACAACGCGGGAGAGAAGCATGAGTGAAACTCTTGCACGAAGTTTGTCGGTTTGCGTACGAATGCAACAGGATCCTAGTACTGAGAATGTCAGCAGCTCTTTACCTTCCAAGACCGCCGTTGCCAAGTGCAGCATCACGCTCCTGCTCCACAACATCTTCCAGTTTGTACCCAAGCTGCGCATTAAAAAACCGACAAACATTATAGCAAACGTCAAGGCTTCAGAACAGAAGGACCACAGGATGAAATCTCGCATGTGCGAGATTTAAGTTACGGTACCTGTGAGAGAGCCTGGGCGTAGACATCGTGCAGGTTGAGATTGTAGAGGCTGTTGAGCAGCGACCGGCCTGTACAAATAAAAAGAAGTCGACAGAAAGTCAGTAGAGCTCCCGACCGGGTTATTTCTCTTTGTTTTCATTATTAATGTTATCATTGACTGCGCGTACCCATGAGGAATTCCATGGAGAGGTAGTAGACACGCTTGGGGTCAGCAGCACGGAAGTGCTCGTTGGTGTCATTCCAGCTCTCGATCAGGCGATCCCTCACGCTGTGCGCCACTGCTTGATAGCACTCATACGAGTCGAAACTGCCAGACAGAGAAAAGTTAAAAGATAAAATAAGACGTATCAGGTCGCTGGATCGTTAAAACTCCTGCTGAATGCGACAAGTGGTGTTCCTGCTGCTGCAGCTAGACCAGGATTCAAGTTTTGCGGATTTCACGTACTGGTGGCGATCGCGGGCGAGAGTGTATTCGACGTGGTTCACGATGCTCTCCTGGATGGAGAGCACGTCGTTGCTCAGATACACGTCCTTGAGCCGCTTCCGGAGGTCCACTGCAGGGCTCCCAACCTGCACCGCGGAGGGACGCACGGCTGGCGGAGACGCCACGGGGACGGCCAGAACCTCGAGAGCCTTCTTTAGGATCTGTTCGGACACGCGGGAAGCCACAAACATTGCAATGGATTAAGCACTGTTTGGAGCGGCAATGCTAACAAACTTGGACGTTTTTAGGCAAAGCATGCTCGAAGACAACTCAGGATGTGGTGCAGTATGTGACATTTATGATCTTTCATTCTTACATTGAGTTCAGCCGGATCTTCGATCTTGTTGCCAGCAGCGTTCTGGACGTAGAAGGTATCCAGAACTGCATCATCAGCAGTACCCACCAGAGCCCTCACCACCTGAACGTTCAGATCCCTGTAAAAAACGCCACACGTAAGGTTTCCCTCGTTTCTTTTCGTATCGGCGAGAGACGAGCTTTTTAAGAGCATTTCACACTCACATACCTGAAGACTGAGGTGACACGATTCAACAGGCCAGGCTGGTTCAGAGCAGACAGCTTGACAACGGTCCATTGAGGCTCGGAGTTGTCAATCTCAATGGTAACGGATGCTGTTTCGGCAGCAGGAATCCCGTCAGCGACTGTAGCAGTCACTTTGAGGGATTTCCGAGCATTGGATGTTCCGGCTGAGACGGAAGAGACAGAAACGCGGTTTCCGAAAAACGGGCTCTTTTTTGGGATAGCAACGCTAGAGACTGCTCCGTGCTGCTTGGTCTGAGCTGCGATCGATCCAGCAACGGCTGCTACTTGGGGTACGCGGGTCGGATTAGCAATGGCTTCCATCTCGGCGAAGGACGCGAAAGCAACGAATACTATTCCGGACTTACACAAGATCTAGGGGGAATTTTACCAAGCGCCACGACTTACTACAAAGAAACCAACAGATGAATGGCAGACACAAGCAAGCCCTGGAACAGGATTCAGAAGCTCCTGGTTTGGAGCAGTAGGGAATGAGCAACAACCAAGGCAGATTTGAAAACGGGATGAGCTGGCCTAGAAGGGGGAATGATGGGATGGGATGGGATGGTAGCCTTGGGATGCTCATTGCATTGCAACCTTGAGATTTGCTTTCGAAAGTTCGGTTGAAAGGGATGCAGAGACGTTTTTCAGGAATAAGGACTAAAAGCTGTTCTCGAGGAGTAACTTCTTTGACCAATGCGAGCTCAAGCGTAAATGACGGTGCAAATGAAGCGATGTACAGCAATCATGCCTCGCCGCGTCAGCTGCCACAGCTCCTGATATTTTGCGTTTCAGCCTCTAGCCTTTCCCATTCTCCATATAAATGGGGGAATCGCCAGCTTGCCTGGAGAAATGCGCGCCGAATCTGGGTTACGGCGTGCCAGAGTGTGCGACAGCAAAATGCCTCGATTCGAGCATTGCTTATGGCGAGGGAAGTGTGCGGGATGACCTGGAAGGGGCCTCGGCACGTGCCCCTTATGTGTGAGATTGCCAGCCATTATGGCCAAAACGTCGCTCTGAACACTTCAAGAACTTCTGCCATCCAGATGCTATGAATATAGTTTCTGATGAATCAAAAGTTGCAACAGCATTTGATTCTTTGGATTGTGGTTCATTATTTATAGCATTGCAAACGCGGAGGCATATAATTTGATTAACCCTGTGAGCATAATGATTTATTTAGAAGTAGATTTTAACCACACGACTTAGTCACACACCACTCTCAATCACAACCTACCATACAGATCCTACAAGTTGCATGTCAGAAGTTAGTGCTACAAGATGTTAACTCATTTTCACCCTAGATCTCAAGAAGCTACCAAAGCAACCAATTTTTATTGCGAAAGCTCTGCGTTTCAATGAATACTTCACTGCTGTGCCATGTGGCACATCAAGACCCCTTCCTTGTCACACCTCACAAAATAAAATCCCATGTGCCTGCAAACCATTCCACCTGACGCTGCTCCCCCCATCCCATGCAGCAGCAGCACCATGCCAACCCCAACACGCACTGCACCTAACATGCCATGCCTCACCAATCCCCCAGACAATGCCCCTCTCATGCACTTGCTCCTGTGCCACTGGGCCCAGACATACCCGCACCCATCCCCCCACCAATCCCCCCACCCATGCCCCCACCCATCCCCCCACCTGCTGCTGCCCCATCCCCTACAGCAGCACCACCATGCCACCCCAGCGCCCACATCCCGGCCGCTGCTGCCGCCGCCGCCGCCGCCGCTGCAGCCGCAGCTTCATGCCCCGCCATTGTTGCTGGCGCTCCGGCCACCGTTCCCCCTACCCCCGCCGCCCCTCCCCCTGCTGCTGCTGACGTGGCAGCTGACACGTCAGCTGCTCCCGCCCCTCTCATTCGCTTCTGCAGATGATCCAGGCTCGAAACCCGCTGCAGACTGCCTGATCGCTCTATCTTTCCGCCCGCGCTTTCAGTGGGCTCTGCAGCAGGACCCCCAGCGCCACCCCCTGATGCTCCCCCCCCTGCTCCTCCTCCGTTGCTCCCCTCTCTCACTCCTGGTGCTGGTGACCCGGCCCCTCCCCCTCCTCCTCCCCCTCCTGCTGCTGTCCCACCTGGTACGAATCCTCCTCCTGCTCCTCCTTCTGCTCCTGCTCCTCCTGCTGATGCACCTGCGCCTGCAGCTGCTGCTACAGCAGCGGCATAAGCAGCATGGGCAGCAGCAGCAGAGGACGACCCAGGAGCACCAGGCATCGCCCCTCCCATGCCTCCCGAACCATCCCCTCCAGGTACGGCACCAGGCATCGCCCCCACCATACCTGCCGGCACCATACCTGCCTGCATCATCCCATACACGTTTGGGTCCATGCCTGGCGTGAATCCGAGGCCCGGCAAGAGGTTCGGGTGCATGCCAGATGGCGGAGCCCCATTGGCTTGGTTCGGATCAAGGGAGAGAGAGGCAGCATGGGCGGCGTGAGAGGCATGAGAGGCCTGGGCGGCCTGGGCGGCCTGGGCGGCATGGGCAGCCTCGGCGGCATGGGCATGGGCGGCATGAGAAGCCTGGGCGGCGTGGGCGGCGGCGTGTGGAGGGAGGGAGTAAGGCGCCGGTGGAGGTTGGGATGCACGGTGGGGGCGGGGATAGTATGGAAGATCGATGGGCGAGGGGTATGGCATGGCAGCAGCAGCGGCGGCGGCAGCGGCGGCGGAAGCTGCGTCGTGGCGGAACGCCATTGGCTGGTGGTACATGTACTGTGCCATGTGGGCGACCCGACCCACCATCTCCTCTGCCATTTTCACCTGTGAGGGACAAAAGGAAAGTGAGGCACACGCAGGCACACAAAATTTCGGAATTTAGAAACCCAGCGTTTTCTCTGCCAACTTCACCTGTGAAGGACGAAAACGAAGGGACACACACACACACACACAGAGGCACAGGCACACGTGCATGCATGCACACATGTACACGCCTGCATGAACACGCACACAGAAAGGCAAACAGTGTGTAAAAAGAACCATATCTGACATACGCCACACGTAGCCACCCAACTTCACTCACGCTTCTGATACATTCAACATTCCCAAACCCTAAACCAGCCCGACCCCAAGCCACTCCCTACCTTGGCTCGAAGCGCCTCCATGTCGGATTTCAGCACGCGGTTATCAACAGCCGCCTCGTTGTATTTGCGCCCAATCTCCCCCAGATGACTTTTGAGTTGACTTGAGTTGACTCGACTCAAAAGTTGCTCCCTACCTGGTCCAAAGCCTCTCCCTACCTTGGCGCGCAGTGCCTCCACGTCGGATTTCAGCACGCGGTTATCAACCGCCGCCTCGTTGTATTTGCGCCCAATCTCCCCCAGCCGGCTCGCAAGGCTCGCGTTCTCCGCCTGCAGCTGATGCACGTGCCCCTCCAGGTCGCTCACATGCGCCTGCTTGCGCCTCCGCGACCGCCGCGCCGACTCGCGGTTCGACAGCATGCGCTTCACCTTCTTAATCTCCCCCGGGTCCGTCAGGTGTTCTAAGGAGGCGACTAACTCGTACTCGCCTTCGGACCGCGCGCCCTCGCCGTCGGATCGCGGCTCTTCGGATGCCTCGCGGGAGGAAAGCCCGCGCGCGGACCCTGCTGCTGCTGCTCCCCCTCCTCCTCTTCCTCCGCCGGCTGCCCCCCCTGCTGCTGTAGCGCCTGAAACTCCGTGGGTTGCGGGTCTGTGAGCGGGCGGATGGGCCTGAAAGCCACGACGGGGAGGGCTCGTTATGGCTGCTGCTCTTCTCCCCGCACCGCCTCCGCCGCCTCCGCTTGCGGCTGCTGCCGTGCCGCCCGGCGCGAGAACCGTGCTGGGCGCCGCGGGCGGCGGGGAGAAGCCAGATGCCGATCCCGCGCCGACAGGTGCCGCAAACCCCGCGGGAGCAGAGGCCGCTGAGCCGCCGTCGCCGCCGCCGTCACCAGCTACAGCGCCCGCCTCCGTTTCCGTCCGCGCCCCTGCCCCCGCTTCGCCCCCAGAGGCCCTCCCTAACCCGCTGAGCCCAAGCCGCTGTTGTTCCCCGCTTGCATCTCCGCCCGTCTTCCCCGCGCCATCTCCACTTCCTGCTCCCGCCCCCCCTCCTGCGCCCGCTCCCGCCGCGCCACCAGCGCCTTCCGCTCCGCCGTCTAAGCCACGATAGTACGACGCGAGATTAAGCTTCGAGGGACTGTCTCCTAGCAGCTTATCGAGACTCGAAACCTGGCTTAGACCCGGAATTAACGGGTTCATTCCAGGCGGACCCATACCGGACGCGCCAGCGGCACTCCCGCCGCCAATTTCTGCGGCTCCTGCGGCGCCTAATGCTCCCACTCCGGTTAGGCCCTGCTCCTTAACGAATTCGTGAAAGGCCCATTCCGAGGAGCTGCGGTTCATACGGTGGAACGAGCCTGTACGCGGTATAGGACGTTGTAACTCGCTACCGCCACCGCCCCCTCCGTTCACACCGGGCGGATGGCCGGGGAAGGGGACCCCGGGGGGGAGCATAGAGGGAGGGGGGAACATTCCGCCGGTTGCTGCGGCTGCGGCGGCGGCGGAAGCCGCCGCAGCCGCATCCCCCTGTGCGTCGACTTTCCAAAACGTGCCGAGAATATCGTCTACTGAGAATACACGCTCCATCGTTTATGTAAGCCTCTGACAAAGCTAGTCCACGTGGCCCGCAAATTAACTACCGTTCACCAGATTCGGCAATTCTTTTTTCAATTCCCGAGATTCTAATGCGGTCACTTTAGAAAACGTACCCCAGGCGTGTGTCGAGCTGATCAGTCAACTTGAAAACGGCGGCTTGGAGGCTCGAGACGAAAAGGTAAAAGGACTGGTTCTAGTGACGAGGCGAGTTCGAAAAAGGTCGAGCTTAGCTCAGCGGGAGGGCAGGACAGCGAAGAGCGAGGGGGGGAGGGAGAGCGGGTGACGGAGCGTGCGCTGGTCTTGACTCATGCCAGCCACAACCCAAACCCAAAAGCAGCGGTGCCTCCTGAAGGTCGCGAAATTCCCTTTTGCGCTGTACTGCTGCCGGTGCACTGCAGCATTGGGCGCAACCGCACCTGGCGGAAGCGCAAGAATTCGAGGCGAGCGCGCATAGAAACAACCGGCGTGCGGGGAGGAGTTGATTTGATGGCTTCTGAATCAACACGACTTTCCGCGGATAGGCGGAAGGGGATTTCTGTTTGCGGTGGCCCTCTGGCCTTGATGTTGGAGCAGCTCGATGCGGTGCGGGTGGATGAGAAAAGTCGAGGCGTGAATGACGAACGCAAACATGACGTGGAATCTCGTCTAACCAGCTATGATTCTGGCACAGCGAAAGGTATGGATAGCTTCTCGCCACCCGTACTCAAGTGATGCTGCCACGTGCCAAGTACGGTTGGGCTCACGACAGCGTGCCGCGAAAGCGAACTGCAATAGCTGCGTCGTCAAACCAGCAAGTACCTCAAAATTGGATGTAATTTGCGAATAGGGTATTTGAGGGTAACGTTCTCGCGAACCACGAATTTCGAGCCCAGGCTCGGCAGCAAGCTGAACCAGCGGAGTCACCACGAGGACCGTCAGCGATGGCGTCAAATGATGTGGCGCTGGATAAGGTGGGTCCGTGGCAAAGTGCTAAGGCGACGCGACACGCCAACCGAGCAAATCCCCAAGATCCCCGACGGATCAAGAAAGTCTCCCCTAATATTCAGGCTCCACGCCGATCTGCTTAGGCAAACAAGGCGACTTTAAAGAGCCCCTCTCCATATGTACACCATATAAATAAACAATAAAACATCTGTAGTCCTCGCATTGCACACAAAATCATTTGGTCCCCACAAGAAGATTGTTTTCTCTTTTTGCACAAACGCCACAACACAATTGCTTTGCTGATGGTTGAAAACAGCAAAAAAAATCGTACCAAGCCATATATCACACAAGCTCAAGCATTCGGGTGAAAGATGCTTTGGTGAACACTACAGTAACCACACCAGAGTACGCAGTCTTCTTTTCAGTAACGGCTGCCGGTCTTGCGGTGGTGCAGTGCTGTGAGGGTCTTTTCGTCCTGTTAGCAGGTCGGGCAGGAAGATATGGTGGAATATGAATCAAAATGCCCGCAAAATGCGAAGGAGTGAAGGTAAGGGGGCATTGCAAGCAACCAGCTGGTCACAGCACTGCAGGGGTGAGAGATGCATATGAGACGTATCAAGACTCGAGAGAGAAGAAACACCGTAACAAGTTAGAGCTGCAACCACATGTGCACAACATGTGATTACAGGGAATGGACATGGCCTGCATTGCTATGCCCTTTCGAGAGAGAAGAGCTTAAAAGGAGGGGAAAAGGAGAGAGAAGCTATTGGCAGTGAGAAAGAGGTTGGCAGCTTGAGTGAGTGTGGGCGGAGCAGGAGAGAGTGAGGGAGAGAGGGGCAGCTAAGGGAGGGAGAGGGGCACCTAAGGGAGGGAGAAGGAGAGGCAGGTGCAAAGGCAAGGGAGAGGGACTGACCATGACGTCGCCTGAATCGACGGTGGCGTAGACAACCCAGTGGTCGCCCGTCTCCATGCGCGTTTGCACCGTGCACTCCATGTAGGAGATCTGATGGGCAATTGTGTATGACGCACAGGGTGGATGAGAGGGATGGGAACTTGTGAACATACATGTGCATCGGCACTGTGTGCACTCCATGTAGGAGATCTGATGGGGAATTGGGAGTGATGCGGGGTTGGGTGGGAGGAGACAGCGAGAGGGATGGGAACTTGTTGACATGTGTGCTTGCTTGCACCTTGCGCTCCACCACGTATGAGATTTGATGCGCAATTGGAAAGAAAGGAAGAGAGTGGAAGGGGGAACTTGGTTCACACGTGTGTTCGCACGTCCATTCAAGGGACATCTGCTATGGGAGCAGTTGGGAAAGCACAGGGACTCTGGAACAACATAAACCACAGTGATGCTGCTGCTGCCGAGGGATAAGAGCTCCTGACTCAAAAGCACATTCAGCGAACAAGATGGGGAATCACCAGGCATCCCATGCCCTCCAGGCATCCCATGCCCTCCAGGCATCCCATGCCCTACAGGCATCACCGGGCATCCCACGCACGTACCGCGTCAGCCAGGATGGTGGCGCCGTTGCTGGCCTGCTTGGTCGGGAGATCGCCGAACCTGGGCTCCCCGGGCTGGAACGGCTTGAGAAGCTGCTTGGAAACTGCGCCCACGTTCTTCTCCCCGAGCACGCTCAGAGCGAATTTGCCGCCCACCAGCACCAGCGACTCGAGCGCCCTCTCCTTTGCCACCTGCAGAAAGAGGTGAGAGGAGAGCATAGAGAGAGGTACAAGTGGTGAGGAGGGGAGCGCATTGCTCAGGCGAACTTGCCCCCCACCAGAACAAGAGGCTCAAGCGCCCTCTCCTTGGCCACCTGGAGGGGTGGGGGGAGGTGGTAAAGGGGGGGAGAAAGGGGGAGCATAGAGAGCGGTGCAGGTGACGAGGAAGGGAGAAAAAAGGCGTGGGGAAGGTTAGGAAAAGGTGCAGGGGGGGTGCATGAGGGGTTGCAGGAGGGGTTGACTGAAAAATGGGGGAGAGCAAAACGTGAGTGGACAAGGGAGGTGGAGAAGGTAGGAACATGGCACGATCTGGGCATCACACGATGAGCGCATGACATTGCAGATACGAAAGACACGGCAGGGGTATGGCATGGCGACTTGGGGGCATGGCATGGCATGGCTTGGCATGGCATGGCATGGCATGGCATGGCATGGCATGGCATGGCATGGCATGGCATGGCATGGCATGGGAGGAGGGGCTCACAGCAACGGTGACGCCAGGCGGGTTGAAAGAGGCCTGTGAGACCCACGAGGCGAGCATGGCGCTCTGAGCGTCACCGTCGCCACTGATGGCTGATACCACACACAGCGACCCCACCACCCGCCCCACCGCCTGCCACACAAGAGGGAGTGGGAGGGAATGGAGGGGATGGCGGAATAGAGGGGAGTGAGGGCAATTTGCACGAAATCCAAGGGGTTTGAAGGACGGAGTGAGAATGATTGTGCACTACAAGCAGCACAACGGAACGCAGCACTACAAGCAGCAAGCAAGGCGCTCTGAACGTCACCGTCGCCACTGATGGCTGACATGACACGACACACAACGGCCCCACCAACCGCCCCACAGGGTGGATCAATACGTTATGCAACTTTGCAACCTGCCTCACTTTATCGCAACAACCCACCTGCTCCACTCCAGACCCAGACGCTACAGCTGACTTGGCCGATGTGCTGCGCTGCTTGGCCTTGCCCTTGCGGATCTGAGCGCGGTGGAGGGAGAGGCGGGGGGGTGGAGAGTGGTGGAGGGAGGTAGAGAAAGCTGAAGACGCAAGGATGCTAAGAGTGGAGAGGAATGCATAGAACAGTGAGGAATGCAGAGAAAATTGTGGCATTCACGATACAGTTTAGGAACCTTTCAGAAGTGTGGGGCAGTGTGGGGAAGTGTGGGGCAGTGTGGGCAGTGCGGGCAGTGTGGGGCAGTGTGGGGCAGTGTGGGCAGTGCGGGCAGTGTGGGGCAGTGTGGGCAGTGCGGGCAGTGCGGGCAGTGTGGGGCAGTGTGGGGCAGTGTGGGCAGTTCGGCAGTGCTGACAGTGCGGGCAGTGTGCGGGCAGTGCTGACAGTGCGGGCAGTTGTGTGGGCAGTGTGGTGCGACCTCTCACCTCTCTGGCGAGGTCTCGGCCACTCTCTTCACAGATCTGCAGCATGCCCTCCGTTGGCTGGCACCCACGGGGAGAGAGAGAAAGAGAGAGAGAGATGGAACACAAGAAAGAGGGTGGACGGGTGAGACGTGGGGGATGGGATGGGAGAGATAAGGGTGGGAAGGGAGAGACGGGACAGCAGGTACGACGGGAGGAAGGGTCTCAGTAGGAAAGGAGAAGATGTGCGGACCTGGAAAAGTCATTCAGAACCTTCGCTGTTATCTCTCCTCACCTTGAACTTGCAGCGGATGGGAGGGAATCCAAAGGAAAACCCTCCATCCTTCAACAGCTGTTCCATCTCATCCACCGCCTCCCCGCTCCACCCAAACGACCCAAACACGCCCGTGGGCTTGCCCTTGGCGGCGGACTCGTTGAGAATGACGCCCAGCGCCTCCTTCATGGGCGTGGGCATGTGGCCGCCCAGTGTGGGGCTGCCACACACGAAGCCGCAGCAGCGCTGGATGGCTGACTTGAGCTCAGCTACGGACGCCATTTCGCAGTTGATTGTCTCCACTCCCACGCCCGCTCGCAGCAACCCACGGCTGGGCCAGTGTGGGGAAAAGGACAAGGGGGAGGGGAGGGGGCGTGGGGTGGGGAGGGGGGGAGGAGGGGTGGGGAGGAGGGTAAGGGTTGGGTGTTCGGGATGAAGGAACAGTTTCTTAGAGACAACACGACCCGAAGCCGCAGCAGCGCTGGATGGCGGACTTGAGCTCGGCCACTGACGCCATCTCACAGTTTATGGTTTCCACTCCCACGCCCGCCCGCAGCAACCCACGACTGGCGCCAGGGGAGGGAACAGGGCAAGGGGGATGGGATGGGGCGTGGGGCGGGACCGGGGGACGGAGGGGAGGGGGCGGCGGAGAGGGGAGAGTGGGGTGGGTAGGGTAAGGTTTGGGTGTTTGGGCTGAAGGGAACAGTTCCTTGGGTGCCTCACAACGCGAAGCCGCAGCAGCGCTGGATGGGGGACTTGAGCTCAGCGACTGACTGATACCATCTCACAGTTGATTTTCTCCACTCCCACGCCCGCTCGCAGCAACCCACGACTGGGGCAACAAGTTTGGGGGGGGAAGGAGGGAAAGGAGGGGGCCGGGGGGAGGGGAGGGAAGGAGGGAAGTAGGAGGTCATGGACGTGTCACGTGTGGCATCTAGCAGACACCCACGACCATGGGGAATACGGGCATGAAGGTACAAGTAAGGGGGAAAAGGCAGGCAAAGGGAGGGGGATTTGGGGGGAGAAGGGCAGAGGTGACGTGTCACCTGATGAGCTCGAGTGAGGAGAGGGCGGTGTTACCTGATGGGCTTGTGCTGTGCAAAGGTGAAGGGGGGGGGTTGTACCTGATAGCCTGAGCGAGAGCGGAGGTGTTGCCATAGGCTGATGCATAGAACACGGCTACTGTGGCCTCCTCCGCCTGCTTGATCTTCTCGTCCGTCCACTGGTGGGGGGAAAGATGAAAAGAAATTGGCTCAGGAGTTAAGATAGGTGGGGAAAAAAAGGCCACGGGTCAACAAAGGTTGGAAGAAGGCTAGAAGAAGGAGCAAGCAGGATCAGAGAGCGGCTCCCCCTCATCCATCCATGCCACTGCACTCTTCCTAGCGCCCTTGGTAACCTTCCCCTTACCTTCTTACCACCTTTACTGAACCCGCACGAGCCACGTACCGTCTTGTACTCGCGCACGAGCTCGGTCACGCTGTTCCGGACTATGGGGCCATGCAGGGGGCAGATGGCTGCCGTCACCAGCGGCTCGCCCCCATCCCCCCCCCCCCCCCCCCCCAACACCGCGCCCTCCTAGCGCCCTGAACAACCCCCTCCCTACCTTCTTACTGCCCCAAACACCCCCTACGCACCATCCTGTACTAGCCCCCCCGCTACTACCAGCAGCGTGCCCTTCCCCTAAATAACCCCAACGCACGATTTTGTACTCGCGGACGAGCTCAGTCACACTGTTCCGGATAATTGGGCCGTGAAGGGGGCAGATGGCCGCTGTTACCAGCGGCTCTCCCTCCACCCCCGGCACGGCGCCCTTCCTACCGCCCTGCCCCTAGCGTCCAGAACAACCCTGCTCTACCTTCTTACCACCCCTACTGTCCGAGCCCAAACCTCCAACTCACAATCTTGTACTCGCGGACGAGCTCGGTGACGCTGTTGCGGATGATAGGGCCGTGCAGGGGGCAGATGGCTGCTGTCACTAGCGGCTCGCCCCCAACTCCCGGCACAACGCCCTTCTTATCGCTGCCCACTTTGAGGCGCAGGTTGGCCGCCGTGTTGATGTCCAGGTTGAGGGCGGAGAGGAGGCGCGAGAAGATGAACCCCACGTCCGCCTGGTGGGGGCAAGGGAGGTATTGTGGTGGTGGTGGTGGTGGAAGGGGCGAGGGTGGAGCGTAGGAGAATGGTACACACCAGCAGGCATGATGAGTCTATAAGGGTTCGTGAGGAGCCGTGACGGAGGGGGAAAACGAGAGGGGGTGGAGGAAAATGTGGAATCTGAGTCGACTCAGAAGCCGGAGAGACAGGCATACCAGCTTAAGTGCAACGGTGCGATGTAGCACCGTGGTTACCAGGTCCAGCTGACCCGTAACAAGAAGATGTAACACGGTGTGGTAACCAGCTCACCTTGACGACGTCCAGGCTTGTCTTGCCGGCGTAGCAGGGGGGGGCGAACTGCGCCACCACTGGGAGCTTCTTGAGAGAGAGCCACGTGTGCTTTAACAACAACGCAATGTAGCGCAGTGGTATAACTATCCAGCTCACCTTGACAACGTCCAGGCCTGTCTTGCCCGCGTAGCAGGGAGGGGCGAACTGCGCCACCACTGGGAGCTTCTTGAGGGCCGCATCCACCTGGGAGGAGACAGGGCGAGGGCTGGAAGGGTGAGTTGGAGCATTCGTGCTCGGCGGCGACGCGACAGAGCATGGCAGCGAGACAAGGTCATGCATGATAGGGGGCATATGGGCGAGCGAGCATGCAGGCATAGAAGTAGCGCCAGTGCATGTCGTACACCTCTATTGAGTTGACTCTTGCAGCATGAGCCAGGGACTATGCCAGGGGAAAAGTCACCTCGTACCTGCTTGGCGACGGGGGCGAGCATGCAGTCATAGAAGTAGCGCCAGTGCATGTCGTACACCTCTATTGAGTTGACTCTTGCAGCATGAGCCAGGGACTATGCCAGGGGAAAAGTCACCTCGTACCTGCTTGGCGACGGGGGCGAGCATGCAGTCATAGAAGTAGCGCCAGTGCATGTCGTACACCTCTATTGAGTTGACTCTTGCAGCATGAGCCAGGGACTATGCCAGGGGAAAAGTCACCTCGTACCTGCTTGGCGACGGGGGCGAGCATGCAGTCATAGAAGTAGCGCCAGTGCATGTCGTACACCTCTATTGAGTTGACTCTTGCAGCATGAGCCAGGGACTATGCCAGGGGAAAAGTCACCTCGTACCTGCTTGGCGACGGGGGCGAGCATGCAGTCATAGAAGTAGCGCCAGTGCATGTCGTACACCTCTATGCCCCCCACGTCGAAGTCCTCCCCCATGCACACATGCGTGCTGCATGGGCCCGGTGGTGGAGAGGGGTGGAGACGGGTTGAGAGGTGTGGAGCGGGGAAGAGGGAGGAAGAGGGAAGGAAGTAAGGGAGGGAGGATTGTTGTGACATGATGAAGAGGGGGAGAAGAGTGAGAATGTGAGTGTGAGAGCGTGAGTGTGCCCATCCCCACCTACGACCAATGGCACCCGAAAGTGAGGGTTCCTACTGCCACCCGGAATCGAAAAAAAGACTGGTTGAGAGGCACCCGGACCTGAAGAGCTTGTTGGTGAAGAGCAGCTGTGACTTAAAGTCGTAGGTGGTGAGTCCGTGACCCGTCCGACCAGCGGGGCGTGGGCATGGGGAAGGAGAGGAGGGCTAGATAGCAAAGAGTGTACTCGTTGCAAGGTACTCGGACCCGAAAATCTAAAGCCAGGCACCCGACCTGAAGAGCTTGTTGGTGAAGAGCAGCTGCGACTTGGGGTCGTAGGTGGTGAGTCCGTCGGGCCAGCGGGGCGTGGGCGTGAGGATGAACTGCAGGTTGTGCCCATCGCCCAGGTCCAGCGTGTCCCCCGCGCGCACGATCTGCAGGTCGAAGGTCGCGTCGAGGATGTCTGCTGGGACCAGTGAGGTGAGCGTCTGGTGCGCCGGGTTGGAGAGGAACACCTTGATGGGCGGCTCTGGAGAGCAGGAGGGGAGGGGGGGGGGCGGGGGACCGGGAAAGCAGGAGGCGGGGAAGGAGGGAGAGGCATGGCAAAGGATAGGGCACGTATTGAAGTGTGTCCCCGCATGCACCTATCCTGCCATCGCCCAGGTCCAGCGTGTCCCCCGCGCGCACGATCTGCAGGTCAAACGTTGCGTCCAGAATGTCTGCTGGTACGAGGGATGTTAGCGTCAGGTGCGCCGGGTTGGAGAGAAACACCTTGATCGGGGGCTCTGGCGGGCAGGGAGAGGAGGGAGGGAGGGGGGAAGCCGGGAAAGGGGGGGGAAGTGGGGTACGAGGAACCGGCGATGGAAGGGGCACGTATTGAAGCGTGCAGAGGGGTGATGGATGCATACACCTATCATGCCCGCCCCCCACTAACCTGTTAGCGGGTGCGTCTTGGCGAGCTGAATAATACTGTCCACGCGCTTGGGACTCAAATGCCCGATGATGAGATACGCGAGGTGCTCCGCGTCCTTCGCCTCGCGCACGAACGCGTCCACGAAGGCGCGCGCGAAGGCCCTGTCGGGCACGTCGATGAGCGCGGCACCCAGCGGGCCCTCGATGACGTAGCTGTTCTCCGTGGTGCCGGCGCGCAGCCCGTACTCCACCTCGAACTTGAACCGCTCGTAGCACCGCCCGCGCAGCGTGAACGTGTCGTCCGTCAGCCGCACCGCGCGCACGTCCTTCTCCTGCGGACCCATGGGAGGGGAGCGTGGGGGAACGGGAACAGGGAATGGGGGGTGCGGGGGGGGAGGGAGGTGGGAGGCACGGGGACAGGGAGGTGGGAAGGGGGGGGAGGGAGGGAGGAAAGGAGGGAGGGATGAGGGCGGGGGGAGGGAGGGAGGGAGGGAGGGAGGGAGGGAGGGAGGGAGGGAGGGAGGGAGGGAGGGAGGGAGGGAGGGAGGGAGGGAGGGAGGGAGGGAGGGAGGGAGGGAGGGAGGGAGTGAGGTTAGGCAAAAAATGCGGACGGGGAGGGAGTGAAGGTGTCATGTAATGCGCGCATCAACCGCACGTCCTCCTCCTGAGCGACTCAAGCGAGTGAGGATGGACGCGGAAGGCGTTGTAGAACGAACGACGTCCTGAGAAGCCCACACAACATCCAGCTTAGCTTGACTGGACACTGACGCTGCTTCCACCACTAAGGGTAGTCGCTCTCGTGTTTCTTGAACCAGCAGCATCAGGTGTTCGGCGCTTGTTACTCACCTCTTTCACAATCGGAGCCTCTGGCTGCTGCTGTGCGACGGCTGCTCGCACCCCCAACGCCCTCTTCCTCTGGTTCTGCCTCTGCCTCTTCCCTGCGTTGCGCTGCACTCGCAAGACATTTTGCACGACAACGGGTGGACAAAGGGATACAGAGGCGAGAGCGAGTTCGTTTCGAACAAAATGGTGCAATGGTTCTCAAAATATAGTCATCACGTAACGCTAATGTAAGAGACGCCAGTGATTGTTAAAAAAACTTTATGCAACAGTTTATGGCGACCGTGCCAACCAATCAGGTTACATAGGGTAACCATAAATTAAGTACCTCAGGGAGAATGGCAGCAGAGGAGGCGGTGTGCGCCGGCCGGCGCGACTGGTGCAGGCCTGTATGTGACGGGAACAGACTGGCGTTTGCGCTGGTAGCGGATGTCGCATTCGCATGTAACGCGGATGGCACGGGAAGCGCGCCGCTGGCGACAGGCGCGCAGCACAGCTGAGACGCCATCTGGTCAGGCGAGAGGAAAACGACACGAAAGAGCAAGAGGTAGAGTAACAGGAGGAAGTTGGTGAATGGTATCGTATGGTATGGCTCATGACTTTGTTAACGCGGAGTTTGCATGGACTGGATCCCAGAACAATGGAACTGCGAAGGGAGTCGCGAATCAGTCAGTCAATGAAATTGTGTCGAAACTGGATTTCCAACGTTTCAAAGTTGATGCGGATAGGGAAAGAAAAAACACATCACAAGAAGACCACGCGTCGACTGCCATAGCATTGGGATGAAAATAACCCAAAGAATCAAGATTCTGAATCAATATATTCTATAAGCTACACGTGGATTGCAACACCTGACGGAAGGACATCTCTGTACCTTTAGACGTCAAGCAACGCTGAATGTAAGCTGAAACGCCTTGAAAGCTAAGAAAAGCAAGTTAGTCCCCGTCGTACTACAAGCCTGGAAAATGACGATGCTAAAATGTCAGCTGTGCTAGGCAATATTCTTGGAGTTGGAAAAGGATTCACAGGGAATGGAAGCCAGCATGAGGCTTGGAAAGTCAAGTTTCATCCATTTCACGAATGGCATGCCATGCAAGCTCCTAATTCCTGGTATGTGGAGGAATCTAGGAGATGACTCCGAGGAGATGGACCACCTCGCTGGCAAGTGTGAGTCATTGGGTGGCCGACGCTTTGCCAGCTGGACACTGAGGCAGACTGCTGTGTCAGCCCGCGCGTTGGTGACGTGAGACCCTGCTTGTCGGAAAGATGCGAGGCTGGCTGTTGCCGAACTTTCGGAAGCACAAACAAGGAAGCTCATGGATATACATTACTGTCAATATGTAAGAAGGAAAAATATAGGCACGAACAAGGAATACTGCTGGTCCAATTAGTGTACTTGGCCTTGTTAGTCCAAGGGACGGAAAATATGGGTGAGTATTTATAATAGGCGCAGTAAGGGAGCTGCAATCTGTACACTGCATGGTATTCGAGCACTATAAAGGATGACGACAACAGGGGCAGCTTGAATGCCCTCCCATAATCCACGGCATAATGCAATCATGGTGGTAACCATGCGCGCATGATAACCACATCAGACGGGCTCCACTCCCCATGCTTTCCAAACACACAGTGCACTCCTGCCCATCCACAATACCCATAGGTCCATCCTCATCTCCCTCACTATCACTTGCTGCATTGCCAGCAGCGTGACTGGGAATAACAGCCTTCCCCTTCCCCTTGTCAGGATCAAATCTACCAGAATGTGAGAGTGTCAAACGTTGTATGCCATCACACGCATTGTCAACAGCATCAACAGCTGCAAATCCAGCAAAATCTGATCCTGCTGCACCCATGTTCCTATCGCCACCTGTGCTGCTTCCACCAATCCCTTCTGCAGCCCCACTACAGCCATGACTACTGCCGCTGCTCCTGCTCCTACTACTCCTGCTGTTGCCACTACTGCTACCACTTTGATAATGCTGCTGCTGATGGTGGTGGTAGTGCTGGTGGTGATGGTGATGGTGAGGATGCTGCTGGTGGTGATGGTGGTGGCTGTGGCTGCTGCTCCTTTCCCTGCTGGCACTAGTGCTGGCATGCCTACTGCTGCTACTGTGCCGCTGATGCCTGCTGTGCTGTGCTTCCCTGCTCTCCCCACCAGCGCGCCCGCTGCTGTGATCGTGACTGCTGCTGCTACTCCGACTCCTGCGGTTGCTACCACTGCTGCTGCTGCTGACACCACTGATCCTGCTCCTAGTGCTGCTACTGCTGGTGCTGCTGCTGCCGCTGCTTCGACTACTCCTGCTGCTCGTGTCACAGCCCCCACCATCGCGACCACCAAGCTCATGCTGTTCGTCTGCACCAGCAAAGCTTGCATTCCTGCTGCTTCCGCTCTGCTTCCTCGTGCTTCCGCTGCTTCTGCTGCTGCTTCCGCTTACTTCAACCCTCTCCCGTCCATCAACCCCTCGTGCGTTATTTCTTACCATCTCCCCTTCGTCTCCCCCTCCTCCTTCTCTACCCACACCCTCTCCCGACCGTGCTCCCATCCCAGTCCGGGTAGTACTACAAAACGCCCTCTCCCTAGTGGTGTGGTCGTCCGCAAACACCCTGCCAGCCGCCCGCAGGGCATCTGATTGGCCGACGCTTCTGGGAGTCATAACCGCAGCGGCCATCACGGAACCTTCTGCCACGTGGCCGAATGCTACTGGCCGAGAGCAGGCTGCGGAAGCTGACCCCGGGGGGAGCCGCGGAGGCTCTTCTAGGGTTGGCGGAGGGCGGAGCCCTGCTGCGCGGAGGCGCTGGTCCAAACGCAGGCGTGCCTGCAGTGCGGATCCCTGGTGTGGGGGCAAGAGGAGGGGTAGTGGAGAATAGGGCGAGAGCCGACGTTACATGGTTGGAAAAGGATATCAATGGTTGACAAAAAATGTGGAGATAGCCTCGTTATTAGGAGCAAGCTGAAATCACTATGGTCACGAAAGCATCCCCGAAGATACCGGTATGGTAAAAACAACCCTACCCTAAACTGTAAAAGCTGGTCATGCTCCGGTCCCACCTGCAGCGATTCGCGGTGGCTCTGACGCGCTTCGAGCTGCCTCTGTTTAAGTCGCTCCTTCCAAGGGAGCAACTCGCCGCGCTCAGCCGCGCGACCGAACTCTATGTCGCCGGAAGGGCCTACATCGCCGGAAACGCTATTCGAGGACGCGGCTGAGATGCAACCGGCGGTAGCTGTCGCGGCAATATCGAGGTTCGCGCCGTCGGTATGTGCTGTCCAGTGTCGCGACCTCGGTGACGTCGTGCTCCCTCGCACAGGGTCGCACAACGCGTCGCCAGCGGGGCTATGCGACGTCCGTACTCGGCTACGGTGGCGTCGTGCGGCAAGCGCGGAGAGATGTGACATTCGCGAAAGCACCGAAATAGTGAAAGTCGCGTTCCGTGAGTCGACAACAGGTGTGTGACCTAGAGATAGTGGGGGTCGGGAAAAAACAGTTCGGAAGTTTGAACTGAAAGCATGAATGAAGGATGGGTAGTGCGATACAGTGTGTGCCTTGAATGCGGTACAGTGCGATATACAACGGATGTGAACCTAAAAACATCTTTACTAACTGGAACTTTTAACGGGAAATACAAACCCTCTCGCTTTCATTGAGCTGCGTTGTTGTGTGCGTAATGTGTTTCGGCAATCGATTGTGGGCATTTTCACGTTGAGAAATTCATCATAATAGGATTTCTGGATCCTCAGCGCATATGAACCTCTGGTGTCACTTGCATTGCCGGTCAGGGGGCGGTCGATTAGCCCGGCGTGAATTTGGACTAATAGCTTACTGTAGAAGAGCCAAATGGTGATGATGGCATCATGGCATTTATGGTGAAACTGCAAAAACATGTAGAACTATCCAAAAAGGGGGGCTTTTCAAACGTATGGCTGCACGGAGTTGTGTCAGGTCACAGCACCAGTCAAGAAAGGCAACAAAGCAAGAGAAGCAACTCAGGGTGATACGACTAGCCAGCCTTGGAGACAAACGGCCACACGGCCGGTTCAAGAGTTCATATCAATATATGTAAGCAACAAAACAAGTACAACAAACGAGGGCTTGTCTGAATAAGGCCAAGCGGTGAATAGAACCTGTGGTGGTCACCAGGCGGGAGGGCCTTGGTGAATATGTATGCAGTGTTGGCCGCTGAGGCCACAAAGTCCAAGCGTGCCTGACCGCAGGAAGTACCGCAGATTGATGTGCTTCACTCTGCTATCCAGTCGAGGATCTCGACACAGGAGGATCATGGCCTTGTTGTCAGCGAACAAGGTCGGTGCAGAGCTAGGCCGCTTACCTAGGTTAGAGAGCAAGAACGTCAACCATTGGAGCTCCTGAGCAGCCATGGCAGCGTAGATCACGGCCTCAGCACTAGACTGCACCAAAGACGACGACCGAGTAGACCTCCACGACACAGCTCCAGAGCCCAAGCTGAAACAATACCCCCCTGAGTCGACCTACAGATCTCCTTGTTGTCCGCCCAAGACGAGTCGCAATGCCCAGTAAGTTGCACTGGCTGTGTCCCCCCAAGCACAAGTTCTATTCCTGATGTGGTCGCCAGGTACTTCGCTACCCTCCTAGCAGCCGTCCAGTGAACAAGACTGTGTCTCCCAGCTGCAACAAAGCGAGTTACGACGCTGAAAGGATAGGCGAGGTCCGGTCGAGTGCACGTCATCAGGTACATGATGCAACCCACAAGCTTTGTGTAGCGACCACTAGGCTCAACCGTCTTGTCAGGAGCAGGAGCAGTGAGTCTATGGTCAAAAGCAAGAAGAGTGGGTTGTGTGGTGGAAAACTGAAGCTCGAACCCCCGAAGGACCTGCTGCACCATGTGAAACTGAGTCAGAGTGATGGTGCGAGCAGCTCTGTCCCTGGTGATCTGCAAGTGAAGGTAGCTGCGCAGTTCACCAAGGTGAATGCACGTGTGTATCTTCTGCAATTCAGACTTGATTGAAGCTAGCGTTGGTCTGTCTGCAGTAGCGAAGACCAGGTCGTCGACGTAGACGAGGACGAAGAAAGGAGTGGGGTCATAACGCACGAACGGTAACAGTTCGACGGACGAATGACGTAACCCGAGAGCAGCAAAAGTGGAGCGGGGAGTGTCGTGCCACTCACGAGGCGCCTAGCGGTGACCGTAGACTGGTCGTCTCAGGCTCCACTGGGTCCCAGGCGGGAAAGTACCAGTGAAGCCACTAGCCAAATCTCCTCGTGCAGGCTGCCCTGGAGAAATGCATTGGAGAAGTCTAGTGAGTGCAGCTCGTAGTCTTGCTGCAACGTGTAGTACCGTCACCCCCCGGATATAAGCGTCACCCTAGGATAAGCGCCAGGCGCTTATAATTGGCATATGGCGCTTATATCCGGTCCTCGATTATAAGCGCACCCCTGATGGCTTATAGATTATAAGCGCTTTTATCTGTATTGTTTTATACATTTTTAATGAAGCATCTGTAACGAAACACACATTTTGCGTCCCGAATTTCGATGGCCTTCACCCTCGCGCGACTCACTTCGTGCGCGTCTAGTCAGAATGACCTGTCATGGGGAAAACATGACTCAGTTTGACTCTGTGTATTGGCACGGAATCTATCCCTGCCAACTTACGCGAGATTTCATTCACGGCCCTCGCTAATTTTAACTCGATTCAAGTCGCCTGAACGAGATGAACACTCTGATGTCAAAAACAGTTAATTTCATACATGTCATTATATAAGCCCCGGCGCTTATAAATTTACTACATTCTAAGCCCACCCCCCTAAAAAAACATGTTTGGGGGCTTATCCGGGGGGTGACGGTAACACCCGAAGAGTGGTCATCTTCAGGGTGGGGGAGAAGGCCTAGAAGAAGTGTACTCCTTCACGCTGACTGAAGCCTCTAGCCACGTAGCGCGCCTTGAAGACAGGCGGCGATCCAGGCGGCCGCTTCACCTTGAAGATGTTAACACTTCCCTCTGACTTCTGTAATTCAGGCTGCCGGTTTTAAGTAGCCCCTCGCATGCCAGCAAAAAGTATCGCTCTTCCCAAGCATTAGTTTTCTAACTCAATTGAGCACCTTTGCATCCGTATACCATAGTAGAGAATACTTTGTACAATGAGCTGTGAGATATATGTTCGAGTGTATTGCAACAGGCTACTCCCATGCCACTCACTGTCAACTAACATATGCAAGCATCAAAACTAGTACCTACACTTCTCCTGGCATTAGTCGTGCCGCTATCCATACCTACTACTTCCTTCCCAACTGTTTTGCTAATGGGTCTTATTTGTGCCGTTCGTCAAAGGGGTTGCTCAGGTTCATGTTGATGTTGATGCCGATGTTGTTGATGTTCCGAATCACACCTTCCCCACCCTCTCCCCTCTCCGTGCCTGTAGCACCGCCACCGGGACTGCTGCTGCTACCACGTGCACTGCTGTTCCCCTCGCCGCCTTACTTGTGCCGTTCGTCAAAGGGGTTGCTCAGGTTCATGTTGATGTTGATGCTGATGTTGTTGATGTTCCGAATCACACCCCCCCCACCCTCTCCTCTCTCCGTGTCTGTAGCACGGTCCCCGTGGCTGCTGCTGCTACGTGCACCACTGCTGTTACGATTAGAAGCGATGTAATGAGGCGGATTATTGACACTGTAGTTATGCGGACTCAGGCTGGAGGAAGAGGCTCCAGCAGCTTCCCTCGCAGCCGCAGCAGCAGCAGCAGCAACAGCAGTAGCAGCAGGACCAGTACCAGCAGCACCAACACCACCACCAGCAGACCCAACAGCAGCAGCACCACCAGCAGAAGCACCACCACCACCACCAGCAGCAGAGGCAGCAGCAGAGGCAGCAGCAGAGGCAGCAGCAGGAGCAGCATCAGCCACAGGCTGAAGGGTGCTGCGCTGATTGGCCTGCTTATGCCTGCTCTTCCTGCCGCCACCTGTTTTCGGTGCAGAGGATGACTGGCTGGCGACCGCAATGTGGTGCTGGCACAGCAAGAAGCCCTCTCTAGCAATGCGCTTGCACACCCACCCCTTGCCGTCGGTCCTGCTGCATCTCCTCCCTACAACCTGCCCGCTTGCACCTGCTCCTGCTCCTGCTCCTGCTCCTGCTGCTGCAGCTTCACCCCCCCTTGCTTCTCCTGCAGTTTCACCAACCCTTGCCGCACCCGCTGCACTTCCAACGCCCCCTCCGCCTCCTGCTGCGCCTGCTCCTGCTGCTGCCACTCCAGTGGGCTCTCCAACTCCCCCTGTTCCTCGCCCTGTCCCTCTCCCTCTCCCTCCTCCGCCCCTTCCACCTTGGAATCTCCCACTCGTACCAGGGGGAACAGCAGCAGCAGAAGCAGTGGCTGCTGGTGGGGACTGTCTTACTGCTGCGGCTACAGCCGATGCTCCTACCTCTGCTGCCGCCGCCGCCGCCGCTGCCGCTGCTGCCACTTCCGCTGCAGCAGACTGCAACGCAGCATTCGACAGAAACGCTGATGCGGAAACGCTAGCAGCTGATCCGGCCCTCCCAGCCGCCCTGATCACATCAGAGAGTCCCAGAGCCAGCATAGCTGCGTCTTTAAGCCGTATATTCATGCCCCATCCCCTGCCTGCTTCTCCCTGCCCCTCGCTCCTGCCTGCTCCCCCCTGCCCTTCCCTCCACCCGCCTCCACTGCTTC